GGTCACATTCTGAGGAACTGGGGTTAGACTTCAAGGTATCAATTTTGGAGGGACACAACTCGACCCATAACAAATTCCAGCGATGACCAGGCCCTTTTGTGCTTTGTGGGCACGATCTCTAATGCCTGCAGCAAATGCTGCAGGATGGGTGCTGTGATCCTTGTCATTCATATCAGCAAACTGAGGCTTGGTGGGGTGAAATGTCTCACCTGTGGTTACTGAGTGGTGGAGCTGGAATCAGAACACAAGCCTGTTCTGCTAAAGCTGCTGCTCTTTCCACTCTAGTCTACTACAGGAATGAGGGAATCACCTGAGCTCTACTGCCACCAAATTCTCTTTCCAAGCCACAGCAAAAATAGCTCTGCCTTCTTTGGTGCCAGTAATTATTTGGGAGAACAATGCCCTCCTGAGGACCATGGCCAAGCCTACGTCACAGTGGTTGGGCAAGCTGCTCAAGGGAACTTCCACGGAGGGCTCAGGGGACGGCTAAACCTTACCTTTGGGCTCCTTTTTTGTTCCCTCTGCTTATGCTGTTCTTCTTTACCTGAGGTTCTCTTTTCTTTCTCCATTTCATGTTAAAGCATCACCCATCCTTCAGAGTCTGGCCACTCCCAAATTCACCCTGCTTTGCCCCCATCCTCAGTTTCAGGCTGGCTTATCACTTGCACACTGCAGCTTACTTGGGGGTGGATCTGGCTCTGTTAGTTACTAGTTGTGTGTCCTGAGCAAAGTCTGCAACCTCTCAGGGCCTTCATTTTCTCATCTATGAATTAGGATAAAAATACCTACCACACAGTATCATTGTGAGAAGCAAACTAAGTGAGCTAACATATTTACTGCACTCAGCACTGTGCTTGGTACATAGTAGACATTCAGTACATAGTGGTTTTTACTTTGACGTTTTTCAATCTATGTTTGGTGCCTTCCCAATGAAACTGAGAGCTTCCTGGGGGCAAGGACCATGACTCATGTCAATTTGTGTTGGCAGAGCACAATTTGGGGGCTGCAGAAAACACTGTATTTGTCAGCACATAAGTGTGCAACATATTTGATACTAGATAAGACATAAAATACAATCTCAAGTAACAGACTTGTCTATTGGATTGTATCAAAAACTATTGGGTAGGGGGTGCCTGAGTTTGATTTTGGCTCAGGTCATGATCTCAGGGTTGTGAGATCGAGCCCCGTGTTGGGCTCCATGCTGAACATTGAGCCTGGTTAAGATTCTCTCCCTCTCCCTCTCCCCCCCCCAAAAAAAAAAACAAACAAGCTATGAGGTGGAACACTTCGGAGCCCACACTTCCATTAATCCATTCATTCATTCACCATTGACTGATTGCTTCCTAAATGCATCCCCTTGAGCTTCGGGTTCTACATGGTTTCTTTAGCGGAGAAAGCTATAGGCCAGTGATGGAAGGTACCAGAGTGCAGTGCAGGTGAATGTGAAAAGAGCAATAGATTGTTGAACATACAGATCTGCAGACCTCAAACCTCCCTATGCATCAGAAACAGCTCAGATGGATGCAGAATATTGACTCCCAACCCCCAGAAGTTCTAATTCAATTGGCCTATGGTGATTTTAAAACAACATATAAGCAAATGAAAAAAAAAGAAAAGAAACTCCTCAGCTGATGGTTCTGATGTACAGCCAGGGATAAGAACCACTGAAGGAGATGATGCACAAACACTCCAGGGAAATTTTTCTCTAGGCAATGCTAAGGGGAGGGACTGTGTGCTGGGCTAGGGTAGGGAGTAGAGCCCTGGGCTGGAGGCAGGAGGACGCACCAGTTGAGAGACTGAGCAAGTGTGCGTTCACATTGTCACCCCGCCTTCCTCTTCCTCAAGAGGATCCAGAAGAGTATCCAGGCGAGGGTCCCAAGGGGAGAGGGGCTAAGGAAACCAGAGAGCATGAAAAGGCAGAGCTGTGTAGAGCTTAGGAAATTAATCCTTTCCAGAATGAACCTCACTGTTGCCCTACTCAGATGGAGCTGGCAATCACAACTTGATGATGACATTGGGGGATCAGACCTCACAGATGTGGCTATTTTGTGACCATGTTTCTAACCTTGCAAAGGCACCCAAGCCCACTTGCTTCCCCTCTACCCCAAAGTCTGGGCAGGTCGGGGCTGATGAAGGTTTTCCAGGAAAGCAGTTGATTTTAAGCACTGGTGGTTCCTAAGATGTGGGAGAACAGGTCCTTGGTCCATTTCAGTCGGTCTCGCAGTGGCAGTTCCTGACACAAAATCACTCCTCAAGACAACGTCATTATGGGACTGCTTCAAGGAAGCCAGACCCCCATCCTGCAAATAAATGCAGTGCTGCTGGGAATCCTGAGGACTTATTCCTGGCATATGATGTCAGGACGCTTGATTTCCCTCTCCTCGTATTCTAACTTCACAGACAGGAAAATAGGGCCAGAGAAGATCCGGAAGTGGCCCATCACCCCAGGGTTTGTGCTGAGCATGAGATCATATTTCCCAGCTTTTTCTAAGACACAGCCAGCTCATTCATGTTGCTGAGTTTTAATAGACAGTATCCAGGATTTAGGACTTAAAAAGAGAAAGAAATTGAGAACGACAGGAGATAATTTTCTTTCCTCGCTGCCTGTTTGCCTCTGTGCTTCTTGGCTATTGTTGGCCATTTCATCCAGGAATGTAGAGTGCATATGAACTTCTAGGGGATTTGCAATCAAAGGGACTCTCCTGAATATATAGTGCCTTGATTCTGGGGTTCTACTCCCTGCCTTTAATTGGATGAATTTAGATTTTTTTTTTCACCATTAGCCAAGTTAAACTGCCTCCACTGGCTTCCTCACAGCTGTGAGCCGGAGGGTTAATGAAAGATTATTGATATAGGTAAAGGAATTTTGTCTTCAGGTATCCAACAAAATGTAGGAACATCAAAAGAATTGATCTTCGGCTGGTATCTTGGCCAGGCCCAAACCAAACTGGTTGTCAAATATTTTTAATATTACCTTTCTGTCAACAAGGTGGCATTCTTCGGTCAAGTGGAGAAACCAACCTTCACCCTAACTGTACAAGAGATGACTATGTACCTGTTCCCGTTCAGAGAAAGTTCCCTTCCCCACAGCAGGGTCCCTTCTACACCGCTATTGACTTGTGAGTTTGTTGTCACTGAATAGGTCAACAAAGAGAAGAGTGTTAATTTAATCAAGAACTGTCCCTAGGGAGGCTGGGGAAAGATGGGGCCAGTGGGTAGTATTGGCCAGTGGCCTATACAAAAGGGCCAGACATGACCATTTGGGGATATTATAATTCTTACTATTTCTGACCACAAGGCCAACAGTGGGAAATGCTGGAAAGGATATGGAGTCAGCTCTAGACCCTCTAACACCTGGGTTCCTTCCTGGCTGTCACTTGTCAAAGGAAGTTCATTAACCATTCAGCTACTATGTCTCATCCTCTTGACTCACTACCTCTATCTGGAACCAGGTAGTAGAGTGCACTAAAGTGGACCTGAACAGGTTAAATTGCCCCCTTTGTACTCAATTCGTCCCAGGAGCAGTTGTTATCACCAGGCTCAGTCTGCTTAGTACTCACAAAAGCCTGTTCCCTTTGAACAAAGAACTGGTTGCTATGATTGCCCTACAGCAGATGCATCTGGTTGAGATATCTATTCTCGTAACCTAAATTGCAAAGCGTTTTCTGAAAGTCATTGAGTTGCAGAATTTTAAAAATGTATTTGATTGCCAGATCTGCAAATTGGGTCAGTTTTCCAGGGCCTTATGCTTCTCTCTTTTCCACTGGGGAAGAGGAAAAGGAGGCAGCCGGCAACTGGTGATTGAAACACAATTCCCCCTGGCATGTAAGTCTTGGCTACCATCTGTGCATTATCCTGGCCATGGTCCCCTGGCTCACCCCGCACTGCCTGGGCCAAGGCCTGCCCTTCCTGATGGCCGCCCTCTGGACTCCACTAATGACCAGCCTGCACACCTTTGGCTCTTCATGGCTTTAATCATCTAAGTCTCAGGAGAGTCTGTGAGAAAATTAGAGGAGGTATAACTATCCTCATTTCATAGGTGGGGAGTATCATACTCAGTGAAGATAAGTGACTTACCCAAGGATACACAGTTTACGGTGATCTTGGATCTTAATCTGTATCTTTTGGCCTCTTGATGTAGTGCTCTTTTTCACAAAAATACATGGACATAAAAAAGTGAGGAAAGGAATATGTACAAAGTGGTTTGTCTGGGTCCCCAGACCCTCAAGGGTTGGGATGATGCAATCTGATACTTGACTTTTTAAATGCAGCAATGATTAATCCAGTCACCAAAAACTTCACCTTAATCACCAGCATTATAAAGATGTAGGTATCAGAAATCACCAGCATCTTATCAGTGCATTAGATGGGACATATTATATGAATATTCTATGTTATGCACCGTAGTTCTATAAAAGACTGTAAAATACAACCTATATTTTTATGACTAAGTCCAGGAGTTTTCATACTAATGGGTCGTAGTCCATCAATATGCATCAGGAGGTCAATTTAATGGGTTGCTACCAAAATTAAAAGGAAAGATAGGGCAAGATAGGTTAAGATTGAATTGAAAATATGAGTGCATTGTATGTAGCAAAGGTAGGTATTGTACTCTGGATCCTTTTGTTCATTTATTATGTGTACTGGATCACGATGTTTGAAGTATTTCTTGCTCTGTAGCTTTTCCTCTTTTTCCTGCATTGTACCTTCCCCTCTTTCTCCTTTCTCTTTCATTCTGTCTCTCCTTCTCCATGTATATATAGGAAAGGTACCCAAACATCTGCTATCTTTGTCCTCTGTACAGGGCCTTTCCCAACCCTCATCCTTCCTGACCATATTGTCAGTCTCCGGCCTGGAGGAGAGAATATTCTCTAAAGTTGATATTTTGATGCTCCCTCTGTCCTCCTCCTTTTGCCATGTGACCTTCTAAACAGGGTTTACTGGTTCTATGTTTGATAAACAAATTCTTCTGTCTCTAAACTGTCATATTTACATTTCAGGCAAAGCAACTCAATCCTAAAGAAATGAAATCCCCAAGGAGAACCACATTGTGCTTCATGCTTATTGTGATTTATTTTTCCCAAGCTACATTGAACTTGAATTTAGAATCTATTGTTCATCCTTTGGTGAGTACACCCATGTCTGCTATATTTTTCCTTGTCAGATTTTTCTGATTTCCTGGGAATGTCAGAGACGGAAATTGCTTTAGAAATTTTTTTAGGGCCTTTGAGAAAATGTTGCAAATGTGGGGGTGGAGTGGTGAACATAAATGGATGTCAGTGTGTCTACTTTGCTATAACTTACCATACTCTGGCATCAGTGGTGGTCGAGGGAACATCCTTCAGCCCCTTTCCTTAACTAAATGGCAGCTTGTTCAAATAAATAGGAGAGAAATATTATACTTCCTGTGAATTTGCAGGGTCAGTGTGGAGCTCTAGTTACTCAGACCTGTAGCGGGAAAGCCCAAGCATGAGATGATCTGAGCAGTGGGGTCAGCTGTACCTCTGCTCCAGTTTCCTACCATTCATGGCCATAGCTTTGCCCTCCTGCTATTCCAGCTTGGTCCTCAATGTAGTGGCCCTAACAAAGCTCCTCCATCCATCTGGGGGATGCATAGGCTGGTCAGGGGATATGTCAGTGACTTTCCAAGGCTGCTGACAGAGTTCACACTCCATCTCACGGAAACTCCCACCACCACCCCAAAGGGTCCCACTTTTGCTCTCTACATCTGCCTTTGAAATATGGTATCTTCATACAACCCAAAGGCATAAGATACCCCTCACTGGAGAGATGAACTTGAACCTGCCTCATCAGCTTATACTGCCCTAAGCTGCCACTCAGTTCCCTTCTACTATTTTATTTTATTTTTAAAAATATTTTCTTTAAATTCAATTTGCCAACATCATCTATCATTTTAAATGCAACTTGAGTTGATGAGCTTTTAAAAATTATTGTGGTAAACATGCATACAATTTACGGTCTCAACCATTTTTAAGTGTATAGTTTGTTAGTGTTAAAGAGAGCTACATTACCATGCAACCAGGCTGCAGGACTTTTCACTTTGCGAAACTGAAAATCTATACCTATTCAACAACAGCTTCCCATCCTCACCTTCCCCCAGCTCCTAGCAACCGCTATTTTACTTTCTATGACCTCAACTACTTTAAGTACCTCATGTAAGTGGAATCCTAAAGTATTTGCCTTTACGTGACTAACCTACTTCACTTAGCATAATGCCCTAAAAATTTACCTCTGTTGTAATAGGCGTGCGAATTTCCTTCCTTTCTTAAGTTCAAATAATGATCCATTGTACGCACATCCCACATTTTGTTTATCATGTATCCATTCATGGATGCTTGGGTTGCTTTCATTTCTAGGCTATTCTGGATAACATGGCTATGAGCATGCATGGGTGCAAATATGAGGGGATGGGCTTTAAAAGGGCGATAATGGAGCCTCTCAAACTTCAGTGTGTGCCTTAACCCATCTGCACACCTTACTAAGATACAGATTTCAGCTTAGGAAGTCTGGGGTGTGGCCTAGATGTGGCATTTCTGACAAATCACCCTTGTTCCTGCTCCAGTGACTGCATTTTGAAGAGCAAGGATGTAGACTCTCAACCTCAACCTCATGGCTGAATCTGAATCCCAGCTCTGGTTAGCTTTGGAAATTTCAAGTTTCTTCATCTCCTTGAACCTGTCTCCTCTACATAATATGAGAAAAAATAGTATCTCCTTCACTGGTTTATCGTGAGGATTAGAAAGTCTCATGCATGGACATGTATGTCCTTGGCACAGTGGCTAGTGTACGGCAAGCCCTTCAGATTTGTTGGTTATTTGTCCTACACTAGTACAAATAAACCCAGGTTAGTATGCCTTTGTGAGGAGACATTCTGATCGTTGCTGAGACAATTGATCTAACCAGAAGCAAAGTTGTTAAATCGGGGATTCCAGGTCAAGAAAAAAAGAGAACTGAATGACAGTACGTTGGTGAGGAGGAGTGAGGTTTGGCGACCTCTGGGGGCCTTTGGTGATTACCTTGTTTGTCATCCTTCTCCCTGGGATTATGTTTTCTGCCCATAACACGCCACCTCTCAATCCTGATTGTTCACGTCCTCTTTAGGCCATCTCTTCCCTCCATACACAATTATTTGAAAGTCATCATGCCCAAAAGGTGGGGCATTTCCTGGAATTGGTGACCTTGTGTCTTCTGGCTGAGACTTGGCCATCAGGAAATCCTCTTTGGACAGAGATGGCCATTGTCCTCAGATGCTCATCTGGGTACCTCTACATGGACGAGCAGAGGGAGGCCTCCTGGAGGTTCTGTTTTCTTGTCTGAAATAACTATTTCATCTGGCAAGATCCATGCTCCCCTGCGAGTTCTCCTCAGCACCCAACATTTGAGAGAAAAGTTAAGTGCCAGAGTCACAAAGGTCCCTGAACTGGGGTCACATGAGAACTAAGGAGGGCAAGGATAGCCCTTAGTGACCCCAGGCTGGCTGCAAAACACAGACACACACCGCTGCCAAAACTCTACAAGCATCTGGTATGCCTCAGAACATTACTTCCCATAATGTAAGAAACTGAGTCTTAGGATGAGTGAATGACTTTTCCAACTACAAAGAAGAAGAGGTGGTGGGATTCAGTGCTGGGTGGGACTCTAGGATTTGCCTTGTTGAAATCCAGGCCCCATGTCCTGGCAAACCCTTTCTTTGTACCTCCTCAAAGTTGGGAGGGCCAAGGATATTCACCACCACCACCACCACCACCACCAGGGGGGCTCCCCTGAGACTTTATTTGCTTTCAGTGTCTTTCCTCCATTTGTCCCAATGATTGCCCAGCTTAAAATAAAAAGTAGGTAATTCTCACAAGAAATTGTGTATCCTCAATGGACAACAGAAGTAGTAGATGACAGAGCTGCAGGGCAGCACTTTGCAGTCATGTCCCCTGACACTTCCGGATATCACCATCAGGATGCAGAAAGTAGTTAAAAAGTAGTGTTTCTCAAAAAAGATGGCCTCATGTTAAAAAGGCAGGTTTTGTCCCCATATCCCGGCCCTGCTAAGTTGGATTGGGAGAGCTGAGGAAAGTGATCTTATGGTCCCAGATGGAAATCCCATGTACGAGGGAAATGACTGCACTTTGATTTTTAACCTTAATTCTTTAGTCCTTCTGGAGAATGGAGAAAATGAAATCTAGACCTTGGAGAGCTTCCCAACAGTGACTGCCAGTGGTCACCTTCTCCTAGGCTGAGTCCCCTAATCACAGCCCATGAAGCGTGGACCAAGAACACTTTCTGGTGGTTCCTCCTTCCCTGCCCTCAGGCCCCAGGGAGGATGGAGGCAGGAAAGCAGCAGAAGACCCTTGCCTTCTGCCTAGGCACAGAGCCAAAGCCAGCTGACTCCAGGGGAAGCTGGAGGAACCATCTCTATGCGTTAACTTTGCTCCTTTTTGCTTCTCATGCATTTAAGTGGGGCTAAAATAGGCCCACTGCAAATAAAATAGCAACTGGGCTTCTGAAATTCCAATTGCCATGCATCATTCCTCTCTTTGTTACTTCAAGAACATTTATGAACACCGGGTACACACCCCCTCTACAGATCCTCATGGATGTTAATACTGTCATCAAAAAGAAGGAAGGCATAGGAGGAGGCAACAGAGAGACAGAAAGGGTACTGAGTAAGAGACTGGGTCACGGAGGCCAACCACAGTTTCCTGGGGTATCTCCTGATAAGATCACTTAGTTGCCTGTATGGACAAATGCAGGCTCCAGAGTCAGGCTGGCTGAGTTTGAGTCCTGGGTCTGCCCTTAAAGGCTGCATGAGCTTAGGCAAGTCCTTTGACCTCTTTGTAACTGTGCTTTCTCATAAGTGACATGTGGGTAATAATAGTATTGATGTCTTAGATGGTCATGAGGATTAAATACCAAAGCACACATCAAGTACGTAGCAGTACCTGGCACAAGGGTGTTGGATACATCTCAGGAATTATTTTTTTAAATTTCGTTCTGATGAGAGATAACTAGAAACTAATGGTAGACCCCACAGATGGTAGAAGGAGCTCTGTCTTGGGTGGTATTCATAGGTATGTGGAGTTCATGGTAAAGGACACAGCCCAGAAGGTAGGGCTATCTGGCTCTTCTATTGAGCCTTGAAGGGAGTTTGGATTGGGAAGCACATCCTAGTAGGGATGAGCTAGGGAGCCCAGGTCAGGTCAAGGTGTGGTTACCAGCTGCAGAATTGGCAATGATCCCAACAGCAAAGCCAATCAAAGTTAGTTCTTTATTTCATTTTATTTTTAAAGATTTATTTATTTATTCAGAGAGAGAGAGAGAGAGAGAGAGGCAGAGACACAGGCAGAAGGAGAAGCAGGCTCCACGCAGGAAGCCCAACGTGGGACTCAATCCCAGGTCTCCAGGATCACACCCTGGGCTGAAGGCGGCGCTAAACTGCTGCGCCACCAGGGCTGCCCTCAAAGTTAGTTCTTAAATAAAGAAGCTGCATGATTCCAGGAGAAGAGCTTTATAGAGTTGAAGTAAATGGCAGTGTGTAGACAAAGGGGTTCCTGTGAATGGTGCCCCTAGAACAGTGTGATGCCTGGTCCCCAAATAGCACTTACCATGTCACCACACTATTCTCAGTGCTTTACGTTTGTTAATCATTTGATCCTTATGACAACCTCATGAGGTAGGCTGTTTTTATCCCTATATTATAGATGACTCCTGAAACACAGAGAGGTTAAATAACTTGCCCAAGGTCACACAGTCATTTTATAGCAGAGCTAAGATTTGACTCAATGTCCGCAGATTCCTTGCTCTTAACTATTATACTATACAATACAATTCAACTGTATTAGGGGCTATGTGTCACATGGCTGTTCATTTAATTCTTATAATAGTTCTACAAGGCCAGTAATATTATTGTTCCATTTTACCTAAAAGAAAACTTTGGCTCAGCAAGAAGTTCCTCAAGATCACACAGCTGGTAAGTGGCACAGCCTTGTACCCAGGGAGTCTGACTCTAGAGCCAGCTCTCCCAGGCCCTGCCACAGGAAGTGACATCCAGGAGAAAAAGGACCAAAGGAGGATAAAATGGTTTCTCAGCATGAATCATCTAAACAGCCCTAATACAGCAGGAAGATTGGGGTGGGGACAGTCTGAGTGCTGAGGAGAGGTCGTGAGACTTGTCTAAGAGGTCGCTGGAATGACTCAGCCTAAGGGAGAGAGCACAAATGAAGATCACCATAATTTATATTTCTTGACCTGACTCAAACTGCAGAAACTCGCAGAAACTCAAATCTGGTGATCTGTTCCGCTCCTGGGTCTAAAGGGTGATCTATAAAAAGTGAACAGCAGCTCACATTAAAGAGTACCTGCCATCCACAGGGCACAAAATGCTCACTGGGACCCGCGGCCCTAAGCTCCGCTCGTTTGGGGGGCATGTGAGCAGAAAGCTATGGAGAAAAGACATCTCTACCACTAACTGACAGGTTTCCTAAAATGTCCTTTCAGATTCTCCATGAACATGAACTAACAGAGAAGGAGCCACTAAGGGAAAAACGAGCAGGTATGTAAACTCTTTGCTGAGCAGTCTTTTCTAGCAAGTCCGATCACATGACATTTGCTATAGCTTTTCAAACCCTGTGATCCACATAATCTAGTCTCCAAGCCCATCAGGGTTTAATTTCCAGCAGTTATTATGAAGGGAACTCCATTCCCTACTCTCCCTACTGACATTGAATGGATCTTAGCAACATGTTATAAGCTCCTCACTTCCTCCCTCACTGCTCTCCTGAGATCCTGAAGAGTCTGTTCCCAAGGGCTCTCTCCTTTGTTCCCTACTTCCTCATGGTAACCTCTGAAGAGCACCTATCTGATTCCATTACTTCCCTGCATAAAATATTTCATGGACTCCCAACTGCCTTGGAAAGAAAATCCAATCACCTGTTCAAGTCTTATCAGACCCCATGTGCTTTTCCCCCTTGTTCTTCGGTTTTCTTTCACATGGTCGCTGTCCCACCTACCACCCCACTTTGTGGTCTGGGGGACTCCAACCTAAGTCTCCGCTCACGTGGGCCCGTGCCATGTCAGGCTTTCCATTGATTCTCCAGACAGGGAGGGGCTGCTTCACTGTGTTCCCACTGCTCTTGTTACATCCCCATAGCACAAGATTTGTCCCAATGCACTGCAATGATTTTACTTCCTGTTTGTCATCCCCAGGAGACATGAGTTCTTCTGAGCCCTCTTTATCTCTATAGCCTGGCATTGAGCCCAGCTTTTTAGTAAATGAGTGAACAGATGAAGAGAGTGTATGTCCCTGTCACAGAAACCCCTTGGTGAGTTGAGGATACTTGCCTATCGCTAAAAGCCCGCTGCCTTAGTGTCTGTACTGACTGTGGAGAAGATAGAACTTCTTAACACTGAGGATTATGATTGAATCATGTCCAAATGTGCTGTGGCTTGGTCTTTTCAGTCTTGGGTTCTAAAAGAATCAAGAAGCTGACCCTAAGAGAGTCAAGAAGAGTCAAGGTGAGCAGGCTTTCCCTGAGGCCAGAGTAAAGGTGTTTCTGTGAGAGCTCCTTCCAGGGCAGCATCCCGATCCAACTTTGCCAATTGCTTGAAATGACAATTTGATCATATTTTATTAAGGTGTCAAAATGTTTGTTGGGAAGTCATACTCTCATTTTCTCTTCTTTTGCCTTTCTTTTCTGTTTTCATATCCTTATAGAGCCTCACTCCCCCTCCTCTTCTTCCCTGAAGCTGTCTGAAGCACATAGACCACACTTTCCATGCTTTTCAATAAGCATCATTACATCTACTCCAGCCCTGAGTCCCCCTGCACCCTATGACAGGAACAGAGCTGGAGATGTTCCCGTTCAGTATTTTGAAAGACTTTTCTGCTTAAAGTCAAACTATCTGTGGGTGAGTTCTGGCTCCAGGTTTCTTCCAGGCTCTTCCAGGGCTCTGGCTGCCAGCTTCCTCAGGGACAGTTGGTGACCATACGGTTGTAAAATGTAATGTCTTTCTGTACTTCCGGGCCCAGCTGCTTCTGACCCACGGTGACATCATGAGAGGTTAGCCTTCAGGGAGGAAACCATTTCTACATCTAAGGATTTGACATTCCAAAATTTTCCAGATGTGCTTTCATTAAAAACAATCACGACGATGATAAATGACCATAAAAACATGTTTTTCCATTTATTATACATGATCCTCTATGCTCTTAGGCCTCTAGAGTCATTTTGGAAGTGTTAATGACTCAACCCCTCATCTGCAGAAGATGGATTGGCCTTGGTACTTTTACAAAGTCACCAAAGTAAGAAATGACCATGGAAAGACCAGGCGCTAGAGCACAGATAAGTTACATCAGACAACACCGTTCTCCAGGAAACCTATGAAAGAAACCAGCAGGAAAGTTACATCCCGCAGATGCCTCACGGAGGGGTCTGTGTTCCGTTTGGTGTGTTAGTTAAGTGAGAAGATAGGATTCAGTTTTTATTTTCAAGGCGGTATCCTCTTGCACATAGACGTTCCTTCCCCCTTTCTGGGTATGAAATACCAGAAAGGTACAAACAAAGTTCCCAAGAGAAAGAGGATCCTCAAAAGGAATGTCCTTTTGAGATACTGGATTGGCTTTTTAGGGTTTGGGATAGAATCATCTTTAAAAGTAGGATCTACATGCACATTTGTGCTCAGAGCACTATGGACTTCTTCCTAGGTGACTTTGGTCAGTTATATAGCTTCACTGGGCCCTTGATACACAGACACACATGTACAAATATATGTATATGTATGTGTATTAATATATATCACATACATATCACACACACAAACACATACATACGCATACAAATATATATGTTATTACTTTATAGGGTTGTTGAGAAGATCAAATATTATGTCCATATTATTTAAATGTTATTAGGGTTATCTAGGGGTTTATTTGTGGGTTTTTTTTTTCATTAAAAACAAATATTTATTTATAAAAATAATATTGCATTTGAAAGAGCCTGAAATATCCCTGGTACAGAGAAAATCCCATAAAATCACTGAAGGCAGGAGGAGAGATGCCATGAGATAAAAGTTGGTGTTTTTGGAAAACTATTTCAGAACTCTATTAGGGAAGAGAAGTCTACACAAAAACCCAGGAGCCAGAGGCCAGAATAAGGGTGGATCTGCCAGTTGGAGCACAGAGGTTTCTGGGGAGCAGAGGGAAAGAATAATGCATCCAGAGTTATGTCCTGATTACACTAGGAAGTAGTCTCTAGATCACCTGACAGACTGGCACAGGGAAGGGAAGGATGGAAATGATCTGAAGTGAAAAGTAGGCAGATGGTTGTGGCCGCATGAATTAGTCGCAGAAGTCAGTGCTAGGGAGAGCAGTGAGAAGGCCCAGCACCATGGAAAATCACTGGCCCTGGCCCCTCGAGGAAAATAGGAAAGGAGAAAAGGGAACACGTGTGAAAGATACTACGAGAAGCAGATCAAAAGGACTTGGAGACAGATCTGACATGGGATGAAGGGCAGCCAGTGAGGGTGTCTGGGGGTACGGAGGCCAGAGGTAAAACCCGGAGCTGGAATAGAAATCTTATCTTGGAGGCTTGCCAATAAGCTCCAAATTTAATCTTACGGTTCATCTTCCGAGGGGAGTAAGAGTAGAAGTTTCTTATTGGTTAGATGTAACACAAACGTGTTCTCAGCGTCACTTTGTGAAGTTCTCCAGGCCAGGTTTCTGAGCTTCATTGGGAATGTTCTTGGGCCCTGGGCTGAAACCTCCTCACGTGTTCTTCTTTGGCTTCAAAAGGAACAACTGTTAGCAGATACAATTTTGAGAAAGATCCATCACCCTGTGCTGGAGATGCTTACATTTTAGTACATACCTAGTGAGAACATTGAATTATTGGCTGCCAGCGTGGGAATCTCCATCTTTCTGCGACCTAGCAGCCCCAGGGTGCACTTGCCCTTTTTTACTGCGTCCAGGAAATGCTGTGCATTCTCCAGGTTGAGGAACAGACCTGGGATTTTTTTTTTTTGTGGCCCTAATCTTTCTTATGATAACATGTGGCATTTAGTGCATTAAGCAGGTGGAAGGTGGTGGCAGAGTAAGATCTCAAGATGGAGATGCTCTTGGCCTGGTGTCTGAGCTTGGTTTTAGGGTTGACCTTCCATGTGTTGGGACTGCTTTCTTCTTTTAATTTCTAATTAGTGTTGTGTGTCTGTTTTAACTCTCTCAAAGGCAAGACCTGATTGGAATAGCACTAGCATTTCTTGACCCACCTGCAGATTTCTGCATGTCCTACAATCATCACATTTACTATAATTAATATTATTATTTCTACCTGCTGTTTCAGCCTGGTTTACTGCCACATAATTTGCCAGGGGTCTTCATGCCAACTCCTTGGCAGCAATTCTGCAGAAAAAACATTACCCTTATACTGATGGCAAAGTATGGCTTACAGAGATTAAATGGCCTGCCCAGGAAAGAAGGTACTTCACCCCACCTCTTTCTGTCTCTAACGTCCATGCTCATAGTGCAGAGTTCTAGTTTTCAACATGTTTCTGGCTCTTGCTCATGAGATTCCATTCCATGATTATTAGAGCAGCTTTGTAAGGTAAGGAGTAAGGAGTATTGTCTTCATCTTAGTGGGAAAAGAATTTTACATGGGATTGACTTTGATGACTAGGGTATAAGACAAACTAGCAGAATTGATTAATTTCTCCAGACTTGACAGTCAAGTGTTCTATGACACGCAATGCTGTCCACCCTCCCCTCCATCCACACCTGCCAGCGAGCCATAACCTGTGTTTCTGGTGGTTTTCTCCTGTGTGAACAAACCTTTCTAAAACCTAAAGGGAGAACAGGATCCTTTGACTATCTGCTGACAGTGATATAGTAGGATATAGGTGCTGTTGCCAAATTGCTACCTACTAGTATTAATATTTACCTGCTACAAAGCTGAGAGTGAGAAACAGCAGAGCCAAATCTTTGGGGATAAAGAAGCATTGTCCCTTTTGGTCAAGAGAAAAAAAATCACATCAACTCATTTCTCTCTTGGAATCAGCAGGCTTCATTCTTTGGCAGGTGGGAGATTAATTTACCCATAAGCGTAGGCTCCAGCTTCTGAGAAGCCATGATTCCTATTAGAGTTGCCAGGCAAAAATAGTATTGTTTGCTTAAACAGCTATGATTAAGACCCAGAACCACTTGTTGGAGTTTGTGGCCAACTTTCCAGAAATGTCTCTTTAAGATAAGTACTGTGTGGTGGGCAGCGATTTCTGGGAAAGGAGAGGGGAAATCCTGGTTGGTCTGTGTCTCTGGGCCTGCTGACAGGCCTCCATCTGTGACACCGATGACACCTGGGATGTCCTACCTTCACTTGGGGCATCAGTGAATCAGAAAAGTTCAGGCAAACAACACGAGGCCACAGAAGCCCGAGAAAAAGCAAACATGTTAAACTCTCTGGAATCAGATGGTCCAGAGGCTGCAGAGGAGGAGCACATAGGGCCTCTAAAGGACCTTCTATAGAGAGGTGGGAAGACTGTCCTCTGTTCCTCCTGAGTCCCGTAGCCTGGAACAGGACCAGGAACATCACTCTCCTCCGCTCCGAAGTCCTCAGATTTGGGAGAGGCCAGAGGAGCAGGAATTGGGATTTTTAACTCAGATCGTGGGTGGGCCTGCCTGGGGGCTGCGAGTGCGAGTGGTCCCATCCACAGGCAGGTCAAGCTGACAGCTGAGCAGCTGAGCTACTTTTCTTTAAAGTCAGGCACTTGCCCTGGGGCCTTACAGGGACACAAGGCCGGGTGGCAGCTCCATGTGTCTTGCCTGTGGGGCCGTGACACAAGAGGAGAAGGAATGACTCAGATCAGGAGGGGCATTTTCTTGCTGTTTTCCAGATGAGCCGTGGAAATCACTGTCTCATGGCTTTTGTGCTTATTTTCTCTTCCTGGGGAGAGTAGTCCCCGAATATCCATGTGACAGTTCCTTGTTTCAATTGCATCTTTGCTCAATGTTTACTGCTTTACAAAGGTCCTTTCTAACCATTCTCCAAAAAAAGCACACTACCCTCATTTTGCCTTCCGCTGTTGTTTTATCCTGCTGTATTTTCCCCATGCCCTTCAGAACTACCCGACAGTGAAGTTTCAACTTACTTTTACCTCCTACATGAGGCTAGAAGATTCATGGAAGTAGAACTTTGCCTCTTTTATTTACCCCATGTCCCTAGCACAATGCCTGAAAAAGAGGCACTCCATAAATAGTAAACTTACTATGAATCAATAAATCTTTAAATTAAGGCACAAATGAATAAACCTAGCAAGGCTTAATGTCAAAATCCATGAGTGCCAATGACAAGGGGTCACAATACATTCTTCCTTAGTGCGGATTTCTTTTCTTTACTTTTTTTTAAAGATTTTTTATTTATTTATTCATGAGAGACACAGAGAGAGAGAGGCAGAGACACAGGCAGAGGGAGAAGCAGGCTCCTGGCAGGGAGCCTGATGTGGGACTTGATCCCAGGACCCCTGGGATCACGATCTGAGCCAAAGGCAGATGCTCAAGCACCAAGCCACTGAAGTACCCTCCTCAGTGTGGATTTATAAGACATTTATTATGCTGAAACAAATAGAATAAAGTTTAAGATAATTCCTCCATGTATTAATATTTTTGCCCTTGAATATGCTTCTATTTTAAAATTTACTTTAAGAATTCCACACTAGTACTAAAGACATGTTTAATAATAATGCCTTGTTTTTTTTTTTTCTTTTTATGGTACAATGGTTTACAAGGGGTTTACAAAATGATCACCTTCATTATCTTCTTCCATTGGAACTGTGGCAGGGAATGGTTAAAGTAACATGGTCAGGAAAATGTGGTTTCAAATCCCAGTTTTGATGTTTGCCATTCATGTGCCTTCAACCCATTAAACCTCAGTTTTATCATTTCCAAATTGGTGTATACATACTCTCCTCATGATTCCGGAACCTACCGGGCAGTGAATAAATGGCAGCTACTATTATGATTATTGCTGTTATTATGAGCATTTGTGATCCATCTGTTATGACTGAAGAGCTGAACAAATATGCTTGGAGACCCCTAACTATTTGCCCCCATAGGAGCAGCAGCAAAAGGCATCTAGAAAAAAAAGGCAAAAAAAAAAAGAAACAAACAATAAAAAAAAAAGCCACACATCCAAAAACAAAAACAACCCCCCCCCCAAAAAAAACCCCACAAGTTTAGGTGTTTAAGTGCTAATATTGGCTCTCCAGGATTATCTTCTTGGTTTTCTCATTTGAATTAAAACATTAAATCCCAAGCCTGCGTGATCACCAAAATCACTAGCAGGAATTGAAAAAAAAAAATTTGAGATTTCTAGGCCTAATTCATAAAGATTTCACTCTGGCTCACCTGGGCTGAGGCTCCAAAGTATCCGTGTGTGTTGCACTCTCTAGGTATACATAATCATCAATCAAATGTGCGGACCACTGGAATAGATGACTTCCAAGGGCACGCCTATAGCCTTCTGAATTATTATGATGTTGTTGAAACTGTTTTGAAGAATTGACTATTTTTGTGCTGAAGATATTCCTTCTCTAGAGGACATCCCCCATCCTTACCGATCTCTAGGGAGAAGTGTCACTCAGGTGGAAGGTTATTCTGAAACTTGTATAGAAGTTGAAGAACATTAAAGGCAGATGAGGGGAAGAGAATGTTGGAAGCTGGTGCTTTCATTTTAGTTGCACAAATCCCATAGAAGAGAATTTGCTAAAGGCACAGGAACTTTCCTCTTAGTATGTTAAGCTTTTGGCTCAGCTCCCTGTAAGATCTCACTGGAAGGACTGCCTTGGTTTCAGTGGGGAATGATGCATCCATGAATCACCATGTGCTTTCCAGACACACACTTGTTCTGCAATTATGTCTGAAAATAACTCAGAGAGGTGGGCTCAAGGATGAGCAGTTAGGAATGGTGCTCGGGCAGGCACTGATGCCATGCCAGGGTCAGACTCTGGGATGCAACAATGAGGTTGATGAAGTGGGGTATGTGGGATTGTTATTGACTCCACTCTCCCAAAAAGCCCTGCTGTCTAGGATATCCTGTTTAGATTCATGGGAGGAGATAGACTGCCTACGGTGAAGAGAATCCTGGAACTAAATACACTGGAGGGTATAAACATTGCTGCATTACTTTTCAGGAAAAAGAATGTGCTCCAAGGCAGACCTTGTAAATCTCATGCGGCCGCCCTCCTTGCAAATGTTCCCAGAGGGCAACGTATCCTGTCTAGAGTTAGGATCACACAAATTAAGGTTAACAGTTCTTCTGGGAAGCTTGTTTTCATCACAGAACCATTGAAGAATCAGAAAGAAAACAGGAAATTAGAGGCATCACCATGGTATAATGACAGACCGTGCTTCTGCATTGGATTTTAAAAGTCACTTTGTTCTACTTGTAATTACATTTTTATAGGTAGGAAACATACCTTAAAATATATTCTCACCTTTAAAAAAGTTGGCAAAGACTCTTTTTCACAGTTTGAGCTAATTACAGCAAGTCGAATGATGGATGTCAAAATGAAATAATTCTCAGAAAGGTTGATGAATAAAAGCAACTTTCTAAGACATAGTTTACCACTATAAGTAAACAGATATTTCAGCTTCTACAACAAAAATTTATTCATTGGTGTTTCCCATAATAAACTTACTCTATTTTAGTGCTTCAAATCAATATTCCTTGAGAAATTTTAAACAAATCTAGCAATGTTGTGGGAAAATTCTTTGCCCTTTTAGAAAACATACCTAGAATTTTAACTTATGGCAAAATATACATCATACTTCCAGCTTTGGGTTAAATTTTAAAGTAATTGTTTTGCAAGTATTCACTAACCTTTTCCTTATTTGGCTGATAAGATAGAAAAAGCCACAACTTGTCTTCTCAATGCATCTGTGTAAAAAATTCTCCTAGCTTTTGAAGGCTCATCATGAGCTACAAAACTAGCCCTTGGCCTCTGCTCCTGTAATATATTTCAGCCAAAAATGAGCCAAAGATTCTGGCAGTGACAGGGAGGTGAATCTGTGGCTATCTCAGAGTCATAATTTTAACAAGAAATGATTGGGCACACATTTATTATGTGGTGAGCTCCATGCCAGATGGAGTAAAATCATGAGAAGTGGAAGAAATAGTCCCTGCCCTTGAGAAGCTTACAACTAGTGAACCACACATGATGTGATACAGGAAACTATGAAAAAAAACCACTCTGGTATATATATTGCCTGGCTTGCCTGTGGTTGCTGTGTGCTGGACAGCAAATGCATCTAGAATGCCAGAGAGTCATTCAGTCTGGAGACAACTTGGAAAGGTGATGAAGAGCTGGAGATATCTTTTATTTTACATTCTAATCTGTGAATTTTGCTTTCATTGAGTACCTATCATGTTCTGGACACCAGGGACACACAGTAAGAACTAAGAGCCCATGCTGTGTGCGTAGGCAAAGAGCAAAGGGAATTAACTGAATGACTTCTCCCAGAGGTCTGCCAGCCATGTTCAAATCTCAAAATACTTGAATGTCAAGTGAATGGTGTTGGAAACATGCTGACTCATTCTTCTGAGTCAGGACCATGGCTTTATTGTCTAGACTGTTGCCAAGGTCCCCCTGTTAGGTCTCCCTGCTTCTGTTCTTGCCCCTTCTGGTCTAGTTTCAACATTTCAACATAGCAATCCTTGACCTTGGAAACCAAAGAGGGTGAGAGGATGGAGAGGAAGGACAAGTCCTGAGCTTAGCCCGTGAATCTTTCAAATTCAGACACCATGACACTGGGACCAGACACCATGACACTGGGACCAGAAAGAGCAGTCACCTTCCTCCTTTATTTTTTTTTAAAAAGATTATTTATTTATTTATTCATGAGACACACACACACAGAGAGAGAGGCAGAGACACAGGCAGAAGGAGAAGCAGACTCTATGCAGGGAGCCTGATGTGGTACTCGATCCCAGGATCGCGGGGTCATGCCCTGAGCCAAAGGCAGATGCTCAACCACTGAGCCACCCAGGCTTCCCACCTTCCTCCTTTAAATAGTGAAGTCATGGGGTGCCTGGGTGGCACAGTCAGTTGAGTGTCCAACTCTTGGTCTTGGCTCAGGTCCTGAGATCAGGGTCATGAAACTGAGCCTCATGTCAGGCTCTGCACTCAGCATAGCCTGCTTAAAATTATCTCTCCCTCTCCCTTTGCCCCCCTCTCCTGCTTGCGCTCTCTCTCTCTCTCTCTCTCTCTCTCTCTCTCTGTCTCTCATATGAATAAATAATTCCTTGAAAACAAACAAACAAATAAATAAATAGCCAAGTCATAGAGGGAACACCATGAAGGGGGTGTTTGGTGGTGACAAGTTGACAAACTTCTTTTTCTCTAAGAAGGTTCATTAGAAATCCCTCGAGGCTGCCATGTCCAGCATCCACATAGTCCTGTCATTGCCTTGAAATGCTGGGCTGCCTGCCACATTCTCTCTTTGCCATCCATGGTGAGTTCTCATGGTTTCCTGTGCTTTCCTTCCAGTTGCCTCAAGCAGCCCAGTACCTGCAGAGTATACTGTTGATGTGGAGATCAGTTTTGAAAATGCCTCCTTACTGGAGCCTAACAGAGCTTATGTGAACAGCCTCAGTTTCCCAATTCCAGGGAACAGCACTGACCTGGGCACCAACATTTTAAGCATTGAGGTGACAACAGGTGAGTCAAAGACCCATTGCTTCAGAATGGAGAGTTGGACATATCAGGGGAACGGCTGTCTGAGCTCCTTACTAGTAGAGTAGGTTGTTGTACTTAGGAGGCAAGTGAAATAAGCCAAAAAGCCCTGAGGTATGGATTTTATGACTTCACATCCTTCCAGAATGAAGCTCCTATTGGCAAATTCTGCAGCCAGGGTCCTTATGTCAAGTGGTGGCCACATGTTTGCTTGGTGGTTTGTGTATTGGTTGTCACAAAATACATCCCAAGATACTGCCCAGTCTTTCATGAGAAACTCCTGGGTGCCATGCCTCTGGGTAATCAGTGGGTACAGCAAGGACTGGTTCAGGTATTAATAAGTGGCAAGTTTCCTTCATTCTGGCATCATAGGTCAGGAAATAGAAACCAGGTATACACCCGGATTGGAAGCAAGACATAATCTAGAAACCTCCAGGCTATGAGATTGGGCCTTCTGGTTACTGCTTTCTCTCTGAAGTTATGCCAGCTGTCCTAGTTCTCAAGCACCACGACCTGGGAAGCTTGTCTTAAACAAAGTTCCTGCCTTGCTAGCACTGAGAGATACTGGATTTTATGATGTTCAAATGGAGGCAAGAACAAAATTCTTGTTTTTAAATTTTTTTTTGATTTCTCATATTTTAAGTAGTCCATCAATATCATCTATGCGTTCCAATTTTTTAATTTTTCATATGTACTAGCAGAACCTGAAATGGCCACTTCATAGCTCCCTTTGGATGCCACTTCCTGTCAATGCTGAAGCACGAAACTGCATCAATGTCCACAGATTCATTAGAGCTTGAGCATCCTTCTTATTTCAGGAACAATGATTTGATGGCTTTCCTTTGGGTAGTCACTCTGTGGGCCTTCGCCTAGGAGCTGATCCTTAGAACAGACAGCTCCTAGTGATATGGCATTAATTGAGTTTTAAAAATAAATTCAAAGCGCTCTGTTTTCAGAGCATAATGTCCCCAGTGGAATCAGAAACTGTTTGGGTTGTTCACATTTGATTAGAAAGGTAAAAGGCACAATTGTATTTGTATTCTGTATTTGTTATCTATTGCTGTTTAACAAATTACCCCAGAAGTTAGCATCTTAAAACAACAAACATTTACTGTATCATACGGTTTATGAGGGCCAGGAATTCAGGAGGACCTTAGCTGGGTGGCTCTGGCTCAGATTGTATGAGGTTGTAGTCAAGCTGTCAACCAGAGTAGCAGTCCTCTGAAAGCTCAACTCTGGCTGGAAATCCACTTTGAAGCCCATTTATGTGGTTGTTGGCAGGAGGTTTTTGTACCTCACAAGGTCAGCCTCTCCATGACACGTCCTCATGCAATTGGGCAGCTGGCTACCCCATAGCAAGTGATGAGAGAGAGAGGGAGAGAGAGAGAGATCACAGAGGAAAGCCACAGTGTCTTTTACATCATAATATAAGAAATGATATGTCATCATTTCCACCATATTCTGTGGGCACACAGACCTAACCTAGTACAGTATGAGAAGGAGTTACAAAAAGGTGTCAGTATTCAGAAATAGGATGCTCAGGGCCCATCCTTGAAACTAGCTACCATACACTGTATGTCCAGGAATATGTTTTTCATGTTATCATTGTAGGCATCATCCCCTGAGGTAGTCAGAGCAGTCATCCTTTACATGGTGATGCATAATGGGAATCACATGAATCTCATGTAATACTCTTGAACTTCCCAGAGGGCAATATGGAGTCAAGTCAGGATATTCTACAAGTATAAATACTTGTCTATAAATATAAAGGTGGTGACCATCCTCTCTCTCCTCACCATTCTGGCTAATGCTAGTCTGCAGACCTGCTGGAAATGAAATCTGGTGCTCCTGTGAGGCGGGCTATAGGTGGCCTCAGGAAAAGTGCCTCCACAATCCCACTTGTCAAGAGCATGACAGCTCCCTTGCGGGGCATCGTTGCAGTTGCCTGAAAGGACTACCTCCCAAGGGACCTTTTTGCCAGCTCCAGGGAGGTAAGTAACTGTTCATTAAATGTTTCTTTGCTGATTTGCCATTTGATACCAACTCAAGCAAATGTTTCTCCGTCCTGTGTGTATTCACATGCTAACACGAGATTTTGAAATATTGCCCTGCGTTTTTTCAGCAGATGTTACTTTAAGAATGTCAGTCAGACTCAATGTGGGCTTTCAGGAGGACCTCAAGAATTCTTCCTCTGCTCTCTATAGGTCCTACAAGACTGACCTGGAAACAGCGGTAGGTTTTAGCCCTGGGAACCCCTTAACCAACCAGCTCTTTGGATTGAACTGAATCTGTTGCATTTACAGTGAATGATTTGCTTGAATCTGTCAGAATTTATGAATATGGACATTGAAATTATTCCTATAACATCTGGGATAATGGATTAAGAAGTGCTCAAATCAAATAGCGTTCAGGGGATGATTTGACATCATCATGACCTGTAGGTGGAACTTCTTCCCAGGGTAGAATTGATTCTGAGATTTGGTGGCATCAATTCACTGAATCTTATTCAGAGATACAAGAACCTGGTCTAGAAGTGCCTGATGGTACATTTCTATTTGTCTTCACACACCCCCTGGATGAAGCCCCTAACATCTTTTGGGCAGATCAGCCTAAAGCTAGTACTGCGGGTTTCAGACCATTCTATATTAGAGATATGGAGGCATTCTCACTTAAGACAGATTTAAATTTACTCATATAAAAATAGAGAATATTCCCTGAATGTTAGCTGTGTGCCAGACACTATTCTAAGCGCTTTACATTGGATTAATTCATCTGAGCCTAAATGCTTTGCTTGAATTAACTCATTTAGAATACAGCTTCCCAATTGGTGTGCTACAAATTATTACAAGTAGGCTGAGATATTGACTTCCGTTAATTCTCTGGGCAGCCAAGCCCCTTCCTCAGGCCAGGAGTGCCTCTGCTTACCCTTTTATTTATTTATTTTTTTAAAAGATTTTATTTATTTATTCATGAGAGACACAGAGAGAGAGAGAGGCAGAGACACAGGCAGAGGGAGAAGCAGGCTCCATGCAGGGAGCCCAACGTGGGACTCGATCCCGGGTCTCCAGGATCAGGCCCTGGGCTGAAGGCGGCGCTAAATCACTGAGCCACCAGGGCTGCCCTGCTTACCCTTTTATACCACAGAAATTATCTTCATTTTCCATGGGTGCCATGCCAAAGTGCTGAAGAGCTCTTGGGCACTTGATTTTCATATCTCGCATGTAATAGTTCTGCACAGCATGAGAAGCTTACACACACACACACACACACACACAATCAATCAATTACATACCTTTGTGGAAAGAGAGAGTGTCATATTAATCTTCAGATCCCACCCCTCCACGTACCTGGCACAGTGCCCTGCACACACAGTGCTTTGCGTACAACATCTGCTTGCAAATGTGACTTGAATTAAAATGAGTCTCCTGTGAGTTGGTATTCAAAGAAACCTCCCCATTTTCTTTGCTAGGCATTTCCCTGGGTAAAACTCCCCGCACATTTCATCTGGTGCTTGCTTCTTGGAGGACCCAGCCTGATATAGGTAGATAGGAATTACCTCTTCAAGGATCTGCTGATGCCAGCATTAATAAAAAATAGAGGAAAAAATTTTACCTGGGGTGGTAAAGAATATGTGTTTCTTACTCTGCTTTAAATTTTTTGACTTATCTCTCACTGGACCTTGATACAATGACACTTGTCTTACTTTGTTTTCCAGTTCTGGAAAGGTTACAGTACTTTACCAGGCTTCAAATTGGTGACTGTGACAGGATTCAGGTAAGAAGCTGTAATCAGATCATTTTTACCCAATAGCAGAGACCAATATGTTAGTGAAGGAGAAAAAGCCTATTAAAGGGGCATCATGTAAGACCCTCAACAGGACTACTTTGGTAGAGGTGATGATAATACAGGTTGCTAGGGGCTTAAAGACAGAAGCAATGCTGAGAACAGAAACTTGCTTCTTACATATGTATCTACTTCCATGGAAAATGAGCAAAAGCCCTGTGTTTATTCTGTGCATGCAAGAATTTTACAGACAGATATGGGAAAAATTTGCAGTCTAGAGAGCTCCAAAATATAAAATGAAATAATTTCCATGCATGATGCCTTTATTCAAGAAAAGTTGTCCACCAGCCACAAGCACCCAGTTGCACGCTACTGTGTCCTTGGCTTCCCCTGGAATTGGCCACCATGGCGGTCCTAAGCAGGTTAGCACAATGTTTTAAGGAGTTAGTTGCCAATTTTCAAGATAGACAATGTTCACAGAAACATTCAGGATTTTGCCTTCCCTTGACAGTCAACCTATCTGGTGCCCTTGGGCCAGCATGCCCATGTGACAGCAGTATCTGCGTTGTGCCTGCCATCCTAGGGCCAACTTCTGTGACTCACTTCACTCATTCCCGTCTGACTTTTGTTCATTTGTGTTACCTGTCTGCGTACATTTGAGTGTGCAAGTCCTGCCTCAGGCTTTCAACTAGAGCTTAATAACAGGTTGACTTGAATGAACCTTTGAAGATAAAAGTACCCAGGCTATTCCTGCCTTTTTGTTTGTCCACTGCAAATAAACCTTGAGGATCTAGACTCTCCCAGGTCAGTTACCCACCTTACTGAACTGAGTGGTCTCCATCCAGGCCCGGAAGTGTGGTTGTGACATATGAGGTGAAGACTACAACACCATCACCTCGATTGATGCATAAAGCAAATGAGCAAGTGATGCAGAACCTGAATCAGACCTACAGAATGGACTACAGTTCCTTTCAAGCCGTTACTAGCAGTAAGTAGGACATCTCCATGTCTTTTCTATACATGGATCCCATTTAGATATAGTAATGGTATTTATCATTAGGCTTGAAACTAGGAAATTCCATTTTAATGCCCTCCATGGACAGAGACTCTGGTTCCTGGCACAGAGGTTTATGTTCCACCTCCCCATCTGAGGCATGGTCGCAGAGCCTCCTAACCAGGCTAATATCATTGCAATTGGAAGGGTGGTTGCAGGGTAGAGAGATTTTATAAGAGGGTCACAGAGCCATCTGGGTTTATGGATTTTTAAAAAAATTAGAAGGCCCCAAACATCCAAAAACTAACAGTGTGGTGGGGGTTGGGATATTACAAAATGCACAGATATGAAACAACTGACACTGTTATTTTAGAGCAGTAGTTCTCAAAGTGTGGCCCCCAGACCAGCAGCATCAGCACCACCTGGGAACTTGTTAGAAATACAAATTTTGGTGGTGCCAGGTGGCTCAGTCAGTTAAGCATCTGCCTTTGGTGCAGGTCCCTGTTCAGCAGGGAGCCTGCTTCTCCTTCTCCTCTGCCTTCTGCTCCCCCTGCTTATGCTCTCTCTCTCTCTCAAAGAAATAAATAAAATCTTTAAAAAAGAAATACAGGGATCCCTGGGTGGCGCAGCGGTTTGGCGCCTGCCTTTGGCCCAGGGCGCGATCCTGTAGACCCCGGATCGAATCCCACGTTGGGCTCCCGGTGCATGGAGCCTGCTTCTCCCTCTGCCTGTGTCTCTGCCTCTCTCTCTCTCTCTCTCTCTCTCACTATCATAAATAATAAATAAAAAAAAAGAAATACAAATTCTTAGGGCCACCCCAGACCAACCAGGGCAATGGTGTTTTTAACAAGCCCTCTAGGTGATTCTGAATCATAGGAAAATTTGAGAACCCCTGCTTTAGACCACATAGAGCAATGATAAAAATATGGGGGTATTAGATGTATGCCTCCATTTTACAAATGGCTACAGAGTTGTATTCTGTTGTGTTATTAGGTGGATGGACCTATTGTTACTTGGGAAATAGAAAAGAAAGCCAGCTGGGCCTAGATTTGGCAAGTAAGAATTTGCTCATGGATATTCTAGCTAATTTGGGTCCATGGTTCCAGACTCAAGGTGATTCCTCTTTAGGGTGACACTGTCCCCCATCAGGGAGGTCTCTGAAAGGACTGTCGTAGGCACATCTGGGAGAAAGGGCACCCCTTCTTAGGGATTAGGCCATCAATCCTCACAACAGCTTCATAAATTTTGTCTTTACATTCTCTGGTATTGTTAGACACCAGATCATTTTTAAAAACAAAATATTGAAAGATACATAATTGTAAGAAAGTACTACAACACAAGCAAGAAGAAAAGCAAAAAAAAAATCAGAATACATAAGATAGCAACAACACAGGTGAAAACAGGTAAATTAGGGATCCCTGGGTGGCACAGCGGTTTAGCGCCTGCCTTTGGCCCAGGGTGCAATCCTGGAGACCCGGGATCAAATCCCACGTCGGGCTCCCAGCATGGAGCCTGCTTCTCCCTCTGCCTATGTCTCTGCCTCTCTCTCTCTCTCTCTCTCTCTCTCTCTCTCTCTCTCTCTATCATAAATAAATAAAAAAATTTTTTTAAAAAAAGAAAGAAAACAGGTAAATTAAAGGAAGGGGAGTAAGTAGCCTAAGAGTATGAGCTCCTATGGAAGCTTCCAGTGATGCCCCCCATCTCCTGACCCCTAACGCCACCCCCCAACCAACACATGTTCTGCCCTGAAGAATTCCTTATATTTATGATCCTGAGGGCATGGGTGACCATCAGAATCAAGCATTGGTAAGCTTCAATTATGATTACTCCTTCCCCCAAATTTCAGTTGTGTTGAGGATAGTCAACCTTTTAAAAGAGTAAGTATCCGGCAGTGTGACTGATTAGTGGCTTATTGTCGGTCCAGAAACATGGTGCTAACAGTACAGTTCACCAAAGTGCTTTGGAGTTTGTGGCCTTATTCTTCCACAGAGCAGTGGAGTCATTGTGGATGACACTCACCACCATTCCCGCAGAATGTATCCATCTCTGTTCTCCTTGGAAGACTGGAATGATTCTGTGATGTGCACAGTCTCCGAACAATAAACATGAACATAGGTCATGTGCATTTCCACAGGATTGCTCCCACATCATGCTGCTCTCCATAGCATTGGTGCTATTTACCTAGAGTATAAATATCCAAAAGGTCAAAAGACTAGGTTTTGTTTGGTATTACTTTGTTTTAATTATAATTATATTTGGAGGCAGCAGAGAAGAAGAGAACAAGAAAGAAAAAAAAAACTAAATGACTGAGCTCATATCTGAAAGTTATTTTAAGTCTTTATGAAATACCGAGGGTATAGGACAATGTTCCAAACATTTTCATTTATTTGGTCATATACTCATCCTTAAAATAATTGTTTGATTAATTAGCAGGGTTGCTTAACCAGAATGTCCCTTTCTTTAATCACTGCCAATAAATTCATGGTCACTTCCATATAACCACATGATACCGGCAGTCTTCCTAGTTGTTATTGTTAGCCACTGTGATGATGAAAAGAGACACACTGTTATTGTATCTTTTCTTATTAAGTCCCCTGTTTCACACAAATTGTGTCCTTCCATATCCTGTGAAATGGGTTCTGTGATCTCCATTTTAAAGGAGAGAGGGTAAATAATTTTCTCAACAACACCTAGTAACATAAGTCTATATGACTTCTGTGTCTATTTGCTACCTTGTTCACAGGAGGCCTTGTTGGGTGTGATATTTTAAGATCTTCTTTTATATAGGAGCCTTAAAAAAGTGATAAGAGATATTTAGACCCCTTGATGTTTTGACTAGAACATCATAGCTCCCCAAATTAATTTTATGGTGTCATGGTCCCATGTTGACAATATGGAAAGGGTCTGGCCTGAGCATGAAACCCATGCACGACAACAGCCCTAACAGAACTTCCTTATCCAATGCCTCTGATTTCCTCAATACGTGGAATTCATGAAGGATGTAGAATAAGAAACACAGCTTAAAGGGGAAAAAAACCCACATATTGTGTAAGCAAAGGACAACCATAAACACACACGCACGCACACACACAAATAGCAAATGTTGTGCTTTATTTCTCTTTGTGAAATCACTTAATGCCATGGTTCTCCAGAGTTTTACTATGAAAAGAATAAAAGCTACTCTTCACCCAAATCACTTCCCCATAGCTCTTAATACTCCCGTTTTCCAGACAAGAAAGCTGAGGCCTAGAGAGGCTAAGTAAATTCCCTAGATGTGTGGCGCAGAGCCAGGATTCAAATCTGGGCCTGTGTGTCTATAAAGTTCTCCTTCTTAACGGCCCATGGGTATGAAGTCTTTTTTAAAAACTCTTAATTCTTAACAGACTTTATTACAAGAAATTATTTTCTCCCCATTTATAATGCATCAGAGACATAGGACCGAGCTTTCAGTGGTATAAGATAACCTGTTATCAACAGGAAGTAGTTGATATCATTGAGTCAGTGGCAAAGAAACTTGAGGTTTAAATGAGCTGGTGTGGCTTTTTTATAAGCCAATGAGCATTTTCTACCAGACTATATGAAATATCGCAATTAGCTTTGGAATCCCCATTACTCCCAATGAAGGCAATTGAGTGTGCCCAGACTCCACACTGGATGCCAATCCCTGGTATCTGGCAGGTGGTAACTCTTTGGGCCTCAGACACAAGAGATCCAGGGTTGGAATGAGGGAGATGTATTGCCTCCTTCTAGACAGCACCACAGCCCTGTGTAGTGGTGGTGTCTCGTGGGTTGTATCAATTCCATTCATTTGCACTGGGATTTTAATATCTTTTCTTTGGGTTTTCAGATGAAACTAAGTTCACCATCATACCAGAAATCATTTTTGAAGGGGACACGGTAAACATGATGTGTGAAACCGACGTTTTGTCCTCTAACGTGTCCTGGCACCATGTTGAAAGGCACTCTGACATCCAGAACAGCAGCAGATTCTCGGTTTACACCACCGTGCTGAACAACATGACCTCAGTCTCCCGCCTCACGATTTACAACATCACCCAGCGGGATGCAGGTGGGCTTCCAGCCAATGACTGGTGCGGGAAAGGGATAAAGAGCTCGTAAAGAAGCAAACCATGGAAGACATATATAGTGTTGTCCTCTTTGAAGAGAAGTCACCACGCTCAACTTTCTGAAATTAAAAATGAATTCCATGGCATATGAGTAAGCAAAGCTAGCCTTGCAGACAGAAACAGATTTCCACATTTACCAAGGGCTTATGAGTTGAAAACTGAGACAGAAAGCTGGCTTTTATTCTTAATCCTTAAAAAATTGTAAACAGTTTTGTTGAGATCGAATTGACATATAATAAGCTGTACGTATTTAAAAGGTACAGTTTAATGGGTTTTGTCCTAGGTATACACCTGTGAAACTACCATCCTCCTCGGGAGTGAATGTATCCTTCACCCTCTGGCCAGTTTTCTTGGATTCCATTGTAAACCCTCCCACCTCCCGCTCTCCTTCCCCAACACCCACAGAAGCAGAAGTTTTAAACCTGAACTCTAGAATTTAATAACCCCATTGTAACCCAGATGTCACCAGGGGCATCTCTTTTTCCCTGACTGAGAAGCTGGGTTGCGGACACATGGGTCCTATTACATCTTTGTTGATTCTGATTTTGCCGCAGATGCCAAAATCATCCACGAGCTTCTAGTTCTCCAAGGCTTTCCAATTTTTCCTTTCTACCTCTTCCATCCCCACGCCTTTTTTCTTATTAGCAAAGACTGAGATTTCTGCTCCTTCCTTAGAACATCTCTCTACTCATTAATTTGTGCCATCAGAAATGATCTGCATTGACCTTCTGCACTTCTTGAATGTTTCTTTAGGGTTTTCTTAGAGCAAGTCTTGGATGCTTTTGAAAACAATGCTTCGTGAAGTCCTGACATGACACACGAGATGAGGCTATCATTCATCAAAGGAAATCCATATACGTAGCAATAAAAAAATGCATTTGTAGGGGCGCCTGGCTAATGTAATCGGTTGCATCAACTCTTGGTTTCAGCCCAGGTTGTTATCTCTGGGTCTTGAGATTGAGGCCCAAGTCGGGCTCTGTGTTCAGTGCAGAGTCTGCTAGAGATTTTGTTTCCCTCTCCCTTTGCCCCCCAAACCCCACCCTCTCACCCTCTCAGATAAATATATAAATCTTTTTAAACAAATTCATTTGTTTATTCTATGCAGGTGAATATATTTGCAAGCTGACATTAGATATTTTTGAATATGAGTCCAGAAAAAAAATAGATGTCACGCCCATCCGAATTTTGGCAACTGAAGAAATGAAGGTGACGTGTGACAACAATCCTATATCTTTGAACTGCTGCAGTGAGATTAATGCTAACTGGAGCACAATAGAATGGAAGCAGGAGGGGAAAATAAACATTCCAGGTAAGAATGTCAGATGGCCTTTTGCATATATGTTTGTGCCCCTTGGCCAAGTAAAAATGGGAGATGCACTAGATGGGAGAGGAAATGTCAGATGGCTGTTTTTTCCCAAACTTTAGTCTGTAAAAACGTTACTAGGCTTGATGCCAGCTCCAGCTTCGCTATTCTCAAACAACATTCCAAAAATATGTGCATACAAACGTCATGCTTGGATTGTAGACAAGTTCCTGGCTGAGAAGACCTGATGACTTAGGTCCACAGTATCTCCTGCCTGTAGAAAACCTTGCCCCCATCCTCCTTCCCTCTTCATCTTCAGCAAAGGGCTAAGGATGAGGCCATTGGCTTCGTTTTGGAGTCAGACTTGGAACTTTTCTGTATCTCTTCTCTTTGTGTCCTTCTCATGTCTCAGGCTCTGTCCCACATCCTTCTGTATTACCCAATTCTCTATCTCTGGTTTGTTTGTTTTTACCTCTCTGTGTAGACCTGTTCATCTCTCAAATGTTCCATGTCAATTTCTGATCCTGCTTGGCTTCCTTTTAGATCTGAGATATTACTGGAAATTCTCTACCCTCCAGTTTATACTGATGAATGATGATGATAATAATAAATTAAAAGAGTGATACTGACTCTGTTTTGTATAATGGTTTATGATTGACCAATGTTTTAAAAATGTGTTATCACTTTTGAGCACATTGAACCTTGATCACAAGTTTGAAGCTCGCATTTTTTGGCCTCCAGTTTGCAAATAAGGAACTTGAGGTCTACATTGACTTATCCAAGGTTGTCACAATAGGAAAAGTAAGAAAAAAGAAGACTCACCTCAGGTCTTATTTCACAAGACCAGTGTTTGCCTTGGCGAAACTATTTTAGCCGTGCCTGATGAACCAGTGCTAGAGCAAGCTGATCTGGCAGTTTGTTCTGAAGCAGAAGACTTTTTTTGTCTAGAAATTTCATGTAACACGACCCGATCCTTCCTTAAGAAATGACAGTTTTATGTGTTCATCTTTACACTAAAATATCATTAAAGTCAAATGTGGCTTTTCCCATGAAATACATCAGTGTGGTAAGGTTTTCTTTTACAAAGTCTTTGCCATTCTATCAGACTCCATTAAGTTGTAAAAAAATAAAATAGTGATTCGTTTACATGCAACTTCGCCTGAGCCCATCTATTCGCAAAGCACATCTCACCTGCTGCTTTAGTATTTTACTTTAAATACTCCGAAGAATGGGAAAGGCATCTGGTAACTGTTGGCACATGATACATTTAGTCACTTCCTTGATTTTTCAGGAAGAGGAGGTGTAGGCACCTTGGAGGAGCTGCCAGATGGGAGAAAGACCTTGCAGAGTCCCTTGATTCTGACTTAATAAGCGTTCAGCTCTGAGAGGTGAAAACCTTGCCCTCTGGCAGAGGAGCCAGGAAGTCTGCAGAACAGATGCTCAGGGACCTCGCTGTGGCCACCAGTGCTCAGACATTTCTAATGCCCAGTGCAGCCAAAGCAGAGGCGGAACAATGGATTTCCTGCCACAGGGCTGGCCTCCTGGGGACCTGCACTGTCCTTCTCTGATGAGCTTAGCCTCTGCCCTGGGCACCTTGCCTTCCTCCTCCCCTTGCAGCTCCCCTGCTCTGAAGCACTCTCTCTCACTCTCATTCTCTCTCTCTCTCTCCAATTCCACCAGTTCTTTAGCACCCATTTTTCTGGATCAATAGGAGACAGTCTAGCAAAATAATTCACTCCAAAGCATAAGGAACTCAATGTACCGCCTCATCTCAGAAGCATTTCATTTTCAAAACACAAAGGAGGGGCACCCAGGTGGTTCAGTCCATTAAGCATCTGCCTTCGGCTCATGTCATGATCCTGGGGTCCTCCAATCGAGCCCTTTGTTGGGCTCCCTGCTGGGCCAGGAGTCTGCTTCTCCCTCTCCCTCTGCCTGCCCCTCTTTCCTGCTCGTGCTCTCTCTCATATAAATAAATAAAATCTTTTAAAACACACACACACACACACACACAAGGGATAAGACAGAAAATAATCAGCAAGTGATAGAATTTCTAGCGTAAAGAGGGTGGTCTTTTTTGAATAGGAAGGGGCTTCCTTTTTGACTCCTTGGGCAGCAACTAATGATACAAATGATAATGGTACAGAAGTAATAGTATCAATACCACTACTACCGCTAGTAATGATAGAGATGGTAATAGTTTCTATTATTATTGCAGCATCTAGCCTGACTGTGTGGGGTCGCTGGCTTTGCCTGCGTGGAAAAGGATTGATTAATTGTGGGAAATGAAGAGCAACAGAGTTTGTAGTCTGACTGGAGCTGTTATATGGTGGGATGAGAAAAAATAATGGAGCCTTACTCCCCTCCTTGCCCACAAGTTAGAGCAGTTCCCAGATGAGTTCATAAACTTCCTCGTGGCCCCGCCTACCATACTCCTGTGGCCCATTATCACGTGGAGTGTTCATAAAACAACTGAATCGTGACAAGAGGGTGCCGGCTCCCTCGTGGCTGTGACATTGCGGGACATGAAGGGAACAACTTCAAACTCCACAGTCCCCTTACTTGCATCTTTTCTTCCAGATTGCCCCATTGAAATGTTTAAGCATATATTATCGGGTGTGCTTGGATGCTGTCTCAAATGGTTTGGGCTTGGTTTGGTTTGGTTTTGTTTTTCTGCTGCCAAACAGGGCATTAGTAAGCTATAATGAAGGGAGACTGGCTGTTTTTCTTTACTGAGTAGAAATCAGTCTGTGGCTTTCAAGACACTTGATGAAGTGCCTAGTCTAGAGGCCAGCTGGCTTCAGGGTTTGAAGTGAGCCCTAAAGAGAGAAGCAGCTGGAAGTGGTACATGGCATCTGAGGATGCCAGAGGCAGTGTTCTCCAACCGAGCTGCACATGAGGGTCACCCCAGAGGTTTGTGAAACAGTCCGGCTGCCAGGGCTCTACCCCAGAGAAACCATGCCAGGATCTCTGGGTTTGGGGTCCAGGTGATGTGGTTTGATGTGGGGTCCATGAGCCAATGGCCAAGAAATAATTCTTGAGCCATTTTTGGTGCTAAAAGGTGGTTTTATTAAAGCAGAGGGACAGGACCCGTGGGAAGGAATTGATGCACTGGGGTTGTGAGGAGCAATTGGTTGTATACTTTGGAGTTGGGGAACATAAAGACGAAGGAAGTTTCCAAAAAAAGATTTTCATATGTTGAAGAAGACTTACAGGATCCTGAAGCCCTGACTATTGTCAGGCTAAGGTTGTTTTTTCCTCCGGCAAGGCATTAACATTAAGATTGGGAGCTTCCTGCAGGAAGCTTTGCCTGGCTTAAGTATTTGCCAGTGAGCTGCAGGTTAGAAGGCAACCGAACTTTATCTGCATTTATTTTGCCTTTGTCCCCACATCACAGACAGTGGTATAGCTTCTTAAATTTCACTGGAGATTTTATTGGGCAAAGGGGAGTGAGGACCATGCATTTAGTCCAGTTCTTCATTTTACACAGGAGACACTGAGACTTTCTGTGCACTGCCCAGGATCTCTCCCTGACAGTAGTGAGGCATGCCCCGGCCCAGCCTTGCTCTTTCTCCCCCTCCATGTTTCTCTATGTGTTCCGAATGAGCCATGGATGAATTTGATTTTATATAGTGATTCCTCTACTTGTGGGAATGCCCACGGAATTGGATAAAAGAAAAAGAGAGAACTTGAGCCAATTACTCTGTTCTGGAAAAAATTTTCTTGAGGGCCTGTGCTCTCCAGGAAGATAATACCTAGTCCTGAAGAGCCACAATCCCAGCTCTGCCATGTGTCCTCTTCCTGACACAGGGCCAGTGACTCTCACTTTTGTCCATTAAATATTGATAATGGTACTCATTTTTACAAAATTTTGTGTGGTTAAAAACCAAGATGATAAATGTAAACAATTAAAATAGAGTTGAATACACTGAATCTGCCACAAGAACTGTTTTCTGATAATGTTGATAGCTTTAAAACCCATCCTTTCATTTTTCCTCAGTGTGATGGGAAATCTTCTGTGGAGAGTTTGCTTCTGTTGAGAACCAAACCTGTGATCGCAAGCCACCTCTTCTCCAGAAAACGCAATACCAACTTATTAGCTGCATTCAGTACTTTCTAGAGCAGGACCCTGAGGGGCAAAAACCCCGGCCCTGGGTACTGGGGCAGTGGGGTACTAGACGAAATACAGTGTGAATGCTGCCAATCAGAGATCCTGCTTTCGTTTTCTGAGTATACCATCTCTTTGGAGGCCTTCTGTACCTACAGGTATGAGCCTCACAGAATGAGAACGTAACTCCCTTCCACCCCATCAACACTCCCTTTCCTGTTTGTCCCCTGAAAGGCAAGCCACAGATTCTGTAATTTTTTCCCACCAGTGATTTTTCAACTTAACTGTAGAAGCTTTCTTCAAGCAAAATCTTGTATGGTTGTGTGATGCAGGGTTTCTCAACCTCAGCCCTAGTGACATTCGGGGCTGGATAATTCTTTGCTGAGGGGAGCTATTCTGTGCATTATAGGATGTTTATCATCATCTTTGGCCTCTGCTCACTAGATACTGGTAGAACCCCCAGTTGTAACAATCAGAGCTGTCTCTGAACAATGCCAATGTCCCCCAGGCAGGTAAAAACACCCCCTGGTTGAGAACCATATGCCTGGTGTGCAAGGCAGGCTATAGTGGAGCCACTTGAATTATGAATGGGATTAGGGGCTTATTACCACCCCACCCCCACCCCACCTGGCCTGGCTCCTGAAGCAGGCTACTAGACCACATTCTCCAAGGTGAACTGATTTGCACATACAACTGTACCCCAGAATACTCCAGCCACCATTTCTTTTAAGACTTAGAGCAAACCTCCATTCCTCTCTGAAATCTCCCCTAGTCTCCAAGAAAACTCCCCTGCTTCAACCTCCATAATATATTTATTTCCCTCTTATGAAACCTCTCTGCTATGCATTATAATTTTTTCTGTACATCTCTTTATATTATCCATTCTGGAAACTCATTGTCCTGCACATCAATTTGACAGCAAGGCTGGGCCTCAAAAGATAAGTAAGCATCAACAGGAGGAAGAAGAAAGGGGAATGTTCTAGATGTGAATACAGCCATGAGGGTGTGAAGCTATAGGACACATTGAAGGCCCAGAACACGATGTGTTTTTTAAGAGAGGGTTATATAATGAGATAAAGGGTACAGAGGCAGATTGAAATTGAATAAATACACATACCATACTAAGGAGATTCCATCTTATTTTGTGCACAATGGTAAGATTTAAAGCTAAAAGGAGAGAAGTCAGGTGATCAGAACCGAACTTTAGAAAAACAGTCTTTAAGGTATGTAGCCAATACAGATCGAAGGGGCAAAGAACTGAAAATAGAGATCCAGTTTCAACTGGATATAATTGGCAGATAACAGAAAATGCGGCGGGGTGAGAGACCATGGGTTGGAGTGGATAAGACAGTGCTGAGATGTTTCAGAGGAATAAACCAGATGCTTTTTACAGCCAAATGGAAATGAAATGTGAAGAAATGCTTTAACAAGCAGTTAAAGATGACTTTGTGACTTTTAATTCTGGAAGCTGCTAGTGGCAAGAGGAGAAACAAAAAATGTGCAGGCTTTGTCAAGGGAGAAGAAAGATCGGTTCTTAACTGGACATGTTGAGTTGGAGATACCTAAGATACGAAACTGGCATTTGGGAATTTGCTTCTAGAGTTTACAACAAGAACATTTCTCTTATAGATAGAGTCAGGAGCCATCCAGATATAGGATCCAAAATAGGAGCCATGGATGTGAATGAGATTGTCCAGTTAGAGAGTAGAGAAAAAACTAAGGAAAGAGTGAATATCACAATGCTTGGGGAAAAGGAACATTGGCATTGGTGAAGGGAACATAAGGAAAAGACCCTGCGAAGGAGACCCAGAAGGGGGAATGAGGAGAAGATAAGCAGGAGAGACCTATGAAATCAAGCAAGCCAAGTGACAGGGAAGGTGGCCCACGGAAAGGGATGCTGGGTAGTATGAGAAGAAGCCACTGGATATGGGAGAGAGGACATCACAGTTGGTCTTAAAGGAACACCTGAGGTGGCATTTAGGGGGGAAAAGACAGATCACATTGGTTTGGTGGAAGTAAAAGACCATAGATAGTGAGTACAAGACCCACATGGTAGGAAGAGGGGAAGGAAATACAGTGGTGGCTAGGGGAGCTTTCAGGTTGAGGAAGGATTGTTCTAGGAAGGAAAGGCTTGGGTAGATTGGGTGGTTGATGTGAAAGAACACAAGGGAAAATTAAAGTCACAAGGGAGAGGAAAGATAAGGAGTGGAATGAGGTCCTGGAAGAGGTAGAGAAGTGGGTTTTCAAAAAACAAGTGGAAAGATGAGCCTTAGAAATGAAGACTTCCTCTGAGCTAGGAGTTCATCCTATCAAGTGGGTGAAGGTGGAAATTGATGTATGGGGACTGGGGAGGAAAACTGGTTACACGGCAGTCAAAATATTTCAGACCTCATCGATCATCCAGCCAAGGCTGGAAAAGATGATGCATATATGTTGGAATTAGTCAGAAGGCTTACTCTTTTTCTTTGATTTTTGGAAGTTTGATTGACAGTGTTTGATTGGAAGGCCTTAAGAGGACATGCTGTTAGGCAGGGTTAGAGAAGAGAGACCAGAGGGACTGGAATAGAAGAATGTCACAGGAGGGAGTTAATGAGGCATTGGGAAGAAGGAAAGATGGCTGGGTGGCATGGAGTCTTGGGACCGGAAAGGAAAATTTGGAAGAGGAGGTATTTTGAAGGGGGAACTGCTGCTAACCTGAGAAAGCAAGAAGTTGAAGCTTCCATGAAAACATATAGATTAATAAGAGAGGACAGGTTCTGATGGAACTTCTCTTAGATGAATATCAGATGTTCCAGACTTCTTTCTCCTTTCAATAATAATGGTGTAAAAATCTGTCATCTTTGTCCTTGTGGTTGAAATCAAATCCAAACAACTTACTTCTCTTTTTTAATTATTGTTTTTCCTACCCCAGTGACCATCACTAATGGTCTGTGTTAGGGGCAGGCCCTGACCAGGTACCATTCTAAGTGCTTCTGTATATTAACTCATTTGATGTGACTACAATTGGGCCTATAGCTATGATTAGTTGTCCCCATTCTGCATCTGGAGAAACTGAAGCACAGAACAGTTTAGTGACTTTTTCAACACCACCCTTCTAGTGAGTGGTAGTTTGGGATCTGCAGCCAGGCAACCCAGCTCCTGAGTCTGCAGACCTACCCACCGTACCATCCTCCTGCTCCAAAGAGAGGAAATCTGATTTAAATAATAGCTCCTTTTCACCGATTTGGCCTCTTTGCTCTTAAACTGGAAGAGTCAGCCAACTGTGATAGCAAAAGAACTGCTTATGTCACTGCAGGCAACCCTGAAACTGACCTGGAGTCCAGCTGCAGCAGATACACCCTCAAGGCAGATGGAACCCAGTGTCCGAGTGGGTCGGCTGGAACCACGGGCATCTTTGTGTGTGAGTTCATCAGCACCTACGGAGCCAGAGGCAGTAAGAGCATAGAAGTGACGTTCATCTCTGTGGGTAAGAACTCTTTCACTAGAATCTTTAGCCTGGCACCTGAAGCCAAGGGCTGTCAATCCCTTGGGAATATCTGTGAGCAATAAAGCAGGGCTTCCCCTGGTAGAAGGAGTACAATGGGAGTAAATCTCAAGTGGAAGACAGAAGAGGATTTCCCTCTTTCCCATTTGAATTCAGATAAAGTCTTAAAAAAAAAAAAAAAAAGAAGAAGAAGAAGGATAAGGCTGTGAACCCATGGCTGCAGGGAAGGAAAGGCCCACATGGCACTGATAAGGCAAGAATGGACTGGAAAGTAGTTTTGCACCCGGGTTAGTTCTGTTTAATCATTGAATTTATAATGAGGGTAGCACCCCTACTTTTCCCCTTTCCTCTCTTGGTCCCATCCTCCTTCCCTTGCATTCTGATAGCCTGGCTCATTGGTCACCACCAGCAGGTGAAGACCTGCCCTGTCATCCCTTCTCTCCCACTCTACCTATTCTAGAGAGAGTGCTGCAGAAAGCTTTAATAATCTAGTACTCTACGGTTATTTTATACTTGTCCTGAGAGTTTTTTGGTCTTTTGACTAAAGTCTTTCGACTGAATTAGGCCTCTTAAAAGTGCCATTTCTTCCCCTCATGCCTTAAAACATTATAACTTCACCCCTATCTGTGAAATCGGGGCAGTCAAACTTGCTTTTCCTCACTATCTGACAGAAAATGAACAACTTAGGTAAATCATCAGACCCCCTTGAACAATTTGGAGAAAGGGCTGATATAAACAATACCTATTACTTCTTTTCACGCTTGCTACTCTCATGACTTAGCATTTTTATAAAGATTAAGATTACACTTATCAAAGATAAGTTCATGGGTCTGTTGAGCAGTTTGCAGTTTTCTATAGTGAGAGTGCTCATACACTTTGAGTTTCGACTCAGAGTTCTCTTGATTAGGTGGGCTTTTGACTGTCATAGAAACGTGGTTAGCCTTCACTGAAAACCACTGGTCTGGTAGTTTGGATCTTATCTGAGAATCAATAGAACGAGATTCATGGTTCCATGAGCCTCTACCTTTCCATGCTCAGAAACCACCAAACCTTAGGAAGACATCGCTACACCAGATCCCTATAGCCAGAGAGGGCATTGGGAGGGATACAGCAATCCGTGATGTGTGACTAGGGAACTGCATCTGAACGTTGGGATCCCAGCTTCTAGAGGCCACCATGGGAAGGCTTGATTTCTTTTGATTGTGATTAAGAGCCAGATTTTATACTGATGGGAAAAGCAGGCCAGGATCAATGGGCTCAAGGCATGAAACTGTTCATCTATAGAAGATAAAACAAATGGCATTTTGAAATGTCAATGACACACTCAAAGAAGAGTAGAAAGATAGAAGCAGAGGCCAAAAAAAAAAAAAATGTGGAATGTTCCTAGAAGCTCTTACATTTGTAAGTATCTTCTTAACATTCTTGATGAATAATTCCTCATTAATTATTCCTCATGAATAATGTCCTCATGTGTGAGGATATTTTCATAAGGAGGAGTAAATGTAGAAAAACTAATAGTTAAGGTACCTATCTCTCCCAGTTTGCCTGAGACAGTTCTGTATAATTATTTGGGCAATAAATTCTACAATATCTCTACTTCATATGTAGTTCTAGAAATTACTCTTTGGCTTAGTAAGTGTTGACTGTGTACTATGCTCAGTGCTAAATTCTGGGGAAGGAGAGTTCACACTTTTATGGAGAAGAGATAAAGAGAGAAGTTAAAATACAACACATTAGTATTTCAAAAGTGTTTAAAAGGGTAGAGAATGGAGCTGCTAAAAGAACAGAGCCACTCGGCATGCAAGAGGTTGGAGGGAAGCTCGGGTTAAGTCAACATCCCTAAGTTTGCAACCTTTTGCCCTGCTGATCATCAGGAGATAATTCCAGCCACAAAGGGGAAGTGCACGAGATCCTCAGGCATGATACGGAAATGAGTACAGTTCAGAGCACCACCGGGAACAGCCTAGAAACAAGTAAAGCCCAGGAGCAGCAAGGTACCAATCCCACATTGACACAAGTGGAGTCAGGACGGTCCATTGCTTTCTGCCTGTCTTAAATTTCACTCATGTGTCGATGTCACCAGAAACACTAAACATTGTGCTTGTTGTTGGTTTTTCTTTTGTCTGTTTTGTTTGCATTCTTTCAGCCAACCTAACAATAACCCCGGACCCAATTTCTGTTTCTGAGGGACAAAACTTTTCCATAAAGTGCATCAGCGATGTGAGTAACTATGATGAGGTATACTGGAACACGTCTGCTGGAATTAAAATATACCAAAAGTTTTATACCACGAGGAGGTTTTCTGATGGAGCAGAGTCAGTGCTGACAGTGAAGACTGTGACCCGGGAGTGGAACGGTGAGAGCAAGAGCAAGACCCCAGACCTTATTCTGCTGCCTGGGCCCCTGAAAATATCCTGTAAGAGGGACCAGACCTGGATGGCCTGTCCTGGGACATGCCTGTGTCATCACACTGCATACAAGAGCCCTTTAGGGGAGGATGTCACCATTTCCATTTCACAGGTGTGGAAATGAAGGCTCAAAGAGAATAACAAATGCCCCTAAGCTTCTACATCTTAAGTTGCAGAGCCTGTTCTGGAACTTGACTCTCTGATTCAAGAGCATGAAGTTAAGAGGGTTGTTTTATTATTTATTTATTTGTTTGTTTGTTTGTTTGTTTTTATTGTATTTTTTAAAAAGATTTTATTTATTTATTCATGAGAGACGCACACACACGGAGAGGGAGGCAGAAACAGAGAAAGAGGGAGAAGCAGGCTCCATGCAAGGAGCCCGATGTAGGACTCAATCCTGAACCCCGGTATCACACCCTGAGCCAAAGGCAGACGCTCAACCGTTGAGCCCCCCAGTAGGCCCTGTTTTTTTTTTTTTATTTTTAAAGATTTATTCATTTGCTTGTTTAGGAGAGAGAGAGCACAAGCAGGAGGGGCAAAGAAAGGGAAAGAGAATACCAAGGAGGCTCCCCACTGAGTGTGGAGCCCCACATGGGACTTGATCTCACGACCTGAGGACCTGAGCCCAAACCAAGAGTTGGACGCTTAACTGACTGAGCCACCCAGGCACCCCAAGAGGTTTGGTTTTAAAAGTAATTTTACCAGACTTTTGGGAGTTTTTCACCCAATCATGATACCAAAAAAGAAAAAAATCTAGGTAAAGGATTTATATGCCTGGTTCCAAAGAAAGGAACATTTGTATTTCGTATTTATCTCTACACATTATTTATGTTGAAAAGAAATGCAAAGATTTGGAGGGAATAAAAGATAATTTAGTAGAATCTGCAATAACAGCTGACATTCGTTGAGCTCTTAATATGTGATAGGTGCTGTCCTAAGTGTCTGAGTGGATTAGTTTGTTTAAAACAATAAGCCTAGAAGACAGTATTATTAGTATCCTGGTTTTACAGATGAAGAAACTGAAGCCCAGTGAGGGTAAGTAAAATATTAGAGGTTATACATCTGGTGAATGGTAGAGCCAGGGTGAAACTGAGACTGTCTGGTTCTAGTGGCCAACTGTTGACCACTCCATTCTGAAGCCTTTCATTAACTATAAGGTTAATTAGTCCAGGTCTTTATTTGTTCATATAAGGCCTTGGCAACATTGTAGAAATAACCAGTCATTGTGTGGCTGGCCTTGCGAGTATAGATTCAGGAGCTATTCTGAACCTGTATCTACTCTGTCCAATTGCTCTTTCCTACCAAGGAGGAACTATACCTGGGGAGGAGCCATAACCTTTCCAGTAACATAAACTATTTAATAGTCCCATACTTGGGTACTGAAAGAATCTCTTCTCATCTAAATTAACTGCACTTTTATTTTATATTGAATTTAAATTTCCCTTCCTCCCAAAAGCAATAGAAAGGGGTTGGTTTTCTGTGATTGTTCAACCTGTTTTTCCCTCCAGCTAGTTGCTGCTCTGGCTCCTCCAGGGTTGGGGCAGAGAGAGGGAATGTAAAGAAAATCAAAGGGTCTTACTAAACTGTAGATGTTGTAATAATCTTCCTATACTGTCCCAAGGCTGCTGTTCAGGTAGCAGCTTATCGTCTACTGGGTTCTGGCATAATGTACTCTGGGAGGGATGCCTGGGTGGCTCAGTGGTTGAATGTCTGCCTTCGGCTCAGGTCATGATCCCGGGGTCCTGGGATTGAGTCCTGCATTGGGATCCCTGCATTGAGCCTGCTTCTCTCTCTGCCTATGTTTCTGCCTCTGTGTGTGTGCATCTCATGAATAAAAAAATAAAGTCTTAAAAAAAGAAAGGAAAAAGGAACTGTGATTCTATGCCTAAAAGGCTGTATAACTTTAAATAAGCCACTTAATTTTATTTAAAAGTAAGTGAATACTTAGGCTATCGGTTGGTCCTTCAAATACGTAGAGAATCCAGAAGAGTCGATCAAACATTTTCTCTTCCAGTGTCCAGGAAAGTGTGATGTGCCCTTGCCCATGCTTGACAGGGAGCAGTAGTAAGCCTCTTCTGAACCTTCCTGGCCAATGCTTTTGTGGAGCAATGATTACATTCCATCTCATTTTTTGTTTCCTTCCGCTCAGGAACCTATCACTGCATATTTAGATACAAGAATTCGTACAGTGTCATAATGAAAGATGTGACCGTTTACCCACTGCCTCTAGAGCCAAACATCATGGTTGATCCTCTGGAGGCTACAGTTCCCTGCAAGGGTTCCCATCACTTCAGATGCTGCATTGACGAGGATGAGAACTACAGAGTGACTTTCCAAGTGGATTCCTTATCCTTTCTTGCAGGTAAGACATGAATTGCTGCATGGTGAGGACATATTATTTCATTCCTGTAGAATCTCAAAATTTCCTCTTAAAATAGAGGCCAAGAGACATGAGGATTGCATTAGTGATAGAATATAACTGTGTGAACGCCACGAACCTTTCTTACCTTCTGTCATACTGTGTGGCCCAAGGCTTGTTGGTCCGTGGCAGAATTTGAGAGCCTGTGAGGGTGGAGCCCAGGGGTTTTAGTGGAAGCTATTGAAGACAGTGTTAAGATACTTTCACAGGCATCTGCTTCCTCAGTCTATCGGGTGTTCTGGTGGTCCTTCCCTCCATGCTATGAATCAGCATTCTATAAAAGCACCACAAGAATCCTTTTAAATGCACAGCTGAGCATCTAAGAAAGTAAGAGAAATAACCATGGGCCAAAACTATTAAGAAAAAGAAAAATAGAAATGCTTTAGCTACTGCTGGGGCTTCTTTGAGGGCATCGGCCAGTAGGAGAAACCCAGCACCTTGAAGTGACTATGACACCCTAAGTCACCAGCACAATGTCAGGACCCTCAGAGGGTGACATGCTCACTCAGCAAGAGAAGCAGAAAAACAAATTTGTCTGTCATGGTTAAGAGCTTGGTTTCATCTGAGGGTGAGCAAAATTCTTCCCCCAAAATTCCAACTGCTCTGCCCCCACTGGGGTTTGGGTTTGAATTTATACTGCCTGTGTGACCCAGGAGCTCCAAGCTGAGGAGTAACTAAGGTAAAGTGCATAGCACCCATGGGTAGCACCCAATGGTAGCTGGCAAAAAAAGAAATTCAAATCCTCTATGGTAGAATGTACCCTCAAATCCAGAAGCCTCAGGATTCCAGATACCTCAGAATTCCTACAGGTTAAGGTCAACCAAATATGAGCTCACAACCCCAAATCCCAAAACAGAGATACCTTCATACATGCTCAATGCAAACACCATAGAAGGCAATGAAAAGGGGACAGAAGAGTTGGGGCACATATATTACTATCCAGCTGGAAGGGTTCATGTCATAAAGACAATGCATATAGCATGCAATTTCCAAAATGAGCAATGCAGATCAAAAGAGCACTGGAAGTTCAGAAAAGCAGGGCCCAGTAGAGATGAGAATTTAGAGAAGGCTGTATAAAAGGAGGATATAGAATCCATCTGGTCACTGAAGTATTTAAGCATTTCAATATTTTTGTGTTTAATGGGCATGCATTCAGTGCTCTCTATGTGCCAAATACAGAGCTAGGCATAGGGAGATGCAATGATAAATAAGACCAGGTACTTCTCTCCAAGTCTTTATGGTCTAATAGAGGAAACAGACCCATAAAGAGGTGACTCTAAACCAATGCGGTGAAGGCAGGACAGGAGAAACGCACAGGGCATGACAGGTTTTGGAGAGGCAGAGGGAAGAAAAGGGATGCTGAAAGGCATTCTGACTATCCAAACTGTACGGGCAGAGATTTGGAGTTATGAATGGTGGACACAGAGCGTAGGTGAGCACCATGTAAGTATGGACAGGCTTACTTCAAGGCTGGAGGCATTTTTAAAACTACATCAAAAATTAATGTGGCGCATGCCTTGGAAGAGTTTGGACATGTTTATCCATATTGGATCAGTTTAACAAAATGTGTGCTTTGGATATTCATCTTGTGACTTAATTCTTTCAATAATTCTATCTCAGAAAAAGAAGTTAATGGCAAGCAAGTGTGCTACAAATACAAGTTCATGGCAAGGACATCAGTTTCCTGGTGTCCAAAAAAGCTGGACATATTTTGTCACTTTACCAATGCTGCTAATAATTCAGTCCGGAGCCCATCTATGAAGCTTAATGTGGTTCCTGGTAAGAGCATTTGAAATTATTTTAAAATGTGATAATCATGAGCAGGGATTCATTTACTCATTCACTCCCTCATTCACCCATTCAATGAATAGATGTTAAGCACTTTCATGTGGCAGGCCTTGAGGTAAGGGTGGGAGATCTGAAACAAACAAACAAACAAACAAACAAACCCTAAGCCATGTGGACTAGCCTCAGGTGTAGGGGAAAGGTGGATGTGATAGATAAGTGATCACATCTAATGTGGTAAGGGCTGAACTAGAGACCCTAAGGGTCATCAGAAGAGGCTGCCAGTTTTCACTCTCCTGGTGATAGTGGGGAGGAAGTGATCAAGAAAGTCTTAAGGATGAAGCCCTATTTTAGTGAAGTCTGGGAGGCAAAGTACTATACTGAGCAGTGCATAGTGTCTTTATGGGGCTAAGTCCCCTTTGAGGTTTCGGCAAAGGAAGGGTGTCCCCATTAGACCTGAGGACACTGCTACATTTAAAGAGTCAATCTAAAAAACAGGCTACTGTCTTTCCCATTCTTTGTCATCACTGAGCCAGTATCCCTCCACATAATCTTTTCAAGGTAGGAAGTCATGGTTTATGGCCATTTCTGTAATAGCCCATGACCAAGAACTCTCCTCAGGAGCAGCATAGAGGAAAGTGAATAAAGGATTGTCCTGGGCTTTCACCAGAAGCAATACCCCCACCCCCCGAGAAATCTCTGTAATAGGACCTCTGATATCTGAAGGAGTCATGGCTCTGTCACCAATCGTGTTTGGGTTTACTGAGGGATTTGTGGTGATTATCACATGTGTTGGTAACTGAGCCCTGGACATCAAAGTAGGAAGCAATTTAGAGTTCCTTGTCTCTCTGAGTCACTGTCCCCTGACCCTACCAAGCACACTTTCTACAGGGGTAGCCAAGATCATTTCTTCACTGTCCCCCATGCCTCTATCTTCATCCAGGCACTGGCATATTTGATTTATCTTTGTTCTCCTTTTTTCTCATACCAGGTATGATTCATCTTCCTTTACCTAGTAGAAATTACTTACATATTTCAAGATTTTATACAATGACTGAGAACTCAATTAATGCTAAATTTGTAAGTTGGTGAGAAAGGGATCTGCCCATCAGAGAATCAAGAAATGAGATGAGAGATTCTACAACAAATGTCATTTTCCTGTTCAAGTCTGGTCTTCAGTGGATGTGAAATAGAGTCACCTCTAAGGGAAGCCAGAAGGAACAAATGTTTACAAACATTGCTTAGAATATTCAGGTCATGGGTACCTGAAATTCCCACTATTCATTATATATTTGAATTAAGGCAGTGCTTCTCAACCTTGGCTGCACACTGGAATCACTGGGGAAAGTTAGAGAAATAGCCAATGCTTAAATCACAGCCCCAAGAGGTTCTTAGTTATTTGGGCTGGAATGAACCTGGATATTGGTATTTTCCAAATTCCCCAGGTAATTCAAATATGCCAGAGTGGAGAATCCCTTGGATTAAGGTGTTATGTCCCTAAGATTCCAGGTAACCTGATTATCTCTTATCTGGATGATCTGGATGAGCACACATTAAGCTCTCATGATTTTTCCATTGCTTCAATTTTACAGGCAGCAGAGAGAAGATTCCCAGGCATTGGAGGATGGGGATGAGGCATAGAAGAAATAAATTCTGTTAGGAAAAGCAAGTGCAGGTGAAAGTCAGATTTGTGTCAAAAGCACTAAAAGGGGCTTTGGGAAATCAGGCACAAAATGAAGAAAGGGGGTAATTCTGAAGAGGTCACTGAAACTAAAGAGAAAAATGAATTCAAACATCAACATTCTAGCTAGGCCTGACTGACCGTATTTTGACGATCTTTTGTCCTCCTTTCAAATTGTCCCTTTTATTTCCATGTTTCCAATGCAGGAAAGAACATCATGTGCCGAGATCCCATAATAGGTGTTGGGGAGCCTGGAAAAGTCATCCAGAAACTCTGCCATTTCTCAAAAGTACCAAACATCTCTGGAGGTCCTACTGGAGGGATCATAACTTACAAATGTGTAGGCTCCCAATGGGAGGTGAAGAAAAATGACTGCATCTCTGCCCCAATAAATAGTCTGCTCCAGCTGGCCAAGGTGATCCTGAAGTCTTTGATTCCAAGCTCTTGATGGGGAGATTTGTCTAGTTTATCGTATTTCTTAACAAATAGGCCGTGGGATGCTTTGTGTTGTTTCCAAAGCTACTTTTATTTGTTTAATTCCAAAGAAGTTGCTATCCTAGAAATGCTTTACATTTTTCTTAAGTTCAAATATGGAGACAACAAAATATGTACTCTGCTCTGGGACCAGCTGTACCTTGACTTCTCAGTGCTGTGTTTCTATTACTTCCAAGGTGCAGGTAAAATTATCCTCTCATACCATTCTCCTTTGAATAATCTTGATATCTAGCAAGCAGCTCTAATCTTTTCAGAAATAGAAGAAACATAAAAAATAATTTCATCCGTGCAAACGAAATGTGCTTGGACTTTATTATAGGTCTGAGATTTCTTCCATCTTTAGAGGTAACCTTTAGTTATGAGAGATAGAATTAGCCTGGCTCTATTACTTAGAAGAGAGGTTCCTGACATGAGGTAGGGGAAAGTTTTTTTCTGTTCATAAAAATAAATAAATGTTACCTCATACTTAAGCTGTCAAGAGTAGAGCCTCCTAAAATGCTGTCAATTACAATAAATAAATACTGATGAGGCAACTAGTGGAGTTATAGTTGATGACATTGTTAGACAAGTGGTCCCAACGACTCTCACCATTGGAAAAAGAATTAAGAAAAAGGAGTGATATTGATTTGTGTCTCATCTAATTATCTCCTGTCTCTCCTCTTGTCTTACACAAAAGTAATTAAAATACCTATTATGGGGACACCTGAGTGGCTCAGTGGTTGAGCGTCTTCCTTCAGCTCAGGGCATGATCCCGGGGTCCTGGGATTGAGTTCCACATCGGGCTCCCTGCAGGGAGCCTGCTTCTCCCTCTGCCTATGTCTCTGCCTCTCTCTATGTGCAAAGCATTATTGTAGGTGCTATCAGGGTAAAGAGACCAAATCAGAATTTCATCTCTGATTTGTTAGAGGACATAATCCATTTGGGTAGTTCTGTACACATTATTTTTGCTTAGGATAATCAGGAAGCTCTGTTTGAAAGCCTTGGTCCCTGAGTTGGAGTTTGGTGAGGATACATCAGTAATATGAATTTTCCTAATCGAGAAAGATAGAAATATTATAATTTGAAATCAATTTCGGGCTTTGGCCCCAATTCTAGATACTTAGATACATTTTCAATGGAAAAAGGCCCTGTTGGTCTATCATGCTCCATTAAGTTTATCTGTTCAACATCTATTTATGGAATACCTACTATGTGCCAATTTATGACTTATACTATGTTAGACATCATAGTATATCAGAAGGAATATAATACATTTCAAATTGTTAAGGAGCTTATAATTTAACTAAAGAGATATTGAAATTAAGACACAAGATGACATTGGTAGAAATGTCGAAAATGTAAAGTGTGTTAAACAACAAACACTTTACAGGGGCACCTGTGTGGCACAGCCCATTAAGCATCTGACTCTTGGTTTCAGCTCAGGCCCTCATCTCAAGCTCGTGAGATCAAGCCCCACTTTGGGCTCTGCACTGAGCATGGAGTCTGCTTGAGATTCTCTCTTTCTCTCCCTCTACCCCTCCTGCTCGTGCTCTCGTTCTTAAAAAGATAAATAAATAAATCTTTTAAAAACAAACAAACACTTATGCAGTCAGATAAAGAAACTCCCCTGGGTTGGAATACTCATCAAAATTCTTTATGGAGAAGGTCAAATTGGAATTCATTCTTTAAGCAAGGCTTAGATAATTAGGAAACAGAAGTGTGATCATTATTATAGATGGGGTGACCATATAATTTACTATCCAAACAAGGACACATTTTGAGAATAAAAGAGGGCATTAGTAATAATTACACTGAGACAGTGGATATAAAACAGAATTGTCTCAGGAAAATTGGGATTAAGAGTCCCCCCTCCTAATGGTCAGCAAAGTAAGTCAGAAAAAGCAGAGTAGCAAATGTGCTTCCATTCAGACCATAAAGGGATAATCTTACTCAATTTTAATCTAGTTCCCTAGGAATCACATCTACTTTCCTTTTTCTTTAACTAGTCATCAGGTTGACATTTGTTTTACTGTTTCCCTTCTATGTGTGAGGTCTTATTCTATTCTGAATAGCACACACATTAAATTAAGAGATAAGTCATCTTATAGGATATATTTATAGGAATGGAGAAGAGAAGAAACCACAGATGTAAGAGATTTTCTTCATGGGTAGATCAGCAGGATTTGATGACTGATGGCATGTTTTTTGTTTGTCTGTTTGTGTTGGCTTTTGTTTTACTAGGCTTTGACCAAGAGCCCCACTCAGGATAAGAAGCTCCCAACATACCTAAAGGATCTTTCTATTAGCACAGGCAAGGTAAAACATGAAGTCAGCTCATTTCCTGGGAGCCTGGGAGCCATCGTTAACATCCTTGATTTGCTTTCAACAGTTACAACCCAAGTGAATTCAGAGATGATGATGGTGAGTTTGTTTAGACCTCATAGGAGCTTTGGGTCTCATCTTTTCATCCCTTGGGACTTGTGGTCAAGAAACATAACTCCTCCCCATTGCAGAACTCCCTTCTTTGTCTTTTTCAGAGCAGTACTCTGGATATTAGGGTCACATAGTATGCCTTGTGCTTTGTCAGCTATGGTTTTTAGGGACACAGGGAGTGATTCTAGTATTCATCTGGGGAACTTAAAAAGATTTCTTTAGCGAATCTCCGTCTTAGTGTCTTCATTAAAATAGAATGAATTCTTACCTGCTTTGGAGAAAACCAGGAATTAACAGATTTTCAGAATATGTATAAGGTGGGACTCTCAGTGGTCTAGCATTAAACATGAACTTTGAAGCAATCGGGGTTCTGAGAGGCGTCACCCAGAATTCAAATGAAGAGTTCAAATGATGAGCCTTCAATGAAAGGATACTTGTAGTGGTAAAGCCAGGGATAAAAAAAGCAAAACATAGAAGCCAGTACTACTCTGAGGACTAAAGGGGAAAAGAGAGGAAAGAGTGAGCCTACAGTGGAGGGAGAACCAGACCTTGGAGGAGGGATTGCTAGCAAGAGCAACAGAACTCTCGCCAAAGATGTGCAGAAGACATTATGTGTGTATAGGGGGTGAGGGGGTGAGGGCAGTGGGTAGTAGGAAGATAATATTTCAATTTCTTTCTTCTCCCACCCTCCCATCTCTACCAATGCTTCCCAGTGGCCAAACCTAGCCAGAAGCATCTGGCAAGCAGCTTGGGTAACAAGGGTCCAAGGAGGTTATTGGACCTCTAAAGCGAGTGTAATGAATTCCCACAAACTGGGTGGCTTACTGTGAGAGGAACTTACTTTTTCTCTCATGGTTCTCAAAGCTAGAAGTCTGAAATCAAGGTGTCTGTCAGACCACGTTCCTTCCAAAGTCTCCAGGGGAGACTTTCTCTGCCTCTTCCAGCTCTGCATAGTTCCAGCACTCTTTGGCTCAGGACTGCCTCAATATACCTCCTAACTTTGTTTTCACATGGTCTCCTCTTCTCTATTTGTCTTTTCCTCTTCTCTCCCTCATAAAGATGCCTGACATTGGATTTAGGGCCCACCTAGGTAATCTGGGATGATTTCCTCTCAAGATCGTTCACTTAACTACATCTACAAAGTCCCTTTCTCCAAATAAGACCACATTCACTGGATCTGGGTATTAGGACATGTTATTTCAGGGACCAGCATTCAACAAGCTACAAGGTGAATAGTTTCAGATTAAACAGGACAAGGCAAAGGAGGACAAAGAAATTATACTGAGAGAAAGCACAAATGGAAAATGACACCCAAGTTTATGGGAGAGAAAATCAAAATATTTAGCATAAAAAAAAACCAGAATGATTCTTTTGCCAACAGTTTGGTTTTCAGCATTGAAGAGGGTCTTTTGAAATAACTTCGCCCTTGCTGGTAAAATATCACCTTTACAGGTTTGAAGTTTAAAATAAAATAAAAGTTACTAAATATCTCTACCAGCTTGCTGAATTGGCCTTAGTGGGGGTGGGAGGTGGTTCTTGGTAAATGTTCAATGAGGTCTCAGAGTCTTGGGGACGCATCCTCTACTAACTCCCTGCCGTAAGGGGGAGGGACACAGAGCCCCATAACCTGGGATGCCTCATTATTCTCTTTTCTTTTCCTCTTACCCATGCAACCAATTTCCGGGGAAATGTTACTTTTTCTCTCTTTTATGATTGAAGGAATGTGGTTGATTTGACCCCATGCTATGTCAATTACAGAACGTTCTCTCTACGGTTAACACTGTCCTCAGCAAGCCCATGTTGAGTACCTGGAAGGTGTCCCAACAGCATCAGACCAACCAGAGCTCACAGCTACTGGATTCAGTAGAAAGATTTTCCCGAGCATTACAGACAGAAGACAGCACCTTTTTATCCATCAACCAAACTAACGTGCAGATGAGGAGCATGGTAATAAAAACTGGCCATCCAAAAACCTACAAGCAGAGCTTTGTTTTCTCAGACTTGGACCTCTGGGGCAATGTGGCCATTGACAAGTGCGAGGTGGGAAGCCTGCAGCAAGATTCATCTATTGTCACCGTGGCTTTCCCAACTCTCCAAACCATCCTCACTCAGGATGTTCAAGGAAAGAATTTTGCCAACAGCTTAGTGATGACAACCACCGTTAGCCACAACATAACCATGCCATTTAGGATTTCAATGACTTTTAAGAACATCAATCCTTCAGGTGGGGTACCACAATGTGTCTACTGGAATTTCAACCTCGCCAACCACACAGGGGGTTGGGATAGTAGTGGGTGTTATGTGCACAATGTCGATGGGGACAGTGTCTCCTGCATCTGTGACCACCTAACATCATTCTCCATCCTCATGTCCCCCGACTCTCCGTACCCTGGTTCCCTCCTGGAAATACTACTGGATATCATTTCCTACATTGGGTTATGCTTTTCCATCTTGAGCTTAGCAGCCTGTCTAGTGGTGGAAGCTGTGGTGTGGAAATCAGTGACCAAGAATCGGACTTCCTATATGCGCCACACCTGCATAGTGAACATTGCAGCCTCTCTTCTGGTTGCTGACATCTGGTTCATTGTGGCTGCTGCCATCCACGACCATTTGTACCCCCTCAATGAGACAGCCTGTGTGGCTGCAACCTTTTTCATCCACTTCTTCTACCTCAGCGTCTTTTTCTGGATGCTGACTCTGGGCCTCATGCTCTTCTACCGCCTGGTTTTTATCCTGCATGACACAAGCAAGTCCATTCAGAAGACTATTGCATTTTCTCTTGGCTATGGCTGCCCTCTTGTCATCTCAGTCATCACAGTGGGGGCCACCCAACCCCAAGAAGTCTACACCAGGAAGAATGCCTGCTGGCTCAACTGGGAGGATACCAAGGCCCTGCTGGCCTTTGTCATCCCAGCACTGATCATTGTGGTGGTGAACATGACCATCACGGTTGTGGTCATCTCCAAGATCCTGAGACCTTCCATTGGAGACAAGCCAAGCAAGCAGGAGAAGAGTAGCTTATTTCAGATCAGCAAGAGCATTGGGGTCCTAACACCACTCTTGGGGCTCACCTGGGGTTTTGGTCTTGCCACTGTGTTCCAAGGAAGCAATGCTGTGTTCCATATTATATTTACACTCCTCAATGCCTTTCAGGTAAGTTCTGCAGGGCAAGGTTCTCAGGAAGTATCTGTACTGGTGTGACAAATTAATGATAGAAACACAAACACGGGTTGGAATGGGGAAGGATTTTAGTTCAGAGTAGGCCCTAGCCCTAAAGAGCGGGAATTGCAAGAACTCAGTGAGCTAGAAGGGACAGATTCTTCTGCTCCCATGGAACCATATACCTCTTATCACCTGCATTATAATTTAGCTGCATGCATGACTTACTTTGAAAAGCCCTGAAAATACAAGTAAGAGGAAAGTCCCTTCCCTACACAGGATTTTGCTATTTATCCAACATTATCAAGATGCCACCAATTATCTCCTAAATGAAAATACCACTGTTAAACCAGGTAATCTCTCCAGTTAATTTCCACAAGTACTAAATGAGCTCTATCTCTGCGAAGTCAGGGGTGGCATCTATCTTATTTATCACTATATCCCTAATAGTGCCTAAAAAAGACTTTTGCACAGAGTAGGCACTCAATAACTGTCTGTTAAATACTATGAATTCCATGTACCACATAGTATGTTCTCTAGAAACATTTGCTGGAGAATGAATGAATGCCCTGTGTAAGGTAGACATTCTGCTCTATTACACCAAAATGAAAAAGGCACACTCTTTGCTCTCTTATAGCACATAACTAACTATGATACAAGCTGCATTGGTAGAAGAGCTTTAGCAGAGGTACAAGCAGCAAGGCTTTGGAGCACAAGGAAAGGAATGCTTAATTCTGATTCAACCAGCACATGGGTGGTAATCATAGGCCCCCATGTGCTGGCGAGGAGAAGAAATTGAGACAGTGCCCCCAATGCTCATGCTAAAGCCACACAAATCGAGACTTCTGCCTTGGGGCTCATGGCTTCAAACTATAAGGCTCATGTCTAATGAATTTTATAGTATGGCTTGACTACAAGGGACTGATTACTTCACCCAGTGCCCCAGGTCCCCATCACAACTACGTGAGCACTACTGTAGACACAAGAGGTGTATTCGATAGCACAACCAGCAGGTCCTCCAGTCCACAAGGAGGGTGGGGATAAGGAAATAGAATAATATCCTTATAACATTATAATATTTACGGTCCCCTGGTGTGGACCTACTGTAACCTTTTTAATGTTACTATCTATTGGATTCATTCCATAAATACAGATATAGGGAGAGATAGTACAAATTCAATGCCAGGTTAATAGTACTTCCTATTTGCTGGGCAATAGAATATGATTAAAACCCACCTCTTCCCAATTCTTTTCCAGGGATTATTCATTTTGCTCTTTGGATGCCTCTGGGATCAGAAGGTAAGAACAATAACAGTTTCATGCTTCTAGAAAAGTCAAAGGTGCTTGTGGCATATTGAACTTATGATGCCTTCTTTTAAACAATTGCAGGTACAGGAAGCCTTGCTAAAGAAGTTTTCACTGTCAAGATGGTCTTCTCAGCACTCAAAGGTAAGTCTTTCCTTTGTAGAGACTGTTGACAACCTCTCTCTCCACATCCAGGTCCAGCATGGATTATTCCACTGTTTGTGCTTCACACCTGATTCTGCTTATTAAAGCCAGCCACAGAACTGTCATTAAGATGCTGTCCCACATCTTTAAAGAGAGATCAGATAGCACAGTTAATACCAATTGGAGGTCAAAAGAATTCAGTGAGAGACAAGAAATCTCCTAGGGCAGTATAAGGCACTAGAGAACACAATGTGAGGGATGACGATGAATAGATTTTCTGCAGCTCGTTTTGGAGAATAACTATTGCACTCAAACGTGTTTGACTACGTTCACATGTCGGAAGATACCAAACCCTATCGAACAGTAAAACATGTATTTGATAGCTATTTTCCTAATTCTGATGAGAGTCCAGTGTTTCAAAGCGGCTTTCCTGCTCAATTTGTGTGAAGTAGAAATTCCTGCTGGTCCAGGCTCTCGCTTTCAAGTGGAATGAGAGATGCAGGCAGTGACCACTAGAGGGCAGCAAACGAAACATCCTTGAGAAAACAGGGCTGTGGTTTAACGTTTGCTTTGTAATTGCCTTTCTTCTCTTTTTTTAGTCAACATCCCTAGGTTCATCTACACCAGTATTTTCTATGAGTTCTCCAATATCAAGAAGATTTAACAATTTATTTGGAAAAACAGGTACGTAGTGATTTCTAGGTCACTCCCTAGAGCACTTAACTTTGGGTTGACTCAAACAAACATGCCCTAATGGGGAATCTCACACCCCTACCGTCCCACTCCCCACTTTACAGCATTTACTGACAATTACCTCATCTGGGGTAGGGGCCAGAGGTTAAATACAGGAGCTGGCTTACATTTTCCCAAACCACCAAGAGGCTGATACAGAGGGCAACTGCCTTCAGTGGGCAACTAATAATAACTTAAGAAGGCTAAGATTTAGAGAATCTAGACAAGCCTGTGGAGAGCTGTCTGTCTAAACTGTATCAACTACAAAAATGAGAACTATAAATTGTTGGCCTTGTCAAATGTGGAGTTCTTTGCTATTCCTGTTAAACAGGAATAGGAAGTTCATGTTTATGGGTTAAGATGCAGCAAAAAATATATTTAGAAAGCTCTAGGATCACATACTGTGAGTTTCTTTTCCCCCTTTTTCCTTTTCTTTTTTTGGAATGTACTAATTGTACACATTGACATTTGCAAAATTGTGCATATATGCAAGAGGAATTGCCCAAGTTATCCATTCTATTAGGAACATGCACATTTAAATTGCTATCTCGGAGGTATCAAATAAATGAAGTAAATGACTTTGGCAATGGGTCTCAGTTATTCTGGTAAGTTGAAACCTCTGCCCACCAGGCCCCACCCCCAGGAAAATAAGCACCAGAATTGCTTCCAGCTTCTTGAAAATGAACAGATCTCACCAAATGCAGAATCTAGACTTGTGTCCATATTCCAGACTAAGGCTTTTCCTATAAAATCATATTTGGAGAATGCCTATTGTTAAAACTGTTAAAAACTCCAGAGGACTTGGTGTTTGATGCACTACTCATGAAAGTGGAAGGTCTTTACTTTTGATTTTGAAAGTCACTGATTAGGCCTGTTGTGAAATTATCAAATCTTCAGGGTATAGTATAACCATTGCACTTGCCCCTCATGGTCACTAAATGATTCTCAGCGGAATCAGAATTATGCAATATATAAGGCCAATAAAGTGTGTTCTTTGTTTCTGAATCAGTCCGATGGAAGTTGGAGTTAGGGCTGTGTTCCTGAGGTCCTGGGGCTTGAGATTCCCAGTCAGTGCCATTTGATGGCTTCTTGAGAGTCGTTAATGCAGCTCTGGGTTGGCCTACTTGAGGGTCCCATAATCACTGTAACTTTGGTTTATGTTGTCAGCGGCCCCAAAGGGCCCCCCAGGCAATGATGGAAACCTTGTTAGCAGTGGCAGCTCACCAATCTGATGGTAGGGTGGGCACCCCGCCCCCACTTGTTCTGTGCTCAGTCCCTGCCTCCTGCTGACACCAGCCCATGTGGTTGCTCCATGGCTGCCCCCTCCGCTGCACCTTTGTTGGCATCCCCTGACTTCTGCTTCTTGTCCAATCCTTCCTTTTCTTCCTTTTTTCTTTCCTCTTCTTTCCTTTTTACCCTTTCCCCCCTTGCCTTCTGGCTCAGCCTCTGGGTCCCCCCCCCCAAGGGCTTTCATAAGTCACCCCAACCCAAGGGAACCAAGGAGCTTCCCTCACATGGATGTCTCCAGGCCCATGCATGTGGTGGCATGTGGAGGGCTGCCCATGTTCACATCTCCCTGTCTTTTGTAGAAATCTGGCTGCTGGTTTGATGTGAAGTAGTTAGTGCTTGTCTTGTCGGCTGCCACGCATGCTTGAGAACGACAGCTTTGTTTGTTCTCTGGCACTTCTGGGTCTTGGGCAGAGGGCAGGCATGGATTTGTTTCCAGGCATGGCCGAGCTTACCTGGCTCTTGAGCTAGAGCTCCCTCAGGCCAGCAGGAGAGATTCATACCACAGCGAACATGAAGACTTGTCCTTAAAACTGAGCTGCTGCTCTGTTTTTTAGGAACGTACAATGTTTCCACCCCAGAAACAACCAGTTCATCCCTGGAAAACACATCCAGTGCTTACTCCTTGCTCAACTAAGAACAGGAAAATCTACCCACGTGACTTCTTAAAGGACAGCGGATATGCTCTGAAAAAAAAAAAATCATTTCAAAGCCATGGGTAAAATGTTTTCTCCGCAGGCTTCCTGGAGCAAATGCTGAAGAGACTTTTGCATTAGGGAAAAGAAGCTTCCTTTTGTAAAGACAGACTAAAAGTCATTGTTAAGTTTATTTGCTGCCCCACCCCCACCCCTTGTGTGATACTATACATGTACAGTATTTAAGTGAAATTCAAGCCCCCAGAGGCCCAACGCCCCTGTCTATATTGTAAAATAGAAATTCAAAGAGACATTTCTACTTTTCACATGTTGGGCACAAGCATAAGCTTTGATTAAAATAATAAGCATGAGGCTAGGACCTAAGAAATACTTCAGTGAACTCTAAGAAGGAAGGAAGAAAAGAAGGAAATAGGAAAAAAAGGAAAAAAATAGAGAAAAACAATCAAGAGCCACAGTTTAAAATTTCCATGTTAACTTAATTATTCTGATACTGTAACATGGAGAATACAAAAGTGACTCAAAAACGGAAACTGAAATGAGCCATGGAGAAAGTTTGGTATCTTCCTGGTATTTTCTTAGCTAGGAGAGAAAAATTAAAAAAAAAAAAAAAAAAGAAAAAGAAAAAGAAAGAAAGAAAGAAAGAAAAGGCACCGGGAAGAGATAGGGAGGAAATTCTAACATTGGGATGCTTTCAAGTGGATAATAATATTTTCAAGGGATGCATGGAAGGAGACGTAATTCTCCTGATGCTAAACACACACATATATGCTGGTGCATGTTAAGGTTTGAGCTCAGTGGACGGAGCAAGCAGAGGAAGTGGGATAGCCGTGCTTTATCAGATACAAGCAGATCCAACTGCTAGTTACATTTTTTACCATTTTTTGGAGCAGCCTTACATTTTGGTCTGATCCACTTTTTGAAGACAAAAAATATCTATTTTTATATCCATCACTTGCCAAATGTGACATATTGTGATATAAATGTGATATATTGCACTGAAAACAGATCCTGACTGTCGTATATTATATTTAACAGCTTTAACCAGGTACTTCTCTGTGCATCATAGAATAGATTTTAATAATCTTATGGCATTGTTTATCATTGTGGTTGCTACTGTGCATTTAGGGGCCCTTGGTGTGTGGTATAGCCCTTACATTCCAAGACCAATATACATTAAGAGTTTTGTACTGTCTAATTTGTGTTTGTTCCAACCACTCGGAAATCTTCTGGAATGAAATGTTATGGTTGGCTACTCTCTGCTCCCAGTGATGCTTTACCTTGATGAGCAGATGGTGGAGTTTCCCCCAAGGATTTGATTATTTGTGAATTATGTCCAAATGTGTGTGTGTGTTTCTTTTGGTGTGTGCATTTCATAAAAATACAAATATTTATTAAAATTGCATCCATATTAAAGTTAAGCATGTGATGTAGCCACAGCAGCCATACATTCCAAATTGAAGTCTGATCCCAGAGAGACAGTGAAGCAGAATAAAAATGTGGGGCTACTCGGGAAATGGGGGCCATGTGGTCTTCAAATGAACTGAGAACCAGAACAGATCTAAACATCAGGAAGGTAGGACAAAGGAGGCTGTGATGTAGCAACCTTTTATTTATTAAGTTTCAAAAGAGTTTCCTTTTAATATTTTAACTCCTTCACCTCTCTTCTTTTTATCCTTAATTTTATATTCTACTTCTGCCTCTCTTCTTCAGGGGGCGAAGCAAGTGGGGCAAGTAGAAGTCCTCATAATGTTGCAAGTAAATAAGCTCTTCGTTTCTACATGTTCACAAATGATGTAGACATCTACTCCCACACTTTCTGGAAATTGTCACAAAAGGAAATGATTAAGCTATAAAATTCTCCAGGGATGGTCACCTCTGGGCAGAACTCAGTACGGAGGAGACAGAGCCAGAAGCTAGGCTAGAGGTCAATGGAATGAGAATTAGAAGTTGGAGAGAGAATGGCCTGGAGTAATCTCAGGAATAACAGAGGCAGGGTTATATAGCACAATGTGTGAGCCCGACCATCCTGACATGATCAGCCGAAGAAAGCATGGCACTCAGGAGGAGCTCAAAAACACAGTGGGGCAAGAAACACTGAACTTCCACCCACGAAGGGATTCTATGGGAAGCACTGTGTTGTGAGGGGAACCTCTATAATGGCAGGAACCTTCGCAGAGTTCATAGGATGTGGATTTGGCCCTTTGCCCATGTGCATTAACTGACACATGTTCCCTTACCCCCAACACGCACACATGCACACACACGTGTGCACGTACTTTGTAGCTTTCAAGCTACAACACCAGATCCAAATTCCAGAACACCTACGAAAACAAAAACTTAGAGACATTCTTACTGGTTTTCTGCTCAACTGCAAGATACATAGCTCAACCACTGCCGTTTGCCAAGAATATCCTAAAATAATAGAATTCAAAATTGTAAAAGAGAGCAGTCCATGAGTCCATGAGCTCTGTGAAAGCAGGAGTCCTGTCTAGTCCTGTGTTCATTAGTTCACAATCAACAGTGATTGCAAAGCTTTCAGCAGCAGATTTCTAAGGAAGAGGAAGAAGGAATGTCGGCTCTGATGTTGGTACAAAGTGAGCTGTGTGGTCTGCTCTGCTTGCAACGTGCCCAATGCTTCCTCATGTTCCGGACCCCTCTTGGTGAACAAAGTCAGTTCCAAGGGCCAAAATTTACTTGCATTAAAAGGCTTTCTATTAAGTCAATTTCTTGCAAAGGGATCTGTGCTAATGCTTCAGAGGTTGTGAGGTTAAAGCATTCACAAATGTGCAATTAATATAAACTACAGAAATATTCTTTGGGAATATTGTTAAGTCCCGTGTAACAGGTCATGTCTTGAAGTAGTCATGTGTCCACCATCCTCCTCCCTACTTCTTACATATGGAGAAAGAAGTAAATAAAGATCCATGGGCTCTTCAGGATATAAGTTGCTAAAGCCAGGCATCCAGGCATGAAGGAACACTGAGAAGTCCTAGCCTTTTGTCATTTGTGTAGAGAAGTTCAGAGAGATCAGTGTTGACGGTTAAACAAAAGTGACACGGAGAGGAGAAAGATCATAGCAACCCGTAGGCACAGGGGCAGGGGGTGGAGTTATCTGAGGGGAGGGAGACAGAAAGTCCACCATCACCATTTGAGAAGACAGAGGGAGACCAGTATGGTCACAGAAATCCCATGTAGATGGAATGCCTTTGATGGGTGGCACGTGAAGGTGATGTCAGATAGACCTTGTGCATCCCGAAGGGAGCCGGTGACCCAGGCCAATGGAAGTCTGATTCCCTGAGTGTCCAAAATAAAGGAGGGGTTTACAGTGGGTGTTATCTTTCTGTGATATCGTTAAAAAGTCGATAAAAATCGTGTCTCATTTGAAAGATGTTAGTTTTGAAATGAGAAGCTACAGGTTTCTAACATTATGACTGGGGATATTAAATCATGTCATAGTAGTATGTCAGCACACAGCTGTGTGTCCTTTCCATGCTTATAACAATAAAATATCTAGTGAGATCTCGTGAAGCTTTCTTTTTATAAATTGTCTGCTCCTTTGTAAATAGGCCATTGCTGCTGTTGCAGGCTTCCCTACCAGAAATCCCACCAGGATTTAACTCCACTCTCCACCCAGCGAATGGTTGCTTTGGTTGTCCGGGCATGGGGGTGGGTGGTACCAGAAGCTCCCAGCTGAGCTCAGTTGGCTGACAGCACTGATGTCTTTCCTCACACCGTCCACACTCCCATGCAGCATGGAAAGCTTACAGAGGGTTGAAACGAGAGACCCTGAAGTAAAGCTTTCAGGACCTAAATGTCCAGGAAAAAATAAACAAATATCTATTCTAACATTTGTGTGTGGCTTGGTTGGAATTTTCATGAATGGCTGAAAACAGAGTCCCAAGAGTTCTGTGAGCAACAGATGATTCCATCCACATGGGCCCATGTTGCCTGTTTTCATATTCTATCATTCTGTAACATGTTACCACAAACATAGAGGCTCAAAACTGCGCTCACCTGCTGTCACATGGTTTCTGGGGGGCAATCAGAAGCCTGGGGATGGCTTCACTGCGTCCTCTGCTCAGGTTCTTACCAGGTGGAACTTAGGCAGGCAGCCAGGGCTGTGGATTCATTCAGATGAGCTCACGGGTTGTTGGGTAGCATCCCATCCTTTGTAGGTCTAGGACAGAGACCCTCAGCATCCAGAGGTGTCCTGCCCATCCCCTACCATGTGGCCTTCTCCACAACGTGGTCCTTTGCTTTTTAAAAGTCAACAGGACTTCTGTGCTGCTTTGCATCTCTGACTTCTTCAGTTTCTAGACTCTCTTTTAAAGGACTCACCTGATTAGGTCTGAAATAATCACGCTTGTGATTAGCTCAAAGTCAGCCTTGATTATATCTACAACATTCCTTCACCTTTGCCATATGATGGATTCCACTCCTGGGAGTGATGTATTTACAAGTCCTGCCCAAGTTAATGGGAGAGGCTCATACAGGCTTTTTCATCAGATGGTTTAAACAAACAACATGCAGGATTCAACACAGCTCTGTAGATTCTGTATGAGGCCTTAGCTGTGGCTATGCGACCTGTAAGCATTTTTATCCACAGCAGTGATCACACTTAAAGGGTCTCTGGCAGGACCACTAATAAAGTTCATGTGATGCAAGTACTATAGTGTTAACTCTGTTTGTTCAATACACAAATGTGAAAGAAGTCACCTTGCCCAGGGAGATGGCATCCAGCTCTGTGGGAATTCGGGGAAAGGGTGCTGTTTGGGAAAAGTCTGATTTGTCCAGATGAAAAGAGGCATATCAACGTTTAGGGCCGACAGTCTTCCCCAGCACGGTTCGTGTCTGGTGTGCCAGGTAGAGTGAGTCCAAGAGCTGATTTTCCCTTGACACATAGGCCAACAGATCAGAGACCCCTAAGCAACACAGGTGCCAGGGAGTCCTCTAAGCTTTGGTTAACACTCACCTCCCAGATCTTAAAAATAAAGTCAAAATGCTCATTCTGTGCTGGGCACCTCTCATCCTTCAAGGCTTCCCATGAAGTGCTGTGGCCTGGCACTGGGAACATCTCCTCCTCAATACACCCACACATCTCTCATGTGCTTGCCTCCTCATAGAAGCTTGTTTGGACTTTTCTGCTCTTTTGCACCTTTTTTTTTTCTTTCTAAGGTAATGCGTACATCATTCAGAAGGAAGATGTTTATTTTTGTATTTTGAAGACTTTTCTCCCCTGACTTTATGAAGTTTCTGCTTCCTTCATATAAACAGGAAGAAAAGCATGCTTCCTATGAATACTTTATGTAAAAACGACTGCAGCTTTCTTTGAACTATTTGGTAGTGCCAGGTAAGCTGCACTGTCTGAGGAACTATCATAAGTCGAGTGTATTTTAAATTTTTAGTAGCCACCTTTAAAAAAAAGTAAAAAGTTGGGCAGCCACGGGTGGCTCAGTGCTTTAGTGCCGCCTTCGGCTCAGGGCGTGATCCTGGAGACACGGGATCGAGTCCCACGTCAGGTTCCATGAGGGGAGTAAAAAGTTAAAACTAATTACAGTAATATTTCTATGTAACCAAATATATCCAAAATATTATCATTTCCAGATGTATTTAATGTAAACTTATTAATGAAACAGTGAACATTCCTTTCCTTTTTTTGTACTAAGTACTGAAATTCTAGCATGTACTTTTCACTAGCCAAACACCTCCGTTGTCCAGTCACATTTCAAGTGTTCAGTAGCCACATGTATCTAGAGGCTACTGCATTGAACAACACAGCTTTATTTTTTTTAAGGATTGTATTTATTTATTCATGAAAGATAGAGAGGGGCAGAGACACAGGCAGAGGGAGAAGCAGGCTCCATGCAGGGAGCCCAATGAGGGACTCGATCCCAGAACCCCGGGATCACAACCTGAACCAAAGGCAGACGCTCAACCGCTGAGTCACCCTAGTGCCCCACAACACAGCTTTAGAGTATAAACCAGAGACAAATGCTTTCTGCTATCTGCCTTCTGTATACCGAGAGCAGGGTAGGAGAATGAATTTAAAACAAAGCAGGTACCACATCATCCATGCTGGTCTGTGCGGAGACCTGGCACATCCTGGGGGTTGGGGGGTGGGTAGAAATCCAGAATTCCTCTCCCCAAATACCTCTTTTCCATATAACCCCTGCCCCTCCAAGCTAGCCTGAAAGCCACCCTGTTAAAAACCCTCCTCCAAGATTTTTGACAAGCATAGGGCATTTGTCCCAGAAAATCAGTTCCACATCTTCCCCAGGAAGAAGGAAGTGTCTGGAATCGCCGTTAGCCTTCTTTCATGGAGAATGAGCCTGCTTTCTCCTCAGTGTGGTATAGCAGAAAGAATGCAGCTCCTGGAACAGGAAGACCCTTTTCCTCACTCACCTGAGCCTTTCCCTAAACCTCTCTGCTGTTTGGTTTGCTCATCTAAAAAATGGGGATCATTCTAACTACCACCCAAAGCAGTTGTCAGGCTCACAAAGCATTGTTGACATAAACAGGTTTTGTAAACTGTCGAGTATTATGCAAACAAAAGATTATTTCCAATATCTCTTTGAAAGACAGATAGAGGCTGACCACAGAGAGCCATAAGGGGCATTAAACTCTGGTGACCCTAAAGGGATTTCAGGGGCATTTTAAGCCCTGGGCATCGAGGGGGGTCATTGGGAGGACATTGGATCAGAAAGGGTAGGACATGGTTCATCAGGTCCCTATGAGGAAATAGGCAGTCCTAAAAACAAATTACTGACTGAAGATTTCCTTCCACTAATCCCGTGTGTAACATGACTTTTCTTCTAAGGCCTCCAAGCACATAGGTAGACACGCCTTCACATAGACCCTCTGCACTTCCTGGAAGAGTCCAACCCTTTCCCTTGCCTCAGATCCTGGGCCAGCACTGAGCCCCTTGCCTGTACCGCCCAGAGGGTGCATATGGAATCCCAGGCCCATCCCACAGCCCCTTGGGCCTTCAGAAGCCCTTGAGGATGGGGAGGATGGGGGCTCCCCTGTGGATCAACTTCCAGCTGTGACTCCTTCTGAGCCCTTTGAGGCTGGGTCTGGAAACCAGATGATCCTGGAGGATGAAAGTTTGGGGAAGCAGGAGAGCTTTGCAAGTGTGATTAGAGGGGTCCCAGGGGAGGCCTGCTCTGAGGGACGCTTTCCCAGCATCAAATGGGCCCATGTGGCAGACTTCCAGGTGCCCCTGTCTTCCAGGGCAGCCAGCCAGCAGCAGCATTCAAACACAGCTTGCCCCTGTGGGCACTCATATCTAATTAGCCCTCATAGCGGCAGATCCCAAGCAGTGGACTTTGAGATAATGGGACATTATCTCAAAGGCCTGTGATGTATCCACCCCTTCTCTGTGTTCTCATCAGTGATTCCAAAGAAGTGAGGCAGTCAGAAAGCACCTGATTAGTTCCCATTTCCCAACCTCAAGGGTAAGGGTTCTAGGTACTCACCCCCCCCCATCTTTCCTTATGTCCTGTATAAATGGATACCTAAGGTGATTCTCTAGCCCATTCTAGTGAGGAAACCAGTCTTCATTAGCTTCCTATGCCCAGCAACTCTGGGGCAGATGGAGCAAGAAGGGAGGCATGAGGGGCACGATCCCTGAGGCCTGCCCTGTGCCAGACCCCGGTGATGTATGGCCAAGTACCCGTGTGGGGTGGCTGTGGTCTCCCACCATCCAGCTGAAGTCATCTTTCCATTTTCCAGATACACACCTTTTCCCTTTACACTTGGAGATGAAGAGTTGCACGGTCACCGGCGTTCCCTCTGCACAAAGGGACCGTGGGTAGGGGAGACGTGAGACCTTTCACACTCCCACGGTTTTCCTTCTTTAATGCAGAGCCAAGGCCCAACGTGATATTGCTGGCTACTGTTGAACTGCACAGAACCAACCCAGGAGCCCAGAAGAAAAAAAAAAGAAGAAGAAGAAGAAAAAAAGGCTTGTTCTCAGCATGAAAAGCAACAGGAACTGATTGTGCAAGGCGTGGGAAGACTGTTTGCTGTTACAGCCCACTCCCTTGGCTCGACAGCACCCTCCAGGGGCGCCGCGGGCCCTGCGGTGGCATCAGTCCTCATGGAGACCCTCCCGTGCCCTCATGCTGCCAGAGGAGGTGTCTGCTTGTGATTGACCCAGAGGAGGTGTCTGCTTGTGATTGACCCAGAGGAGGTGTCTGCTTGTGATTGACCCAGAGGAGGTGTCTGCTTGTGATTGACTCGCTGTTTTCCTGGAACAGTGAGCGGTTCCCAGGCCCAGAGGAGCTCCCCAGCAGCTGTCCCAGCTGTCCCGGTCAAGGCGGAACCGACAGGAAGCCTCCAGCTGGGCCCCTGGGTGACAGCTGGCTGCGGGCCGCCCGCTCCCCTCCCCGCAGGCCTGCGGGCTTCTCCTGAGGCTTGGTCGCCACCTTGTGGTCATCCGAGGGGGCGCCGCCCCTGCGTCCCGCTCCGAGGCTGCAGGCCGCCCTGTGATGCGCCCGGAACTTGGAGCGAAGGTGGGAGGGAGGGAGGCCGACTAGACGGTAGAACCCAGGGACGCAGGAATCGCCCACTGTCCCTACCTCCCGGCACTTTTTTATGCTCTGGCCCTTGCAGGAGCCAAGCAAGTCAGAAAGCTTTGGAGAGATACGGGGAGAGTGAACGCTCGAGCCACACTGTCTCAGTTGTGCTTGGGGAGTCTGCAGGCAGGTGTACATTTCTGGGATAAACCAGCCGGGATAGCTCCTTCCTTCTGGTTCTTTCCTCCATGACTGACCAAAGCTTATTTATGGAACCAAAGGCAAACCTAAAAGGAGCCCCCCTCCCAAACCATCAGGTTTCCCTGTGCCAGACAAGAGTCTGGAAAGTAGTTTGAGGAAGCAAAATGGGTGCCTTCCGCGTGTCCCAGGGATTTCACACTTTCCCCAACAAGGCACCTTCAAAAGGATGAACGAGGATGGACCTATCCCCTGTTCTAATTCATCCACGGGAAACTACTGCCAAGCTGGGTTTTCATTTTCAATCCACGCTGAACCCGCAGCTGCCCCAGGACTGTCTGACACACGCGCCCACTGCTGAGGCCAGCTGGTAAGCTCTAGTGGAGCTTCCTGACATGCACTCAAGTGGAGGCTGCTGCCTTTGCCAGCCAAAGTGTGGTCCAAGAAGACCCAGAAGAAGTAAATAGTACCAACATCCCAGGAGGCTAATCCTAGGGACAGAGGGACATACTGACCTGGGCTTATGTAATGGGCAGACAACTTCTGAACGCAAAAGAATATCATCTGCTTTGGGATACTGCTCCTACCCACCCACCCACCCCCAAAGAATAGCTCTGGCACATTCTCCCTTACATTCGACATCCATCTCACAGAACACCCAATCTCAAGGAGAGATGAGGTTTCCCATGCAAAAGCTTCTGGGAGAGAGGTACACAGCAAGCGAAATAAAATTTACCAGTGAAAACAGCTGGATAAATAGCTAGTAGGGCAATTGCTGGGACATAGGGTAACTCTATTTCTAACTTTTTGAGGAACCTCCACACTGTTTTCCAGAGTGGCTGTACCAGCTTGCATTCCCACCACCAGTGTAAGAGGGTTCCCCTTTCACCACGTCTTCACCAACATTTTTTGTTTCCTAACTTGTTAATTTTAGCCATTCTGACAGATGTGAGGTACTGTCTCATTGTGGTTTTGATTTGTATTTCCCTGTCTTCTGTCATTTCTTCCACTTCAGTACTCATTAGAGATTACCACCATCCTGCCCCACTGTCTCCCATCTCCCATGCATTAGGGTTTATGATAGTTTGCTAAACAGTACCCATAGCTAAACACAATACATGTCTGTGAAAATTGATTTTGCTTGAAGATTCTGAAAAAATACGTTATGTTTTATATAACTAACATAGGAAAGCTATTTTAGCCAAATTCATGAATACATGGAAATGTAAGTAGGTGACTAATTAGACATAAAATAATATTTGCAATAAAGAAAAACAAGCAAAAAAAGATCTTCACATCCTGTTAGATGTTGATTAGCCTACACTGCATAATCCCCCTAACCCCCCAGACCACTGATCTTATTAAGCTTTCCTGGTAACCAAAAGGGGACAGTAGATTCCCCTATTAAATGGATCTTTGACCTGACTGATGCACTTGTTCTCTCTAGAATCTGCTCACTTTACTCAAATATCTGAGTAGAACCTCACGATCCCTAGGTTTTCTCCAAGCCATAAAATGGATGACGTAATTCATCAGAAAGGACAAGCTTGAGAAAAAAAGGTGTTTGATGGTCTATAATTTGCTTTCAGAGATACATCCATATCCTATTACACTGGATGCAGTATTCAAGTCAACTGTAATCCAGAGATGGAGGGGGTAAGATGCTTGCCAAAGTACTCTGCAACATCCCCATGGTAGTTAGCATCGGAGGACCCTAAACAAAAGTCTGTACTGCAGAAACATCCAAAGCAAAAACTTTTCAATATTGCTACCTCAAACCACACCAGAGGGTTTTTGTTAGTTTAAAGAATGCTATAAATCATTTTTGCATTAGTAAACTGGAATTATCAAACTTGTAGAGGTAGAGGTACGAACCACCAGTAGGTAAACTAACTTTGGAATAAAAACTTGGAATACAACTCTATTTGATCCCGATCTCCCTCATTTGATAGACTATTCCATTGGCTGACCAAAGGTGACTTGGCCCCCCTCCCCAGGGACATTTGGCAACATCTAGAGACATTTTTAGTTTTTATAACTAGGGGAGTGGCACTCCTGACATCCAGTGAACAGATGCCAGGATGCTATTAACATCCTACAACGTACAGAACAGCACCCACAACAAGGAATATCTAGTTCAAAATGTCGGTGGTGCCCAGGTTTGAGAGACCCTGGAGTAGACAATTGTCTCTTCCTGGCCCTCAGATTATTTGGTTGCACACACCTGGAGTGAATCTTTAATACAAGATGTTTGTTGGAAAGCAAAATCACAGAGCAGAGACTTTACTACATTTACAAAATAGGTCAGGTGACTTTTGTCGGGTTTGAGAGATAATAAATCTGTTCACGTGTGACAAAACATGTTAATGTTCATTGTAATATTTAAGATAAGGTGGTATAGGTTCCATTCACTTTTTATATCTCAGGCTCCAGGTATTACTAAAGAACTTGACATTCGTGAATGGCTAGATTGGCTCAGACCAGTTCACAGACGAAAATGAACCAGAGGAGGAAACAGAAAAGGATAAGGGATGGGGTGGGGGGAAGTTTGAGACATTTTCAGATTTTCAAACTACTCTGACCCCCTCCACTATGTTGGCCAAGAAACCAAGTACCCAGATACAGAGAAAATTTCCTTTTTCACATCAATCATCTAAATCCCAAATCCCACACTGCCTAGAGATGATGAAATATATATTTCTCTGTCTCTAGCCTCACGTGAATGCCTACTTTCCCATCACCACCACAAGACCTTAAAAGATAAAGTATCTGCTAATCCTCCTGGAATGATCCAGAACTTCAAACTCAAAGAAAAGCTAAATGCAATGTCTCATCTATCATGTGCAGGATTCTTAATCAATCAACAGAAATGATCATCAATTATCAAGAGATGCACCTAGCTAGTAGATGTGCTGCTGGATCTGAGAACCTACAGGGAAATAACAAAATATTTGACCCTCAGTCTGATACCTTCTTATCGTTGTTTTGACTATCAGTTTTCCTCTATAGTACTGGATCAAAATACTAGGTTACTCTTGATATCTGAGTTTCTGCTTCTTCCAGAGATAACTCATGTGTATAAGCAATGCTGTCCTCAGTTTGGAAGGGGGCCTCTCCCTCTGAGCCAGACCACATCTAAGCCAGGCGTGGGCCAGAGAACATTTTTTTCTAATAAAACTAAGAACAACAACAGCATTTGGAGCCTGAAGTGAAGACTGGAGCTCCCTTTTGAGGTGAGACACTGCATAATTGTGGAGGGCACAACCTTCTCCAGGCCTAGTTGGGAAGGCAATGTGGGTTTGCAGGTTGTGAAGCCTGCAAAAGGGCAAAAGCTGCTTATTTTCAGTTTGGTCTTTGGAGATAGAAATCTAGGCTGGTGCTAGATAGTGTCTCATCTTGTCTAAGTATTAAACAGTAACATTTGCATGCATTTGGCTCTAAAATATGTTTGTACTCATTATCCCATTTTATTACTCCGCAACCCTGGATGTGTTAAAGTGAGGTGGGAGGACGTGGTTGACCATTACTTCCATTTGACAGATTGGGAAACCAAGACCAAGAGCTCACATGATTTTACTAAATCTGCACAGCTGGTTAGATGTGCCTGACTGGTGTCCCTGACTTCCAGACCCATTTTCCACTAAGGCAGCAGTTCTGAGTGCTGTCCAGGGACCAGCAGCAGCAATATCACCTGGCAACTTGTTAGAAGTACAGATTCTTAGATCCTACCTCAGACTTACTGAATCAGAAACTCTTGCAGTGGTGCCCTCAATCCATGCTTTAACCAGCCTTCCAGGGGATACCAATGCCCCTCAGGCTGGGGAGTCGGTCCCCGAGGGGTGCTTTTTGCACCTGCTATAATCTCTCCTCACACCTTTATATTAAAGGGATTCTTCTTAACCCAGCATGTTTGCTTCTAGAATGGCCATAAAGTATGTGCTTAGGAAGCTGGGACCCTGAAGCCAGGACCACTCAGGGTCCTTGAAACATTATCTTTTATTAAACGTCCAGGGTCAGCTCTTTGTGGAGCCTCTACCTACTGGGGATGGGACTCTCAGTTCTCAAATCTCTGATTTGATCTTTCTTGGAACTTTTTTGCCCCAAATGGTTTTATCTCCTTAGGAACTGTGGAAAGAAAGTGTACCTAAGCTACTTTTTTACAACTTTCTTCTATCAGATACTGTCAGTTTGCTAACACACTAATTTAATACATGAGTAGTTCATAAAATATGCTTTAAACTTAAAAAGATCTGAGGAAGAGCTATGGATAACTCTCCCCCAAAATTACCCCTCCCCCAAATTTACATGCAATACCGGACGCACAGAAGGTATTGACTCAATATTTATTGAATTTGTGAAGACCTATTTTTAGAATCAGAGGAGAAGAAATGCACATGACACAAGGTCCTGCTGCAAGGAGGAATCCTTCTTCTAACTCACAAGCCTTCAACGAATACTATTGTGTCTGATGAAAAATAAGTATTTGATTTTAATATAAACAGCATGTAGGTTTCATCACATATATTTTATCTGCAGTAGAAATGATAGTTTCTATAACTTCGTTATTTCATTCATTATCAGTTCATTCATTCACATTTATTGAGTTCCCACGATGCGCCAGCCAGGCATGCTTCCAGGCACTGGAGCAAACATGGTACATGACGGCCTGCCCAGGTGGAGCTTACAGTCTATAAAAGACAGTCGATTAAACAAGTGATTGACAATGAAGTGTAATGAGTGTTGTCACAAGACACATGAGCTACATTCAGGGCACATAGCAGGGTAACAGAACCATGTGGGGATGGGGGCCAGAAAAACCCTAATTTTCATACAGGAGGCTGGAGGCCTTTGTCCTTGGAGGTCTGTTCAAAGCAAGGCTGATGAAAACCGCCCCAAACTGCACTGAGGCCCAGAAAGGAAGGTCTGAGTAGAGAAGATGCTTCTGCGATCTGGCTGATGTCAGCAGGCAGGTCACTGCCTCAGCTTTTGAGAAAAGATGGAGATGATGGCGAAGGACAAGAAGATCACGCCGGCCACGCTTCCGATCATCAGGCCCAGGATGCTGCTGTGCACCTGCATGGCCTGACAGCGCTCCCCCGTGTAAAAGAAGGCATGACTGGAGACACACCTGGGGGAACAAGACACAGAGGCAGTGTGGAATCCACCCAAGCCTCAGGCACTTTGTAGCTACCAGCACCAACAGCGATGGTGGCAGTTGCCATGCATGTCTGGCCCTGTTCCAAGTGCTTTTTAGGAGTCACTTCAATCTTCTAACAGCCCCGTGAGTGGGTGGTTATTACCAGACCATTCTCATATCCTCATTTTGCAGAGATCTTAAATCACTTACTCAGGGTCACAGAGTTAGTAAGTGTTTCACACTTGAAGTCTCATCCCTAGAGGCCCGTCTCCAGACTGGATACTCTTGGCCACCATATGCAAGACTCAGGAGGAAGGTTTGGGGCACTTAAAGAATATGTTGTCCTCACTGGCTCAGACTGTAAGTCATAGGAGAAATTCTCCAGACAGAGCCTGGATAACTCCTTTGACATCACGTGCCCCTCACATGACAGACTGATCACGTGACCCACCCAAATATGAGGGCATCCCTCATATTGCTATTCTTGCCAAAAATGTATGACCTCAATGTAACCATGAGAAAACATTGGACATACCAAAATTGAGGGAAAATTCACAAAATAACTGACCAGGATTCTTTGAAAGTGTCAAGGTAGTGAAAGAGGAAGGAAGAGGTTGTCCCAGCTTGAAGGAGGCTAAGGAGACGTGAAACTGAATATAAGGAGGGGCCCTGAATTAGGTCCTGGAACAAAGAAAGGACATTGGTGACAAGACTGCAGAGATCTGAATAAGGTCTGTAGTCTAGTGAATGCATTTGTTAATAGCATTTGTTTGCATTAATGTTCATTTCTTGGCTTTGCTAATGGTACTACAGTTATGTAAGCTGTTAACACTAGGGAACTGGAGGCTCCGTAGTATTTTTACAAAGGTACCTGTAAATCTAAAATCATTTCCAAATAAAAGCTTAAAAAAGAAGAAACAAAGTGGAGAATGAAAGGTACTCAGAAGAAACATAGGTTTTTTTTGAGCCAAGGAGGCTAAGCAGGCTAGTCGTTACCTCTGTTACTATTCTGCCAAATGAAACTGTTGCTTCCATCATCATATATATCCTTTCATGGAATATTTTATGCAAACCATAAACATTATAAAAAGAAATATTAAATATAGCAAACAGTGCAGACAGACAGACGTGGATGCAAGTCTCAGCTCCAGCATTTGCCATCTGGGTACGTTAGACAAATTATTTAGCCTAAGCTTCAACCTACTTCCGCACCAAATGGGGACAAGGAGGGTCCTTTAAGTTACTGGGTGGCCATGAGGAATAATTTAGATCATGCATGTATACTGCTCAGGACAGCACCTGACACATAGCAAGCAGTCAAAAAATATCAGATGTTCTTGTCACTATTATTAAAAATGTAACTACAGTAATAGTACAACAGAACAAATAGATGATAGAAATAATAATTAATAATTAACAATAACATCGGCAGTCAGTAAAGAGTTAAGCTTGGTCCTAAGTCCCACTGAGGCAGGTCGTGTAGTTCCTGGGCTCAAGGCTCTGGAACATTTGTGAACACTGCAGTGGAGTTTAAAATCCCAGCAACATTCAAGATGCTGTTGATCATCTCCCAGAGGTGGGGAGCAAAGGATAAAAGTCGAGAGAGAGGAGATTTGGGACTCCGCTGCCCTGGCAGGACCCCTGCTGTGCCTCAACAGCCTAAGCCCACTGACTCGGAGCACAGCTTTGTGGGGTCAAGGAACAGCCAAGTCCAGGTGACCCAATGAGGTCGTCATCGCCCTAACCCAAGAACCAGGGTTAAGCAAATGTCTGGCTCACCTCTGCTGAAGGCCCACCTGCCTCCCCCTGGCCACAGAGCCTACCTGCAGCTCGCCATCCCTTTCACGTTCACACAGATGCCTTCATTTTGACAAGGGTTCGGGTCACATGGATCTCTGAAGTACGGTGGCCAGTTGTGGTCCTCCAGAGGACCGGTGTTCTCCACTGACCGCTTCTGCCGGCTGGGCTGCTCCTGGTCCAGGCTGCCGGGGACCATGTTCTCCAACGAGACCTTTTCAGAACCTTCTTTTGAGGCCTGCTGCTCCTCATCTTGGAGAATGAGGCCTTGAGGAATCAGCCTTGTGTTTTGAGTTTGAACTTCAGTCTGGTTAAGGTAGGTGATATCTTGAGGAAATAGACAAAAGGGCGGTGAGGAAGATCTATACTTAACATCTGACTACAATTAGCTTCTACTTCTGGAGAAAGTTCCCTGGGCCACCTCCATCCCTCATGGACTCCACCTTGAGGGACATAGAAAGGTGGTTTGAATCCAGCTAATTCTCATGCTAGCTATTTTTTGAAAAAAAAAACAAAAAATTTGTTATTTATTTATGAGAGACATACACAGAGAAAGAGGCAGAGACACAGGCAGAGGGAGAAGCAGGCTCCCTGCAAGGAGCCCAAAGCGGGCCTCGATCCCAGGACCCTGGGATCAGGCCCCGAGCCGAAGGCGGATGATTAACCACTGAGCCACCCAGGAATCCCTCAGGTTAGCTATTTTTATTTTCAAAGTTGTCCAGTCACGTTCTTATTTATTTAACTTGAAAAAAGAAGCAGAAAGGTAGCACAGATAGACTGATGAAAACTAAACTGAAGGCACCAAACTCTCATATTTGATAAATTATCAAAAAAGGTGGCATCAGAGTTTTAGTTTCTCTCAAGGATGGTTAAAATACAGATGTGAGTCCCTGAACAATAGCTCTCCTGGAGCACATCTTTTTTTTTTTTTTTCTGAACTTGGTCCTCAAAACAAAACAAAACAAAACAGAACAGAACAAAAACTTCATCCTCCATGAGATACTCAGAAATCAGTGCAAAATCTGTGAAACCCCCCAGAGCATAGGCTTACTTATTCAGGAAGATCAGCAAAAGTACCTTCAAAGTCCACAAACATTATAAGGTCATCATTTTTAAGGAAACTCTTCCTTTTTAGCATTTGGTGGGAGACGACACTACTCCAGCCCCAGTCGATGCCTCTAAAACAGTCACAGTCCTTATCATAGGATCCCACTTTGGATGGCCTGTCCCAGATGACGGAGTTATTTATTGCTGCAAACAATAAATAACATCACATTACCTCTTTTACTTCACTCTCCAACTGGTCTTTAATGAGTATATAGAACTTAGTTAGAAAAAAATATATTGGAAAAAAAAATCAGATTATTTATACTTTCCAGAGAATTAAGATTCGGGATTAGGAGCGGGGAGGGGCAGAGAACCAGAGCTCTTAATGGTCAATTGTCCATTACTGAGTCACTTCCTCAGTGAGGACAGAGGGACAGTGAGAGCCTCTTCCTTTTAAGCTTTAAGGCTCTTCATTTGAAAAATTAAAAAAGTCTGCCCATTTCTCTATTGGTCATTAACATGCTGATGATCACTAAGATTTTAAAAGTCACTGAAATTCTGAGTATTTGATAAATGATTAGCAGTATCTGCCATCTCATTTAGACTGAGTTCAATGAAGCAGGAATTGCCTGGTTTGCTTATATTCTAGGTAACTGGCACTGAGTTTGGCACAGTATAAGCACTTAATAAATGCTTGAGAAGTGAATTCGAGAGAAGGGAGGTAAGATGTTTGATAAGTGAATTCGAGAGAAGGGAAAAAATAAATGCTTGATAAGTGAATTTGAAAGAGGGAGATAAGATGACATTGAAAAATTTAACATAATATTCCAACATGACTATGTTGTTGATATACTCAAGTAGGAAATGTGAGAGGAATGTTAATCTCTCTCTCTCTTTTTAAAAAAAGATTTTATTTATTTATTCATGAGAGACATAGAGAGAGAGGCAGAGACATAGGCAGAGGGAGAAGCAGGCTCCATGCAGGGAGCCCAATGTGGGACTCGAACCCTGGACCTGGGATCATGACCTGAGCCAAAGGCAGATGCTCAACTGCTGTGCCACCCAGTCATCCTTGTATAGAGATGGGAATCACATCTGCTGGCCCTTTCGGGTTGAGGGGCAGATTTTAGAGCACCTACCTGAAGATGTATGGGATTTGGAGGTAGTGAACACCATGCTTGAGGACATTCTATTCCTGGCATCAGGTTCCTGGTCAAGTATGGTCATTATCACCTGTCTGTTCTCCACTGGCCACTCCAGGATGGCATCATTCTCCCCACTGCACAAATGAAAAGCAATTCCCAAGAAACCAGATGTACTGGAGCCGACTCTGCCATGAGGGTATAAGGTCAACCCCAAACCATATCCCTCTGAATTGTAGAATCGAGGGCTCAGGAGCCTCTGCCCTTTAACCGTGTTCTGAAGGACAGAGGAGAAATTCCGTATTGTCCAAACACCTGCAGGGCATGGGGTTTCTGTCAGAGTAATATCGTCCAGGTAAATTCCCCCATTCGAGTTCTGGGGGTCACCTTTCGTGCCCTGGAATAGGTAGCGAAACTTCTTCTCTTCTCTGAGTGTCACATGGGCAATTTTCCAATTTTGGTCCAAGTCTCCTGAGGACAGAGAAGAAGGTTGGTGACAACTGCAGCCAACATTTATTAAGCATGACCTATGAGCCTGGTAGCATGCCAAATGCTTTAAAGATTTTATTTATTTATTTATTTATTTATTTATTTATTTATTTATTTATTTATTTATTTTGAGAGAGAGAGAGAGAGAGATCCAGTGGAGGGAGGAGCACAGGGAGAGGGAAAGCAGACTCTGTGCTACGACCTTGAGATCCTGACCTGAGCTGAAATCAAGAGTCAGACGCTTAACCAACCAAGCCACTGAGGTGCCCTGCATACCAAGTGCTTTGTATGAATTATTTAATTTAATCCTCACAATATCTCTATGAGATATGTACTATTATAAACATGGTAAGGAACTTTTCCAAAGTCACATACCTACCGAGGGGAAACAGCTATAAAAAGACACACTATCATTTTAATATTCATGCAATATTTTAATATTCATATTCAAATCTTAATCAGAATTTGTTTTCCATTATTATTCAATTCCATAGGTTCTGTCTTTCAAAGCTGGATTTCATGGTATAAATGTACCTCAACCCTTAATGTTTGCACTGAATACCCAAGTAATAGGCTGAATCATAAAAATAGTCATTTTGTAAGCTCAAAACCAAATAATGGCAATTTTATGGGGTCCAACCTACGACCTGATGCCAGAGAGATATATGGTATCTGGAGTATATGGCTCTGGAGTAAATGTTCACATGCAGGACAAGCTGGATCTCCCCTATGAAAGACTGACTCACCCACTAACATCCGATTTTTTCTCTTCTTCCTCTTTTAAAAGACAAATAATACAAAAGGAGTTACCACTCTCCAGATATTCATATTCTAATGAAAATTATGTCTACTTGCTTTTTTCTTGAGACTGAGCTGGAAGCGAGAATTTTGAATAAAAAGCTGAAGTAAGAAGTGAGAAGGCTGTTCTAGAACATGGGGTTCTGTGCTGCATAGCAGAAGAAACCTGAAAGGAGGGGCACCTGGGTGGCTCAGTCAGTTAAGCATTTGCCCTCGGCTCAGGTCATGATCTCAGGGTTCTGGGATCAAGTTCCACATAGGGTTCCCTGCTCAGCGGGGAATATACTTCTCCCTCCTTCTGTCCCTCCTCCTGCTCATGTGTGCTCTCTCTCTCAAATAAATAAATAAAATCTAAAAGAAAGAAAGAAAGAAAGAAAGAAAGAAAGAAAGAAAGAAAGAAAGAAAGAAAGAAAGTTAGTTAGTTGCCTAAGGGTCTAGGGAGAGGAAACCACCAGGCCAGAGCAACTCATAATTCCCTAAAGATCTGCCCCTACTTTGATATTTTGCCAGGGTATATTTAAGCACTGGGTTTAGAAAGGAAAAGAAAAATGCTACACCCCAAGTGGGGATAATATTGGCTAAAATGAATTCAAACAGATGAGCATTATAGACAATTAATCTAAATGCAATTGGCCAGAGGGCTTTGGAAGTATTTTTCCTCTTCCTGTGTTGTGATGAGCACAACACAGGTGTACGTAAATGATGAATCTCTGACTACTACCCTAGAAACCAATATTGGACTGTATGTTAACAAAATTTAAATTAAAAAATAAATTAAATTAAAAATTGGAAAAGTATAATACATATATAAAATATAATAAAAATGTCCATATATTTAAATTTTTTAAGCTATAAATATCTTAAGTTGAATATCACATAAACATTAAATGATATTCAACTAATCTTTTAGAAAAGCTTCACTTACAAGCCAGTATCAGAATGAGCTACTTTAAAAATCCATTCATATGGCACTTCTAGGAAACTTTGAACAGAGACACACTTTGAATTCATTGGAACTCAAAGCATAGCAGTGTAGGGAACTGAGTTAAGCATAAGAAGGTTGTTTGGCTGATGCTATGCTTATGAGGATAGCATTTCCAGCTTTATATAGAAGTGAGCAATAATAGATCCCATCAATATTACCAAGGCTCTAATTCATTTTCTCATTAAATATGTACAATCCTTGATAACATAGCAAATTCTCAACTCTTAAAGGGCACCTAGCTGTCATCCATCATTTGATAAAGATGCTCTACACATTGCAGCCAGAAAAGTGAACCCCTCGAAACCATTATCTGTAGCATTCCCAGGGAGCCCAAAGAGGGCCTGGGAAGGGGTGATTCAGGCACCTGTCCTAAAGAGTGACCTCTAAGGAAGCTTCCACATTTCAAGAGCAACAGCTTCTTCTAGAAGTACTCAAATGATGCTTCCCCTCTCCGGACTCATGTTAATTGAGAAATTCTTTGTTGAATGGAAAAATAGGAATGGGTGCCTCTCCTTTTCTGATTGTGAATGAACCACCACCACCACCACCACCACAAAAGAATGTAAAAACTTAACTTTATAACCCTGGATCTCGATTTACACCCAGATTACCCTCAAACCCAACTACCTAGCTTAGTATTTTCATACTGACCCTCTTAAAAAATACATAAAATAACATTTAGGAATATTTAAATTATGGTAATGAAGTTAATATATACACACGTCCTATTTCTTTCCAACTTTATAAGTTGGCTTCAAGTTAGTCCAGTGTATTAAATAATGCTATTCATTCAGTTTTTTTTGAAACAGATGCAGAAACACTTGTCAACTACCAAACCACTCTCAGTAGCAGCATCAGTTCCCACTTCCCTTCTGCTTCCAGCTCTAGCCCCGAATTGCCCATTTTCTCTGCCCTGGCTGTCTCCAGAGCTGCAGTGATAATTGGATTTCTATTTTCTGATCGGCCTCTTCCAAAAGTATATTTCAGCTTCACCCAAATACCCGATGCGGTGTCTGATTTCCGAGTGGCTGAAATATCCATTGAGCAGTTAAAAGGTACCAGATGCTATGCTGGGCTCTTAGAAGAGGAAGAGGGAGGTGGAGGACTAGAGAGGAACAAGAGGGAGGAGGAAGAGGAGAAGAAGTAACAAAGAGAGGGGAAGGGGAGGAAGAGGAAGGAGTGGGACCCCAGATTTAAGCCAAATCGGCGCCCCCATGAATGTCTCCAGGTACCTCGGAAGGTCTGCACTTTGACCAGCTTGCGCACATTGCCCGTGCTGTCATCCCTCCTGACCCAGACGACGAGTCGATCGGAAGGGCTTCCTGTCATTTTGTAGAAAAACTGCAGGCACTGCTGCTTCCTCTTGGGGTAAAGAATCCGAGACTCCAGCAAGGCTGCCTCTTCTGCCATCCCCGAGCTGGTGCTGAAGTGCATGAAGTAGCCAGCACCTGCGGTGAGAGCAGCCCAATGACCCCTCTCCAGTTGCCCGCACCCCAGGGGCCCAGGACTCCTGCCAGGTGGGGTAGTGAGCCACAGCCATTTCCCGGGCAACCAAGGCCAGGACTCTTGGGATAAGGAAACCAAGGTGGTTTGTCTTCATTCTGTCTCCACGGACAGATTCCCTGGCCGGAGGCCCAGCTCTCCACTGCCTCTCTTGATGCCTTTGCCCCCAAGCTTGTGAACTGTATACCTCTGACTTAAGGAGACATAGGCTAATTCCATCAAAGAGAAGGTTAATGGAATTTAGCGCCTCTGAGACGAATACAATTTTCCTCATTGTCTTCCCTGTTTAGACATTCACTCCAAGGAAGAGAGCTGATCTTCTAGTTGTGTGACAGACTATGGGATTCCAATGTTTAGGACTTGGAATAGAAATATTCACAATGATAAGGGTTCGGTCTCACCTGTTTCTAGCCTGTAATTGGATGCATTATCAGTGGCAAAGAGTCAACTTTACTGTGTCATAAGAGGGACATTCAAGGCATATTGAGGGACTACATGAGGATTTCTCTTGAGTGTAAAGAAGGCTTGAAAGAACACTGAAAACAAGGGTGAAAAGTGTCTGCTTGTAACCGAGCTGGGGTATGCTCAACTCCTATATCTCAGAACTCTCTCCTCCCAAATACGCAGGCAGCTAAAGGAAAATGTCATTTAGAAAATCGATCGGCACATCAGAGTAAAGCACAAAGAACAATCCTCACATATAAAGAAGTCCTTTAAACTGTACTCCAGAATTCAACTTCTTACTAAAGAATCCACTCAAAATATCTCATAAAGTAAAAATGAAGTGAGCATCTAGTACAGTTCTAGGTACTTTGGCAACATGACTTTCCTCTTCATCCTGCCTCATCCATGAGGCATCGTACCTTCCACGACGGCAGCAAGCATCAGCTTTTTAATAGGCTTTCTACTTAAAGCTTAAAAATATATAATGGCTTTATCATTTATATTACATCTGGAAAAATTATATTTTCTTGAACTTGCTAGCCTGAGCTCTCCGCATTGTGAATTGGGTTAAATAAAATAAGAACTCACATGGCTAAGATCTCCAGATGGTCCTTGCTGAGGAATTCCAAGCAGATATGCTCAGGGGTAGGAAATGAAAGCCTAATAACCCACACTTGGTAGTCGAGAGACCTGAGTTCTTGCCCAGGCACTGCCACTAGCTCGAAGGTATCCGTTCATCTCTCCTGGTTTCAAATGGGAGGTGCCTTCTATCCCAAGTGATCTTTTGTGCTCTTTGAGTATACACATCTATCTCAACACCACTGGTGCTCTCTAACAGAGGGAATGCACTCCCATTAAATGCCTCTTGTGGAAGAAGCATGATGACTGGTAAAACTTTTCTAGATATTTCTTCTGAGGTATGGTCTTTTCTTTTCCTAGTAAGGTGCTGGAACACTGTTCTCATGTGTTCCTTCATATGACAGTCACTCCTCTGTTTAGCTAGGAATTGTATACTAGCCTAGTAGCAAGTCCACAGAAGAGATTGGATGAGAAGCTATGATGGAAATTTAGAAAGAAATTCAGACACTTGAGATTATGTGTTTGATAATATGATGTGTGAGAAATTTTTGCCTTTTGTCAAGCCTGGAGGAAGGGTGGCAATCGCTTGTGAACTCTGACCCCAACAGCCTGGCATCTGGGTGACAAGCTGGGTCCCTTTTGGGAAGGGGCCAACTTCACACAGTTACTAAGGGACTTTGTAACAGTCTAGCTTTTAAAAACTGATTATAATCTGTAGGGTCAGGATTATTTCTGGGGCAGGCACAAAATAGAAAGATGCTAAAATGGAAATAAAAATTTAAGTGGAACCTCTAGACAGAAAGGGAAGATGGAAGAAAATGGAGAGGGAAGCTGCTGGGTCTGCAGCTGGAGGCTCTCTATGCATTAGCTCCTTCCAAACTCACTGGTAAGCATCAATATCCTGGAATGGTCAGAGAGGCTTACAAAAACAAAGACTTAAAAAACAACACCAACAAAAAAAACTATCTGTGGTTAGAATTAGCAGGTTGTGAAGCCAGACTTCAAATCCAGGTCTGTGTGATTTTACAGCTTTTTCACTATACAAACCACACGTAAGAACTATCTGGAGCCATGTCATTCAATGTGTTGCTATCAGACCTGTGGCTACTGAGTATTTGAATTGTGGCCACTCCAAACTGAGATGTGCTATAGGGGTAAACTACACATCAGATTTCAAATACCTTTCTAGTATAGAAAGTGTGGAGTAGCTCATTAATAACTTTACTATTGATTACACATCAAAATGCTAATACTGGGGATCCCTGGGTGGCTCGGCGGTTTAGTGCCTGCCTTCAGCCCATGGTGTGATCCTGGAGACCCGGGATCGAGTCCCACATCAGGCACCCTGCAGGGAGCCTGCTTCTCCCTCTGCCTCTGCCTCTGTCTCTGCCTCTCTCTCTCTCTCTCTCTCTGTCTCTCATGAATAAATAAATAAAATCTTTAAAAAATTCTGTTAAATGCTAATATTTTGAATATATAGAGTTAAATAAAATGTATCACTAAAAAGAATTTCTCGTTTCTTTTTATATGGCTCCTAGAAAATTCCACGTTATGCATGTGGTTTGCATTATGGTTCTGTGGGAGGGCTCTGCTCTAGATATTTTACCTTTATTTACAAAATCATGCCTTATCAACCACATGTCTGTATTAGCTTTGTCATCATTTAAATGCATCTTTCTTTGGCATGCCCAGAACCTGCATACTTTTTATTGAGTTAATAATTAAGATATGAGAAACAGTCTTTGTGCTTGTTTGGATTTCCAAGTTTGATAACTAACATTTCAACTGGGGCAAAACATGTAAGCTGTCATATTCAAATTGAACCTGGTGGACCACATCAGTGTGCTCACTTTCTGCCTTCACTTACCCGTGCATCGTCCCACCAAAGTGTGATCTACTTCTCCAGGCTTAGTGCTGTCCTCATGGACCCAGTCAGCATCATCTCTGGTACCCTGAATCATCCCACAGATGTTTGCCTTCTCAAAAGCACAATGGTCCAAAAGTGTGTGAGTTGTGGCTGCAAATGATATTTTTGTCACCTGGTTAAAAATTTTAGTCATTTTATTTCAGGTTATCTAATGTCTTAAGCTAAAAAGACCGCACTGTTTACATCCAGCACATTTTCTTGACTTTCCTCAAATGCAAATCCTGTTGTCACCCTTATGTCTTAGAACGTCCAACATAGATGTAGCCCTACCCACCTCACAAGAGTCAAATGATAAATGTCATCATACTTTGCTGTAAATGTCAACCAAGAACTCCTTTAGATCAGGAAGGAGGTACCAAATAGGTCTTTGTACTTAGTAAGTATTCTGCACATATATGTTGAACAGAATTTTAAAAATGTGTCTCTGAAGACTAATAGAGTCATCTTAGAAAACATCCCATCTCTGAGCACTAGATGACTCTAGAACAACTAAATTGGGCAATTTTCAGGATAAAAGATAGTTTCAAGCTCATCCCTTATCCTGAGTTACATAAGGGTGCACCCTTCAAAAGGAAGCTGAAGCTGAAGATGTTAGACAATCACAGCTCCTTATATCACCAGTCCAACACTTTTACTTTATAAAACACAACCACATCTTTGATTTTCATAATTATCCTATAATGAGGTGGGTGTTACAATTTTTTCTACTCTAGAGATAAACTAGCCTATGTAATTTGTCCAATTTCCTTAACTAGAACAGGAAGAAATAGTGAAGGGAAATGTATGGGAAACTGAAGGGCTGGGGGAAACTCTTTGAGGTTTTTTTTACCTACTGTTCAGACCTATCAGTACTCACTGCAATTGTACATTCGGTTCAGCCTCTCCAAATCAGTGGCACTGAAATCCAGTCGCTGTCCAATGATGGTGTTAAACTCAGGGATCTTGGCCGTGATGGTAGGAGCACTTTCATTCTTATTAAATGAAAAGGGCTCGTAGTGCATCAAAGACTCATAGTCATAAGGTGTGTTGAGGTCTGTGATGAAGGTGTCATCATAGGTGTTAAAGTTGTGCTCGTAACCTATCAGAGAGAGAATCCAGTTATATTATTTCCCCTCTCCTGTCCTCTTTGACTAGATACTTAAGCAGAGACCCAGAGACAAAAAAGAAAGAAAAGAAAAAGAATGAAGAGTTGATTTAAATATATATACATATTAATATAGTTTATAACTAGTATGATATATATAAAATAAACACATATTATTAATAGTAAGTAATGAATAATGTATTAGTATTTTATACAATAGTACATACACTTATAAAAGTTAAAAATATATTCAAAAATAAATATAAAAAGGAATGCTATAACTAATATATAAATTTTACATACAAATTATTAAATATATGTATATATCTAAGTCAAATATTCATTTTACAAATAAAGGAATAAATAAATATGTGTGTATGTGTACATGTAAAGTTTTAAGGAAGAGAAGATATAATATCAAAGTGGAGGCAGGTGTTCCAAATGGCTGGAAAAGGAATTTTTGAATTCAGGAGAATATTCAGGATTGGTGCATCTTGCTAATAGGCAAGTACCTCATCTACCAAAAGCTGTACCTGGCCAGCTCTTTCATGGGTTAGAGAAAGGAAAACCAAGGGGCAGAGGGAAAAGTCAGCAACCGCCAAGAAAGGGGTATCCTGTCAGTCAAGGTTCACATCCTTTTCCAGAAATAGCCTCATGGAGAGAAAAATAAAATAGGAAGAAGAGCACTGACTTTCCTTTCAAAATAGAAGAGGAAAAGATCTTTATGAGATTAGTGCAAGTAGGATAATATATGCTGAAATGAGAAACCGAACAGATATTCTTTTAATCCACTAGCCATCAGGAATTTACTATTTCAGTTGCAATAATGAGAAGTTCACAGATTTTCAATTTCCTTCTTAGGGAGTGACAGGAAAACTTAATGAGAATGCTCATGACTCCCTCATCATGACTTCCCATCTTCATGTTTTCCTTTTCTAGCTTCCCATCTAGTCATTTTTAACAATTAGAAGGAAATGTAACCACCTTGCAAAGACATCAATGCAGGTGCATTTAGGAGTGAAGAAGACCCATGCAACATGGGCCTACGGGGCAGTGGTCCAGCAGGTGCTGGAGGGAGTTTCCAAATACTTTTGGAAAAGCCAATGAACACAATTGATCAAAACTTTGTTTTAACCGTAAAATGAGAATACCAATGTTTCATCCTCCCAACTCATGGGATTTCATGGAGACTTAACTTGAAAGGGATCAAAACATTTTCAAAGGTGGCCCAGGACTGTAAGAAATAAATGACTCAAACAGGGAAGTGGAAAGTAATTCCTTCCAGAGCATTTGGCCCCAGGTTGTCCTATCTTATGGGATAGAACTGTAAAGAATATCCGGCTGGTGTGAGGACTGGGGCTTAGTCTGGGCTCTCCTGCTTACTCCTTGTGAAATCTTAAGAACAGAACATTCAAATTCACTGGATAGGTTTTCCTTGACTGTCACTAAAATTAAAAAGTTAGAATAGATAGATCACTTTATTCTTTATCATTCAAGGATTCTGTTTTGAATAATTTTTAAAAAAATTTATTCAACACATTCTTGCTGGGCCTACTCTCTACGTACTGGGAGTTGTGCTAAGTAGTGGTGGCCCCTGGCAGTAGTTAGGACAGACAAGGTCCTGCCTTCAGGGAACTTAAAGCTGAGCGCCTTGAAGAGGAAGTGATATTGTAAACCAGAGGCCAGTCAGCAAATCTTTTGTAAATGGTCAGATAGAAAATATTTTTGACTTTGCAAGATATATGGTCTTTGACACAACTGCTCAACTCTGCTATTGTAGCACAAAAGCAACTATAGAAAATATGTAAATAAATGGGCATGGCTGTGAATGGTAGTCTGTGGGCTCCTGCTAGACCCTAGAAATTGAGGTCTTTCCTTGGTTTAAGAGAACAGATTCAGAAAACACAATTCTGGCTTAAGAGATGGGAGATGTATTTGAGGACAGAACTACATTGCCAGTGCAGTATTGCCTTAGGTTGAAGGGTAAGATTGTCATCAACTGAAGACAAGATGCAAAGAAAGTTATAAATTACCTGAGCAAGAATACTGCCCTTGCTTACCATCTTATTGATCTGACATGTCATTTGAGAACAGTTATGGACATTTAGGTATATGGAATTATACCTGATGAAAATATAGATAGGAATAAGCAACACATGTTGGGTAAATCATGTTCAACCAAGAACTGAGCAAGTCTGAAAATTACACTGGCAAATGTGTTGGCTCCTTCTGAGAAAGGGACCTTCATTTGGCTGAAAATCATTTTCAAAGCACTAATCATTGTGTTCTTTATACTTAAAAACGTGAATGTTTTCTACATCCTTATTTGACGTTCAACAGAACCAAGTTTATGTATAGGTAAGTAGGAAATCCAAGTCTCTAGGCATGTACAGACAAAGTCAAATAGTGCCCCGAGTCTTGCAAGTGGAGATTAGATCCTTTAACCAGTGACCCTACTCTCTTTCCCCTCCTATAGAGACCCGGTTATAACACTATTACATCCAGGAGACAAATACATTAAATTTGATCTGTTATTTCATGTCTAGGGGAATACCCACAATACTTTTCTAGATTGGACTGGGAGGCAAAGAAGAATATTACTTGATCTCTAGCTCAGTGGTTGGGTGGTAAGATGGATAGAAGTGTGTGTGTGTGTGTGTGTGTGTGTGTGTGTGTGTGTGCAGGGTCAATCCTGGTTGTATCAGGTCTTCACAAACCACACAGTTTTCCTTCTTTCCTCACCATTTCACATTCATAGACATATCAGAATATGAGGTAGTGGGAAGGACCCAGATTGAGAAACCCTTTAGGTGATTTTGATACGATTAGCCATCCCTAACCCTACCTCATGTGAGAACCGTTGATCCGCCTTACTTCAAAATTAGTTAGTTTTGGCAGAAGTTCTTTGGAGCTTTGTATTTAATTTTAAAGTATGACAAGATCTTACAAGTCCCTAAATATAAAATCATTATAAATACACTGCTATATATGAACCCACATATGAAATTAGAATCTAACTAAAACAGATAATTATAAAGCAATTTTTTGCTTTGTGAAACCCACATATGGTAATAGATGAGGCATTTTAATACATTAAGGTTTTATTAATAATTTGCTGCCAAAAAGAATGTTTTTCCACTTCCTGAACTAATTCCTAAATAAAAACCAGGTGCTTTCAGAAACACAATACTGACTTTTTTTCCCAGCACATTGGGAAACTGATCAATAAAAGTGCTTTTTCTCAATTTCTCTCTCCCAAATAATTAAACAAAATCTATAAAAAGGAGCAGGGTGTCTCCTGGGTGGGTCAGTTGGTTTAAGAGTCTGCCTTCAGCTCAGGTCATGATCTCAGGATCCTGGGATCTCAGGGTCCTGGGATCAGCTGCAAGGCTTCGGGCTCCCTCTGCCCCTCCCCCTGCTCATGCTCTCTCTTAAATAAATAAATATATTTTTTTAAGTGTTTAGTATGCTCAAAAACACTCTACTTAGTTGTCTCAAACAACTAGGAAAGGTGGTATCCAAGGAGGTCTAAAGAAGCTAAGGAACACAAAAATTGTTAGAATAACATACTTGACTAACAATAAGTGAACTGAGACTGTATTATCCTTTGCATAATGTGGCTGGAGGCAGAAGGAGGGAGGTACTTAGAAGAGAAGAAGGAGTAAGACAGGAGGAAGAAAGGCCAGTAAATTTGATTAACTAGAACTCAGGCTATCAGCCAGAATGAACACAATTGAAGTGACAATTTCAAATGAAAGAATTTATTTCTGTTGTTGTTTTATTTTGTTTTTAAACACCTATCATTGATTTGGTAAAGCACCAAGAAAGTTCTTGAGTATATATTAGGGTCATCGGATGTTCAACTAAACTTCATGCAGACTCCTAGACCTACATGTGATCTCACATCCAGAAAAATGACTATGACATCCTCAGAGGATGTCAGTTTACTACAACAGGAAAATAGACAGCATTTTAGATAGCTTTTCAATGAAAACACTGAAACAAAGCAAAAGTTTCTGATTAAGTTTCAGTTAACATTGAGTTAGCCAACATATACAATTCCCTAAGGCCCTTATCTGGTGTCAGTTATAATCAGATGAGCACAGCCCACAGGAAAGGCCAACAAATCCTTTTCCTATCTGTGTTCCCAGCTGATGCTTCTATCTGCACACAGATGAGACTGAAAATCCCAGGGTTGGTCCCAGCAAGTGAAAAAGATGACAGCAAATCCCACCCAAGTACTTGGGATTCTACACACCTGGAAGAATTTCATCCCACCAGATGTTCACATAGTCATCTCGGTCAGTTCTTGACTGCTCATGGTAAAATCCCAAAGCATGAAGGATCTCATGTTCAATAATGGCCTTATAGTCACATCCCTGGCCAATGGAAAGGTTCTGTCCCACGTGTCGATCGCCAACCTCAGACCAGCATCTTTAAAGAAGAGAAGAGGGAAATTTTCTCCTATAGAACTCTCAAGGGGCTGTAACTCACAGGGTTCCAGAACACAAATTTGAAGGAAGTTAGGTTTGATTTAAAAAAGAAATTATCAGTAGCATCCTCATAAGCTAATAGTTCAAAATAGGGGACTGGCTAAATGAGCAACATTTCCTCGAGGAAATAATAAGCAGGCTTTGAAAGTTGTGGTGCATTATCGAAGTGACATATTCTCAGAGGCAAATCAATACTAATAATGCACCAGGTAGAAAGAAGTAAAAGTTGGCATCCTTTCTCACCTTCACAAACCCAAAGGGCATTCCACAGAATAATACCATTGCTTTTGTACCACAATATTAAGTTGTCTCTAGGTAGTGGCTATGGGTGATTTAAATTTCCTTCTTTATACTTAAATGAATTTTCAAATTTCCTAAATGGACAGGTATAAGTTCTTTGATCACAAACAAGAACCGCATTGAAGAAGCCAATTCATTTCTTTGGCTGTCAGTGGATCTGCAGAGTTATGAAAGCACAGAGCTGGCCACCTACCATTTCTGAAGGGCTCTGGGCAAGAAGGACCCAGAACTTCTCGAAAAAAAACAGTAGACTCATGATCTTCTCCCAGATTCTCTAAATTCCACATGGTGCAGCATTTTGCTCCCCTTTTTCCCCCAATTATTTTGTCTTTTTTTTTTTAAATAAATCCAACTTTTCACCTCTCTTAGCAAATCCAAAGCCTTCCATGAATTGTTTCCTTATCTGCTTTAAGTTGCGGAAGAGGATCTATACTCTAACCAGTGCTCAACAGATTCAGATATTTGCTCATAATTTTAAAAGAGACCAATGGATTCCAAGTTCTTTGGTGACAATCACATTGTCTTACTTTGCCATCACCTTCCTGGAGATTGTTAATATCATATACCCTCAAATGCTAATGGATTTGATTTCTACTCTGAGGTAGATCTTAATTATCTTCTAATAACATGTTAAGGTATAACTTCCATACCATGAAATTCAGCAATTTTAAGAATACAATCAATGATCTTTTGTAACCTCACTGAGTTATGCAAACATGGTCATGATCTATTTGCCTCTCTGACAGTAGCATTTCATTACCAAATCAGTTGACTCCGTGAAATATCCGAAATCCAGAGGAAGCACTTGCTATTTACCTTTTTTTTTTTTTAACATCCCTCTTCCAGTGGAAATGTGTAAGTTGCAAAAATGCCACATCTCTGCAGCTCTCAATCTTTTCCATTGTCTTTCTAAAAGAACCCAGTTAACATCTTGCTTCAGGGGACCAGAACCCTGAAGGATTTGGGGCACTTTGGTGCAGCTTCTCCCCCTTGCAACTGACCTTCTTCCTCTCTTTTTCCCTTCCCCTAATTTAAATGCAACAGAGACCCCTCCTGGCCACAGGCATCAAGAATTTCCCAGATTCAGGTTTTACAGAGAATGTCCCTCAAAGTTGACCTACCTCTTTATCAAGTACTTCAGGGATTTAGTTAAAAACTGAAAAGAAGACAGGAGAATTTTACTAGGAAGGAAAGAACTTTTGGAAAGTGATCACATTAGCTTAGTTTTATTTTTAAGAGAGAGAGAGAGAGAAGAGACAGTGGTAGCTAAAAGTGTTAAGAAAATGAACTTTTTTTTTTCCTGAAGTCTTCAATAAATAACTAAAGGCTTTGGCACTTTCTTGAAGCTAAATTGTTGCCAAGGGACAAGACGAAAAGGTCAAAAACAGAGAACCTCCAAAATATGTGCTCTTGGCAAGGCCCAAGCTATACTTTACACGTTTTTCCTTCACATGAAAAGAAACTGTGCAAATACTATTGGTTATCTCCACTTATGTGACCCACAAGAACCTCAGGACATGTTCAGAAACACATTGACTATCGTATCCCTAAAGTGGTTCTTCTGACAGTATTGCCAGGCTCGGAGGATGAAGTTACTACTCGACAGTCATTGAATCAAAAATCAAACAGACACCCTTGATTCCTCTTTCTTCTTAACCCCTCACATGAACTAAAAACTACCTTTTTTTAAAATAAAGACTTTATTTATTTATTCATGAGAGACACACAGAGAGAGGCAGAGACACAGGCAGATGGAGAAACAGGCTCCCTGAGAGGATCGTGATGTGGGACTCGATCCCAGGACCCCAAGATCACGACCTGAGCCAAAAGCAGATGCTCAACCACTGAGCCACCCAGGTGCCCCCTAACAACCAGCTTCTGAGAAGTCCCCTGTTTTCATAGTTCTGAAATCCAGTCCTGCTCCTTCATTTCAACTACTCTTCTTCAGTGCAGGTCGCTTTTTATTTCTGTCCTGGACAATTGGGACATTCTTTAATTGGTCTCCTGCCACCAGTCATGCTGCCACTTCAATTCTTTATCCACTGTTGCTAGACTAATTTTTCTAAAATGGAAACCTGAGCATATCATAAATCATGCACAGAATGGTGGATTTCCTCATATATGGTTTATCTCTGACCAGGTTCTTGTTTATGGTCCTGGCTCCATGGCCCACCACTCTGCGCCTTACATGCAAAGCTTCAGACACTCAGAACTTAGTGAGTTCTCCAGGCAAGCCAGATTCGTGTTTGTGTTTGCTTTTTTTCTTCTGTCTCTCTTCTCTTACTTTTTCTCTTCCTTCTTCTTCCTTTCCCCTTTCTCTCTGGGTCTCCCTCCCTTCCCATCCCCCATTTTGTCCCTCTTTCTCCTCTGCCTCTATGTCTTCTTGTGGCTCAGAGCACTCCTCATAGCATATCTAACTATTTCCTTGTTGTCTCTCCACTATCCCCAATTGCCAACTTTAAACCTTATGAGATCTAAGACTGTGTCTTATGCTTCTTTGTATCTAGAGACTAGCATACTTCCCAGCACATACTAGGTGTACATAAATTTGCATTTTAATAAAAGCCTGAGCCAAGAGAGCAACTACTCAAGTAAGTAAGGTACTTAACTGGTATCTAAGTGGTCCAGTTGTGGTATCACAATTTTATTTTTTTCTACTATATTTTGCATTTTTTTTCTTAAGGGGCAAAAGCAGGTGTTAACTTCCTTCCTCATCTCTGTTACCCATCCATAATTAACAAAAACACTAGCAGAACTAGACAACCAAATCCAGGCAACACCTAGAGGCAATCTGGGAGCAGCAGGAGGAAATGTCTCCAGTTGGGCCTTAAAGACACAAACATGCAATCAAGGCAGATGTTAGCTTGGCTTTCCAGCCTCATCTAGCCCAGGTTGATTGACATAAATGCCACTGAGAAAGACAAACTTTTTCTTGATATACCATTTATTTTTCCTGGGAAATAAATAACTACAAACTACATCTAGAACTTCTCAAAGAAATCCAGCCAACAGAGTAGCATAATTTAAAGGAATACCATAAAAAGGGGTTTATAATTTATATTTTAATACAACTGAGTTTAGAAAAAGTGCTATAATTTAAATCATGACCTAAACCCAGGAAAAGAATCAAAATAAATCTCCTTATGGCCCAGAGGTGTCTAAGCAACTCCTTTTCCATCTAGGGCATTAAAAATGTTATTGAATTTTAAAATTCACAGAGAAAGATTTGATTTTGCTTTTAGTTTCTTCCTAGTTTCTTCTTTTGAAAGACATGTATCCAAAAAAAAGAAAGACATGTATCAGTTTTATAAACAAAAGAATGCATGATTACATACTCTGTAAAATTTCATACTTACCCATCAAACTTTTGAAATATGATATATGAGCTCTCTCCTTCATAGGGCTTGAAATCCACACAGGACTTGAGGCGGAACATTTCAAAAGCATAAAGAATGGCTCCTTTGGCATTCAGCCCTGCAGAAACCAGTAAAAATATCAATGAGCATTACTTAGATCTTAGATAATACACATAACATAGTTTAGAGAAGATCTTGCCACCTAGATAATACACATAACATAGTTTAGAGAAGATCTTGCCACCACATGAAATTCACAGAGGTCTATGGTCTACATTTTTTGGTAGTAAGTAGATTCCTTGGAAACTAAAACTACAAAACTAGTCGTGTACATAAACATTAAGTGCAAACTTTAAATGCATAATGTAAATAGACCTACATGATAAGAATATACCTGTATGTGTAGTTGGACAATATTATAAACAAACTACCTCATTTCCTCTCTCCCCCTTTCCCCATTCAAGTGAAGATCCTGAGTACACTGCCTCAGGAGAGTCACACTGCAGAGCAGAAGACAGAAATGATTGCAACTCATTTCTGTCTTCTATGTAAATAAAACACTTGGAGAGAAGCAATGAGAATGGTGCTTACCCCAGTCTAATAAGATACCCCCCCTTGCTGGAGGAAGAGAGCAGAGTTTAGAAAGGTTTATGGGTTCTGGAAGCATAAGAAGCACATGTGATGTTAACCTGCTTCCCTGCAAGACATGTGGAAAGATGACAAGACTAAACAGGTAGCACTGGAAACAGCCTTGGAAAATATTTTTATAACCCAAACTTGGAACGAAAGCAGCAGAAACCTAATGAACCTGAAGAGGCCAGAACAGTAGGGGCTTATTAGTGACCTGTAGGTTAGGACCAGTGACCAATGATCAAATGTTTTTCCTTTCGCCGCACATACACACACCCTGGCATTGCGTAAGACAAGCATGAGGTGGGGAGGAAAGATACTCCAGTGGAATAGAGATTATATTTTACTTAGTATGTGTGTTTTCTTTTTTCTCTTCCATCAACTCATTGAAAGTAGAGCTCTAAGTTAAAAATTAAGCTAGGTTATATAAAGTTGTATTTGTTGTACATTTGATTTTGTGCATTCTCTCAAAGAGTTTATAATTCTTAGCACTTTACAAAGTACTTACCTTATGTTTTCCTGGCCCTTATTTCATTTAATAAACTACCAAGCTGGAGATTCCACAGCTCAGATGTCATAAGATTATATTAATGTCATTAAATAAATAATCAGTGGAATAATCAATAAATTACTTGTGGAAATAATATAGATAACAACAACAAGAGTATGCACTAAACCTACTGAAAGATTTTCATGAAATTTTATCTATTCTTAGTAACATTTATAATATAAACATTTGTACCCAAGACAGCTAAGTTTCCACAAAAGTTAGGAAAATACTCCAGAGACAATGTAACTGTATTTGCAAAATACATATCTGACAAAAGACTTGTATCTAGAATATATAAAGGACTCCTACAACTCAAAGTAGAAGAGACAAATAACTAATTTTTTTAATGGGCAAACTATCTAAACAGATATTCACAAAGGAAGACATACAAATGACCAATAAGTAAACAAAAAGAAAGTAAAACAGCAATAAGTAGACTAAAACCACAATTAATTGCCATTATATGTTCACCAGCATGGCTAGAATTAAAAAGAATAACAACAATGAATTTTGGCAAGGATGTAGAGTAAATGAACATTCATTCATTGTTTGTCGAAGTCTGTAAAATGGTACAAGCACTTTAAAAGAGATCCAACACTAAACCAACATCTGTATTATAACCCAGCAATTTCACTTTAGATATTTACACAGGAGACATGAATATAAAACCATATATTCAAAACAGGCATGTACAAGAGTGTTCATAGTAAGTTATTCATAAAAACTCAAGCATAGAATCAACCCAAGTGTCTATCAACAGGAGATTGGTTGAAAAAGCTGTCATATACTGTATTCATACAATGGAATGCCACTCAATAATAAAAAGGAAAAGTTATTGATGCATACAACAACATTCGTGAATCTCAAAAACATTTTACTGAGTAATTGAAAAAAGCATAAAATATGATTCTGTTTGCATGAAATTCTAGAACAGGCAAACTCATCTATGATTAAAACAACAAAGGCAGCCTGGGTGGCTCAGCCATTTAGCACCGCCTTCAGCCCAGGGCCTGATCCTGGAGACCCAGGATTGAGTCCCACATCAGGCTCCCTGCATGGAGCCTGCTTCTCCCTCTGCCTGTGTCTTTCTTTCTTTCTCTGTGTGTGTGTGTCTCTTGTGAATAAATAAATAAAATCTTTTTAAAAAATAAAACAACAACAAAATGTTATTTCTGAAAGGATAAGAATAACTATGAAAGAACATGAGAGAATTTTCTGGGATAATAAAAGTGCTCCGTATCTTAATAGGAGTTGCATGAATATTTTTACATTGTATAAGTGTAATGTATAAGTTACAAGATTCATAAATATTTTAAAATTCATTGAACTGTACACTTAAGACTCCATCCATTTTACTCTATGTACAGTTACATAAAAAAGAACCATAAACAAATATTAGACTTTAAAGATACACATGCCGCAGTGTTTGGAGTAAAGCATACTGTCACTGCAATTTACTTTGAAATGTATCAGAAATTGAATGCATCTATAGATGGATAGAAGGATGGACAGGATGGATTAATAAGATAAAGCAAATATAGCAGAATGCTGTTTGTATAATGTAGGTGATGAGTATATGAGTGTTCACTGCACAATTCTTTCAGCTTTTCATATATTTAAGATTTTTCATAACAAAATGGGGAAAAGAAAAAGATGATAATTACAACTTTAAAGAAGAATAAAAACCTATTAAATTCTATTTCCAGTAAAAAATGCCCTTCAAAATGAAGACAGTAAAGAGATTATTTTGGAGAAAGAAGAGAATTTGTTTTTTGGTTTTTGTTTTTTTTAAACAAGAAATGTTAAAGGAAGGGATGCCTGGGTGGCTCAGTCAGTTAAGCATTGAACTTTTGATCTAGCCTGGGTCTTGATCTCAGGGTTGAGAGTTCAAGCCCCATATTGGGCCCCACACTGGTTATGGAGCCTACTTAAAAAAAAAAATGGTAGAGGAAGTTCTTTAGGCTGAAGAGAAAAGAAACCAGATAGGAACTCAGATCTCCAGGAGCAATGAACAACACCAGAAATTGCAAGTATAAAAGCAAATACAAAGACTACTTTTCTTCATTAATTACTCTGAGACAACTGATTAAAGGGCAAAAAATGATAACACTGTATTATGAGGTTTATAAAAATATGTGGTTGGGCAGCCCCGGTGGCTCAGTGGTTTAACTCCGCCTTCAGCCCAGGGCATGATCCTAGAGACTCGGGATAGAGTCCCGCGTCGGGCTCCCTGCATGGAGCCTGCTTCTCCCTCTGCCTGTGTCTCTGCCTCTCTCTCTCTGTGTGTGTCTCTCATGAATGAATAAATAAAATCTTTAATAAATAAATAAATAAATAAATAAATAAATAAATGTGGTTGAAAATATATATAAGCCAACAATACATGAAAGGAAGGGGTATAAATGGAATGATACTGTTGTAAAATGCTCACATTTTATGCAAAATGCACACTGTTAAGTCTAAGTATACTGTTACATGTGAAGGCTACAAATTGTGTAATTCCTGTGACAAAGCCTCACAAAATAAGACAAAAGGGTTGAGCTAAAAAGCCACTACAAGAGCCAAATGAAATATTAAATTGTTAGATTTAACCAAAAGAAGGCAGGAAAAGAAGAATAAAATAAAAACTAGGAGACAAATAATAACCGATACTTCTAAATCAATTTATATCAATAATTACATTAAATGTAAATAGACCAAATATTCCAATTGAAATTCAGAAGTTGATATATTTGATAAAAAAAGTGAGACTCAAATATATATTGTCTGAAAAAGAGACACTCTAAAGACATTGATAGGTTAAGGGTGAAAACCTGAAAAAGATACACAGTGAAAACAGTAAGTTTTAAAAAGCTGGTGTAGCTATATTTAAATTACAAAGTAGATTCCAAAATAAAGAGGATTACTATAAAATAAGAGAAATTTCCTTAAATGATGAGTCAATTTAGCTAGACGATATAACAATGTGCTTGCCCAAAGGAAGAGTTTCAAGAAAATGCTAAAAGAAGAGATACGCAAACACTCAATTATAGTTAAAGAGTTTAGCACCTTTCTCTCAGTAGCAGATAAAACAATAGTCCAAAACTCCATGCAGATAAAAATATTTGAGCAACACAACCAACCACCTTGACCTATTTGACATTGATAAAATAACACAGCCCAAATCAGCCAAATGTAAGTTCTTTTCCAGTACACATGGAACAGTCACAAAGATAGGCCACAAAATATGCCTCAGTAAATTTCAAAAAGATCAATATGTTCTCTGACCTTAACAAAATTAAACTAGAAATCAATAACAGAATATCTGGAAGTGCTATAGACATTTGTAAATTTAAAAACACACTTCTAACTGATCCATGGATTTTTAAAAAATACAATTGAAATTAGAACATATCTGAACTTGAATAAAGATACAACCATATCAAAATTTGTGGAAAACACTTAAAGTAGAGCTTCAAATAAAATGTATAGCTTTAGGTGTCATATTATAGAATTATATTTCATTAGAAAAGTGAAGGTTTAAAGTCAATGATATAAATTTCAACCTTTAATATAAAAAAGAAGAGCAAATTAAACTGGAATTAAGTAGAAGAAAGGAAATAATAAAGATAAGCAAAAAGCAATGAAATGGAAAGCAGAGAAGGTAGAAAAAATTAAGTGAAAAGTTGCTTCTTTGAAAAGATTAATAAATCAACACTGCTTTAAAAATAAACAAAAAAAGAAAGTCACAGACTAGGAAAAATTTTTTCGAGATATCTATCTATCTCTGACAAGACTTCGTCCATAATATATGAAATTCTTCTACAAATAATGAAGAGACAAATAATACGATAAAAAAGCATAATAAGAGTAGAACAGATCATTCATAAAAAACATACAAAAATGGTCAATGACACATGGCAATGTGGGAAATATCATTAGTCATTAGGAAATGCAAATTAAAATCACAGTGAGATTCCATTTTGCAACCAGTAGAATGGCTGCAATTAAGAAACATTAACACCACCAGTGTTATTGAAAATGTAGAGCAAGTGGGACACAGCTACATTGCTAGTGAGAATGAAAAATGGTGCAGTGAGTTTTGAAAACTGCTTGGCATTTTTTACTAAAGTTAAACATATATTTGTCATATGATCAAGCAATTCTATTTCTAGAAATTTGATCAAGACAATATATATATATATTTATTTATTTATCCATGCAGATTTGTACAAGAATGATCATACCATCTTTCTTCGTAAGAGCTCAAACTTGACACAACTTAATGTCCATCAATTGAAAAATGGATAAACAATTGCCATATTAATGGGGCACCTGGGTGGCTTAGTGGTTGAGTGCCTCAGGTCGTGATCCCGGAATCCTGGGATCGAATTCCGCATCAGGCTCCCTGCAGGAAACCTGCTTCTCTCTCTGCCTATGTCACTGCCTTTCTCTCTGTGTCTCCCATGAATCAATAAATAAAATCTTTAAAAAATTGCCATATTACTGAGGAACATTACTGAGTTGTAAAAAAAAAAATGAACTACTGACCTGCAACAATATGGAAAAACTTCAAAACTATGTTAAGCAAAAGTAGCCAGATACAAAAGAGTACATGCTAAATGATTCCATTTATCTATAAATCAGGTAAAACAATCTATAGGGAAAGGTGATTAGAATGGTAGTGTCTTGAAGAGGTGGGTAGAGATTGGCTGTACAAGCACGTGGGAAATTTCTGGAGTGATGGGAGAATGGGTTACATAAGTTTATGCATTTATCAAAAGTCATTGGCTTTTACACTGATTTGTGTATACTCTGTGTAAATCTAACTTTAATAAAAGAATTGTATACAAATATAAAATTCTAGGATGTTTGCTTTTTGCAATGGTATAGGCCTAGGCATCTAATTTTTTTTTTTACACTAAAAGTGATTCTCATGTGGGGTACTTAAGAGCCACTACTGCTGCTACCTTATCTCAGGCCACCTGTCTTCCATCTTACTCTCTTAATCTGTCACCAACCTGCAGCTAAAGAGACCTTGCTACTCAAGCTATGGCCAGCAGCCCAAAAGCACCAGCATCACCTGGGGGGTGGTGCCGAATCTGAGACCCCACCCCCTGACCTACTCTGCAATTCCACAAAATCCTCAGCAGAGCCTTATGTACATAAAAGTCTGAGAGGCACTGACTTAACACCTCACAGACACCTGGTGCAGCTTAAATCAAATATTTGGTGAAGGCACCATGTCCAGCACATATTGGTGATTCAATGAGTGTGTCTATCAAAGATAAACTCAAAATGGATGAAAGATCTAAATGTGAGACAAGATTCCATCAAAATCCTAGAGGAGAACTCAGGCAACACCCTTTTTGAACTTGGCCCCAGTAACCGGAGAAGGACAAACAGTGTATGTTCTCATTCATTTGGGGAATATGAATAATAGTGAAAGGGAATATAAGGGAAGGGAGAAGAAATGTGTGAGAAATATCAGAAAGGGAGACAGAACATAAAGACTTCTAACTCTGGGAAATGAACTAGGGGTGGTGGAGGGGGAGGAGGGCGGGGGGTGGGGGTGAATGGGTGACGGGCACTGAAGGGGACACTTGACGGGATGAGCACTGGGTGTTATTCTGTATGTTGGTAAATTGAACACCAATAAAAATTAATAAAAAAATATATAATAGAAAAAAAATGAGTGTGTCTATGTCTTGATGGAAGGGAGGATAGTGCAGGTGCAATAGACAGGAAGAAAAATTGCAATGGGGAAAAAATACCCCTCTGGAAAGCTGATGTTTCTTCAATTGCATTCCAATAAATATGAGTGCTCTGTGAATTTGAAGGTGTGCCACCAAACATTGGGAGGAATAAAACCTCAAATTTCCAAAACAATCACTGAGAACAACAGCATTTGTTTATATCTCACTCTCCTCCAGAAAAGGGATCAGCACTGATGACAGTGGTGGAAAATAGGGAAACATAAGCTCTATCTCCTGAGTGTGGGAGCAGCCTAGGGTCTGTTAAGATTGAGCAAGCTTGTCCCGGCTCCTCCTCTCCTTTGATCTACCTCCATCCATGTGGTATAAGCCTTGTAAGCATCACATCATCCTGGCTGCTCAGCTGTCAGTCACCTGCTTGGGGTCAGCCAGGGTCCACCATGGCTTCAAATATTTACTTATTTCCCCTGAATATTATTCCAACAATGAGTGAACTATAACTTAACCCGCCCTTTATCCTGAGAGAGAATTGAAATTATTAATACTGAGGAACAAGGACTCTGAACATATGAAATACAGATTTTTCTCTTTCTCAAAAGTTCAGAATGTCTGTCTCATAACAAAAGGGGAAGAAATCAGTATGCTGAAAATATATTTAGATTCAGCTAAACTAGTCTTGAAAGCGAAAATTTTTTCATGGTTGTGAAGCCAAATTATATTTCTGTACTTTTATTCTTCAGGGTGCTTTTTGGTTTCATTAACATGTTAATGTGTTCTGCACTTTTACAATTATTGTTTGGTACTCTGTAATTTTTAAAATTACCATTCAATGCACTGTATCTCAGACTGGTTAAGTAGCACTGGGTCAATATAATGTTATGCCTCTCATCTCACAGGATAAAGAATCATCAGGGCTTGGAAACCCTCAGATGCATTGGTGTTACTCCCAATCCGAAGCTGATGAATAGGAGGAGCAGGGGAGAGAAGAGTAAAACCCAAAGCTTCTAATTAAAACAATTAACATTACCCAGATTGTCAGCCAGAATGTAAGGAATAGGGAACTTCCACCTGGCTTCAGGATCTCTCAGGCCATTTCTGGAGTTCTGTGGAAACAAGGCAAAGAAGGCTGGGAAGGTGAATTCTTGAGGCCCCCTGGCCTCCTCCTCTGCTGAACTTCCATACCACAAACAACCTATCATACGATTCAAACGAGAGTGTTTGTATTCTGATTACAAAAGCAATACTAATTCATTATAGACAATTTGGAAACTGCAGAGAAATTATTAAGAACTAAATTTAGAAGATCTTCAATTTCTAAAAACTGAGATAGCCATTTTAAACATATTGGTGCATTTCCTTCTCAGTCTTCGCTTACTAGGAAAGTTGGGTGAACAAGTAATGTGATAATTACAGATTCTTTGAACCGTTTGTTAATTTTTCATCTGTCTTTGTCATCATCAGTGACAGTGGAAACTCTTGTGGGTATAGATGATAGATTAGATTCTTGCATGTTCTCCACAGTGCCCAGCCCAGGGTTGGACACAGCAGAGGCTTCTAGTAATAAAAAAACAGCCAGTCTTGAGGAATGCTATTGTGTCTTTGGAAGATACTCACCTGCAGGAGGATGTCCCCTTGAAAGAGGTCCAAGCCTGCAGCTAGAGGCAGATTAAAAAGAAGAAGAAATATTTGAACGAGCATGACTGAAAGGCATCTCTCATAATAAAATTAATCTTTTCCATTATAAATCTTGCATTGTTAGTCTTTTGTCAAAGTCTTTGGAAGCAATTCAAAATTCCCTCTAATTGAGTAAATGTAAATAGCCCATTAATATTGTGTATTATCACATCCTTTGTCTTCATTTTGGAACAAGAAACCTTGTCCAAGAATCTTTAAAGTAAGAAATGAGTTAGAAGGGATCTTTTTGATCATTGACTCCAAACCTCTTCGGACTTCAGGGGGCACAAGGGAGTCTTGAAACAGGAAGTAATGCAGTAGGTGGTCAGCAGTTGAGTGGACTTAAGAACTCCTGACTTCCTATCCAAAGTCCTTTCTGCTATTGTTCTATCCTTCCTCGTGAACCTAGGTAAATGACTTGGTTTTGCTCTGTCCCATGAAAAAATAATGGTACCCTCCAAAGCCAAGGTCAAGATGATGCTCTTGCAGTAAAGATCAGGCAACTATGTATTGATCCATTCAGTCTGTATCTCCAAATATCTGCTGTCAGGAGCTTAGCATAATAAACTTTCTCCATTATGGTATTCCTTGATTCTGGCCTCATCGTGTTTTTGCAAATAGGATTCTTAAAAGGGAAGATCCTGGTGGGAAAAATTTATGAGGATTTGAAAGAATGTCTTTTCTTATGACAACCCTCATGTTTGACAAACAGCCTCCCCTGTAAAACACAAAGTACCCCCAAACAGGGTCAGTGGATTGTATTTCATTCTGAGAATAGCCCCTGATTTACAGCTGGGAAATCAAGCTAGAGAGTTATCGTCATAGCCTCATACGGTCACAGAGGTCCCATTTGGCAAAGCTGACTGCTCATTCATGGTAAATGACACCACCGGGGTTTTAGGTATTAAGAGGAGTCATGGTTTCACTTGCTAATGATGAAATAAAGCATCATGATCTCTTTCCTCATGCACATATTTCTTAACCTCCATAAACCTAACTTCTGCATATGATAACAGCAAAATTAAACAAAAACAACATCTATATCACTATGGGAAATAGGACCCAGGTTTTGAATTTCCTTTTCAGGAGGTGGAGTATGTGCTGGTCTATTCACACTCTGGCTTAGGCTTGTCATGAACAAACACCTGCATTTTCTGACATTGGTCTGGATTAGGTATGGAGATGATAGCTGGGCTCCTCTAGAGTGATAGGAACAAGCTCATTCAGACCCTGGCCCCTAGGTTGGTCAGCATAGATGGGGTCCTGCAGGGATAAGAGAGTGCAGCAATGGGGGAGCTGGGAGCACTTCCCAAAGAAACAGATATCCATTAAAAATAAGGTTCAAGAGGGGCACCTGGGTGGCTCAATTGGGCATCTGACTCTGGATTTCTGCTCAGGTCATCATCTCAGGATCCTGGAATCAAGCACCCTGTCAGATTCCATGGAGCCTGCTTAAGATTCTCTCTCCCTCTCTCTCTTTCTCTCTCTCTCTCTCTCTCTCTCTCTCTGCCTGTCCCCTTCCCCGTCCTTGCCCCTTCCCTGTCCCCTCCCCCACCCATCATCTCCCTGTTGCATCCTAGAGTACACATGCACTCTCTCGCTAAAAAATAAAAATGAAAAAAAAAATAAGCCTCAGGAGATTCATTGACCAATCTGCTCGGGCAGCATAGACTTATTAAGCACCTATTGTGTGCAAGACTTTGTTCTACATGCTAGGGACATAGCAGAGAATAAAACAAAGCCCTCAAGTTTTAGTATATGTGCTACCAAAGCGAGCACAAAAACGAAGCCCTGAAGGAGGTGACATTCTTGACTGGAGAGGGAGGAGAGACAAACAAATAAATGTTGAGTAACAGACGGTGAAAAGAGCAATAAAAAAAATAGGGGAGGGATCCCTGGGTGGCGCAGCGGTTTGGCGCCTGCCTTTGGCCCAGGGCGCGATCCTGGAGACCCGGGATCGAATCCCACATCGGGCTCCCGGTGCATGGAGCCTGCTTCTCCCTCTGCCTGTGTCTCTGCCTCTCCCTCTCTCTCTGTGACTATCATAAATAAAAAAGAATAAAAATAATAAAACCTTTAAAAAAAAAAAGAAAAAAGAAAAACATTTAAAAAAAAAATAGGGGAGAAAAGTGGTGAAGGGTGGGAGGGTTGATATTTTATAAAGGGTGGTTTAGGATGGCCTCTCTGAGGAGGTGGCATTGAAGCAGAAATCTTTAAAGAGAGAGAGAGAAATGATACAAGAAAACCTTGATGTCTTAGAGCAACTTTCTAAATTTCAGCATGAAAATCTCTTGAGAGTTTCTCAGTCAGCAAGTCTAGGGCAGAGCCCAAGAATTTTCACTTCTGACAAGTTTTCCGGTGATACTGATGCTGCTGGTTGGGAGGAACCACACACTGAGAATAACCTCTGTAGAGGAATAGCTAGGGGGTCAGGGTGGCTGGAGAGTCCAAGTAAGTAGGGGAGAGAGCAGTAAAAAAGTAAGATCAGATGGCTGGCCAGGTTCATCTCAAACTTTAATTTGCAGGGAATCTGCTGGGGTCCATCCACATGGAGGTGCTGCTTCTGTAGGTCTCAGATAGACCAAAGATGCTGCATTTCTAGAGAACTCTTAGGTGGTATAGGTGATACTGCCTGTGGAATACACAAGGTTCTAGGTTCAAGGTTCTAGGGTGTGTGTTCTATGTTGGACGAGATGTCAATCATCACTGGCCAATGTCAAAAGACTGGGAGAGTGGATAAGAGAAGTGATATGGCCTGAATCTTTTTTTTTTTAAGATTTTATTTATTTACTCATGAGAGATACAGAGAGAGAGAGAGGAAGAGACACAGGCAGAGGGAGAAGTAGGCTCCATGCAGGGAGCCTGATGTGGGACTCGATCCAGGGACCTCAGATCACTACATAAGCCAAAGGCAGACGCTCAATTGCTGAGCCACCCAGGCGTCCCACACATTGCCTGAATCCTTCCAGAGGAGACCTCTTTCTACTCTGAGGAATAGCCTATGCAGGGGGAGGGCAGGAAGGCCAGGGCAGTTGAAAGGCTGCAAGAACCTGACCAGACCAGATGGCTTAGGCCGGGGCAGGAAAAGAGAAAGTGCTAAGTCACAACCCGTGATACAATTTGATGGTCAACCCAATTGCATTTGCTGATAGATGGTAAGTACATTGAGAGAAAGATAAGAATCAGAGGCTCTGAGCCTCTGATCTAGAAGAGGGAATTGCTTTTACTGAAATGAAAACACTGATGGCAACAAATGTTGGGGTAGAAAGTTAAAATGTGAAGCATAAAGAGAAGACAAAAAGAGGACAATTCCCTTTCTGTGATTTTTCCCAAACAGTTTTTGTGATGTAGGATCTGGCTGTATGGGCAACCTTAATAATTCTGGCAGCAGGGTTGGAAAGAAAAAAAAATCCACATGGTAAGATTTCTTCATTGGAGGCACAGCTCAGAGGGGTTGGTGGAGAAGAAGCATAAAGAGTGGCTCTCAGGTAAAAGAATTATTTGGTCTGGAGAAATCAGGGCAAGATCAATTAAACTCTAATTCTAGTCCCAACTCTGCATAAACTACAGCAAATCCTCCCAAGTCCATACACCTTGATTGCCTGGCACTAAAGAGAGAATTTGATGCCTGGCTCTGAAGTCTTGGGGCCGATTGACCAGTTTACCTGATCAAACTATTTCTTTAAAATTGTTTCATGCTTTTCCAATTATATATCAATGAGCCTCCCTTCCCTGTAAGTGGGACAAAGCCACAGAAATTCATCCCTTAGGTATGTTTTTTTTTTTTTTTTGAGTTTTGTAGTCTTCAAATCACACTGAGCTGAATCAGAAGACCTGGAGATGAGCCCAATCACTATCTCAACCACAAGGAACTTCCTTGTCATCTTCCTACAAAATGGTAACAGCACTTACTCTACTACAGTTTTTTTTTTAAGATTTTATTTATTTATTCATGAGAAATGAAGAGAGGGAGAGGCAGAGATGTAGGCAGAGAGAGAAGCAGGCACCCTACTGGGAGCCCATTGTGGGACTTGATCCCTGGACCCTGGGATCACAACCTGAGTCAAAGGCAGATGCTCAACCACTGAGCCACCCAGGCATCCCCTTTACTGTGGCTTTTGAGATATAACCTCAATTATAAATGCAACTGGTGATAAAGCTTTTGTAAACCACAAGGTGTTTAAGATCATAAATATCTCTGTATCTTGCCAAACCAAACCAAAGATATACAGAATATAAAGGCTTCTCCTCATTTTAGAAGCAGAGTAAGAGAGAGAAAAGAGATGATAACCCCAGCTTCTCTCTCCTCTCAGTAATGGACCAGACAGATGGAGTTCTTCAAGAAAAATGTTTATAGACAAGTGTTGAAATGGAAACACCTTTACACTCATCCCTAAGTCCTGAGCAAACAGCTGCTAATGAATATGATACACCAGTAGAGGCACTGGGGTTTTCTCCCTACTAAATATAACCCTAGGCATATACTACACATGTATACATACATACATATACACGTGTGAGTAGCAAGCAGAGTAATCATCTACTTTTCTTTCATTTAAAAAATAAATAAATACAAAAAACCTGAAGTTTTTGTAAACCAAAGTCATGTTATGTATTTCTAGATCCATGAGGTATTCACTAATTCCTCTAGAAAATTAGGTCTAACCATTATTCTCTTCCCACATTTCCATTTTTCAGAAACTGCAAATTCAAATGAAGCACCAATAGATATTTCTCTCCTAAGGTTACCCAATACCCTATCATAATTGCTATAAAGCAATTGTAGCACAAGATTTAAAATTATTTCAGAGCATTAATAGTACAGAAATTGAACCCACCTAAATTGATTTCTGAAATATCCTTTTGTTCATCAAAATCTTCAGCATATACTGTTAAAAGTAGGAAAGAAATTGTTACTTATCTTGCTGAATAAAAGAAACTTCAGAAACACTCTATGCATTTCAATCAATTCTTACCATTTCCTTTAGAAATATGCTTAATCTGAAAGAAAATAAATATACAGAAATTTGTTAACATAAACTAGAATTAATATTTCTAAATACCCAAGAAAGCAGAACTCTACTTACTGATACAGCTGCTATGTGGGCAAAAAACAAGATGAAAGAGACAACACAAGTAGATCTAGTCCAAACCATTGTTGCGAATGAAGAGACTGAGCAAAGAAAACTTGCAATAAATACTTTTTGGACCTTGCTCTGGCTGTCATCTTAGAAACTTTGACCCTCACATATGTATCATGGCATTAAAAAAAGTAACCAAAGAAAATGTCATTAACCCTTTTAAGGACAGAAATCAAGTTTAACATAAAATCTCAAGCTCCCCAGATCAGGGACAGGTTTGAAAAGGTTAATACTGAGATGACCATATAAAAATCAGTAACATTTCTATGCATCAGCATAGAATATTCCTCTACATGAACAAAATTTGTTCATATAACAGATAAAAGTTCCACTTCACAATAGAAATAAAAATAATCTATAAAATAACCATAAAGTACTTAAATCCAGTAAATAATGAATAACTATTCTATGGAAATATTTTAAAGCAATTATCAAAGGACGTAAAAACTATCTATCTATACACATACATACACACATATATTTATTTATACATACAAAATATTCACAAATGGGAAGACTTAAAAAAAAACAAATGGGAAGACTTCATGTAACAAAGATGGTAATTTTTTGACATTAGTCTATAAATATTATTCCAACAAATATCTTATTATTGGAATGCCATATTATTCCAGCAAATATCTTAGGTTTTTTGTGAAACTTGATAAACAGATAGCCTGTTTCTAAAATTCACATGAAAAAAGTAAACTTCCAACAATATATAAGAAAACTGAAAAGAAAGAACAAGGAGAAAGGAAGTGCCCTAATAGAATATTAAGGATTTTTATAAAGTTATGGTAGACAGTGTGATATTGCCAAAAAGAAAGAACAAGTAGTCTACAGAGCAGAACTATCAAAACAGATGACAGCATATATGGGAATTTCACATATGATAGGAAGGAACCAAAAAAATCCATAGGGAAACTTTGGTCTTTCAATAATAATGTGGGGACAAGACAACAGCATTTTCATATGAGAAAAAAATTTAACTCTCACACATATACTGTTCATACACACAAACACACACACCCCACACAAAACTGAGTGGATTAAAGATGTATATACAAGATCTAAACTTTGAAAAAATATAGGAAAATGCTTTTAACTTTGAGGTCAGAAAAGATTGCTTAAACAAGAAAAAAACATATAAATCATAGTAAATCTATCAAAATTTAAACTTTTGATGACAAAAGACACAACAGCATAGTTAAAAGCCACAAATGGAAGAAAATATCCATACTGCATATAGTTGAGGAAGAGTAAGTTATCCAGGATATATAAAGAAATTCCTACAAATTAATATGAAATTTAAAAAGAGAAAAAGATGGTCTAAGAGAAAAATGGGCAAAAAAATATGAACACAGAATTCACAAAAAAACCAAAAGGCCAATAAAAAAACATATAAAAAGATTTTTAACCTCACAATCAGAAAAATATCAGTTCCAATAACAATGAAAGGTCGCCTCAAGCTCAGATTGGCTTAAATGAAGAAGGCTGGTCATACAAGAATGTGAGAAAATAGGAAATTTTACACACTGCTGGTAGACCAGCAACCTGATGCAATCTAATAAGTTGAAATGTGCATAGCTTATAAGTTAAAAAGTCCACTTCTTCTATATAGGCAATGGAATATTACTCAGCCATTAGAAACGACGAATACCCACCATTTGCTTCAACATGGTTGGAACTGGAGGGTATTATGCTGAGTGAAGTAAGTCAATCGGAGAAGGACAAACATTATATGGTTTCATTCATTCGGGGAATATAAAAAAATAGTGAAAGGGATTATAGGAGAAAGAGAGAAAATGAGTGGGAAATATCAGAGAGGGTGACAAAACATGAGAGACTCCTAACTCTGGGAAACGAACAAGGGGTGGTGGAAGAAGAGGTGGGTGGGGGTTGGGGTGACTGGGTGACGGGCACTGAGGAGGGCACTTGATGGGATGAGCACTGGGCGTTATACTATATGTTGGCAAATAGAATGCCAATAAAAAATATACAAAAACAAAAAAAATAAAAATAAAAAGGTATACTTCCAGATATGTACAGTAAAAAAAAAAAAACTCACACATATGTACACAAAGTACCATATAACCTATTTATTATGGTGTGGGTTTTTTTTTCCTTTTTTTTTCTTTTTTTTTTTTGTAATTGTCAAGAATTAGAAAAACGTATTCATACTGGAAGAAAAAATGGGGCATATTCAATCATGCAGATCAATGTTGAACAAGCCTGTATGTGTAGTGTTTGCTGACTTCCTGGGTGTAAATGCCCCCACCTTGGTCACTTTCATGTGACCTGTCCCTGCCCCCAACATCACGTCCCTGAATGCAGTGCTGAGAAGAGGTGTGCACTGCAGACTCGGCCTGCCCCAGCAGGGTACTACTGCGTGTGCTTCCATACTCTCCGACTTTTGCACGCAGGGGAGGGGGTATCCGAGCAATCTTCAAGGTCCAGGTCCTGCCTACTGGGACCTACTGCATGGCCAGATGGGCCAGTCCTGTGGTCAGAAGAGCACGTCCTGTCAGAAAAGCATTTCCCGAGGCCGAACGTGGGGCCTCCTGAGCTGTGAAACAGCAGGCCTCCGCCGGGCAGGGGATGCGCAGCGGCCTGCCTTCCGCTCTCGCCGTTGGCCGTGAGGTTCGAAGAGGGGTAGGGAGCCCCCTCCCATGCTCTCCAGCCAGGGAAGCCACCAGTGTTCTCCGAAGGAACGTGAACTTGCCCAACAGCTAAGATGGCTTATGTCAGCAAATAGAATCTTAATGATTAAAAGATGGGTGGGGAGGGACTTGATAGACATCAACTTTACCAGAATAATTGGCTCTGAGTAGAAGGGAGGAAAACCCAGGAGACTTTCACTTCTTAAATGTTTTTCCCAAATTTTGAAAAATGGAAAGAATGAATAGTGGTTCATTCTGGAGCCGGAAAGTAGGGGTTTGGGACTTGGCTATTTTGTTTTCTAAAGAAAAGGGCGACACTCTCACCTTGGTACCCCTCCTGCTAAATCTCAGGTGTTTAGTTCTTCAAAAAGGTGTGGGGCTGTTGAATTCTCTCCACCTTTCCCTGCCCCCCCACCATAGGCTTTTATCTTTCCCTTCCTTCTTAAACTTACTTAAATAATACACTATAACAATAGTTTTGGAGTGGGATGGACAGGAATTTAAATCCAACTTCTGCCATTGACTAGCTGTGCCCTTCTGAGCGCCTGCTTTCCTTACATAAAATGGCTGGTGGTGCCTACTTCATGGGACTAGTGTAAGGATTCAATGAGATAACCTACGTAAACCACAGGTACCAGAGACGTAGGAAGAAGTGGGGCAACTATGACTCTTTATATTCACGCACATTGCCTTCTGGCAAAAGACAGGTTAGAAGAACACAGTGCTCTCAGCACACTCCTTGCTCAGCCAAACATCCTTTGATAGGATCATAGGTCTTCAACAGACAAAACCTGCCTCGGGTGATTTTTCTTTTTATGATCTTGACTCTGGGTGTTAATTAGTTACCAGTTATTTGCAATCCTAGGCACTTTATGTCCCAGGGTGTCCAATGAGCAAGGCTGGAGTCGTAAGTCCTGAGTTTGGAGAGTTTATGGCTTTGCAGATCAAAGATACATTAGGCACTCCACAGGGCAAGGGCCATGTTTTATTTTCTGTACCTGTCGCAGTGTCTGGCACCTGGTAGGCACTTAGTCGTCCTGTTGGACAAAATACAGTGAAATAAAATTTTCTCTGAAGCTATCGGATGAGTGGTTTGCTTTGGTTTCAGTGATGACATTTTACAAACTGACCAATTGAGAAAGTGGTATGAAGATTGGAAGAGAAAAGCCATTGGTGGGCGGGAAAAGGAAAGCCCTCTCCTGTGGTCAGACAGGCTCCAGCTTCATAAAAGCTGAGGCCAGGACCTCTTCCGGACTGGGAAAAGCCTATCCCTCCGAGCTCTTCTCAGGGATGTTCTCTGCCCTCTGCTTTGTCTACTTGCCACTTTTTTGCTTCACCCACAGGACTTGCTCTGAACAGGCTATCAGACTATCAGCTAACCTCTGACACTATTCCCTTTGCTGTTCCTCCAGGTGATCAACATTTAACAGAGGCCCAGAAGCATTTAGAGCAAGATTTAGCAAACTTTTTCTAAAGAGGGTCAAGGAGTAAATATTTTAGGCTTTGTGGGTCATATGGTCCTTGTAGCAACCATTTCACTCTCTGTTACTAGCAGAAGAGCAGCCAAATATATTAACATAAAGGAATTAGCATGACTGCATTCTAATAAAACTTTATTTACAAAAACAGGTAGGTAAAGGGCCATAGTTTGGTGACTCCTGGGTTTTAGAGAATGGACACCCCAGACGGTGGAGACTGGGGTAACAATTATAACAGAAATAGCAGCAGCAGCAACCGACACATTCATAGTTTTTGCTGTGGGCCAGACACTGTTCTGAGGATTTAAAGCATAATTATTCATTTAATCCTCACAACAATTCTATGAAGCAGGCTCTATTATTATGCCCGTTTTAAAGATTGAGAAACTGACACAGAAAGATTAGGAAAGCTGCCCAAAGCCACACAGCTTCTGGCAATGCTCCTAAAATACCATGTGAGAGGCAGTTTTCTCTACCTACGACTAGCCTCAGCAGCCCAGGGATCAGGGATGAGGCCTCCACCACACCAAGCGGTAACATGCAGGACCCGTATCTCATAGCGTCCATCTCCTATCATTTACTGAGAAGACTTAGACCATAGGAAAACATTTCTCAAGCAATAATGTCTTTTGAAATCCCTGGGGAAGTGTGTTAAAGTACAGATTCTTGGGCCTGGAATTTGGACATTCTAATTCACGTCAGGGATAAGAGCCAGGAATCTACGTTTTCAATAAGCAGTTTCATGATTCCAATGCAGGTAGTCTATGGAATACACCATGATAAACAGGGCTCTAGGGAATTGATGTTAACCAGATGCTTCCACTCTGATAATGCTTAGTAGATTAGCTTACTTACCCTCAATTCCCTTTTTATAAGAAAA